GGGAAACTGGGGCCCGGGACATCACACCACTTACCCAGTAGGTGGGGATGCCAGCTGCTGTGGGTGCATGTGCGTTCCACCTATGCTGGGGGGTCTGTCTACGAGGGCCTCGGTTCCTCTTTTAGGGGGTTAGAAAGGGGCTCTCTGCCCTGGGGGGTAGGACCCAGACCGCACATACCTTCCTCCTCCTCAAAGGCAGAAAAGTCTGCCATGGGGACCTCAGCTTACCTCATTCTTGCTTCCCACCTCCTCCCCGGCCCATGTCCCCTTCCCGGACACTCAGGTCCTAGCAGGCCACAGAGCACCTCGCTTGTCCCCTAACATTGTGCTTGTTCCTCCCACACCTCTGAGGCTTAGGAGGACTGAAACCAGGCCTGAAGAAGGCTCAGAGGCTGCCAAGCTCAGGGTGGGGGGTCCCGGAGCCAGGTCTGAAGGCTGGGAGCTGTCCACATATGGAGAAGGGCCCCGCAGAAGGCTTTGTGCTTCCAGCGCAGTCCGGGTGGGCCATGTGTGGTGCTGCAGCAGCTGGGTGTGCCTCCCGTGTGCTCTGGCTGGAGCGTGGGGAGTGAGGCTGGTGTTCGGCCTCTGAGTCCCATCCTGGGCCCTCCCCCGCGGAGCTTCCCGGAGGTTCTGTTTTGTGTGGTCTGGCCAGGCCCTGGGGGCTGAGGAGCCCGGGACATGGGGGGGTCTACAGCAGAGGCTTCAAGGTCAGGCCACGCACAAAGCAGAAACACACATCCTCGTAGCCACTCACGACCTTGGGCCCAGAGGGCAGCCCAGGCTTCCTCACTGTGTGCGACCTCGGGCTGACCCCTTCCCTCCCTGTGCTCGGTGTTGGCAGCAGTGTCAGGACTCTCAGCGCGGGCCTGTGGCTGTGGGTGCTTAGGCTGCCGCCGTGGGCCAGCCGCAGGGGCCGTTTGGGGTAAGTATGAGCACCCAGGGGTGCTGCTCAGGGCAGGCCTTGGGCTTGGCGCACTCTCTGATGGGACAGAGGCCCTGGCACTAGGCGTCTCGTCCAAGGTCTACACAGTGCATGAGAAGACCAGTGGGGCTGTGCCGACAGAAAACAGCCCTGGGGTTCCGCCGGTGAAGCACCCGCCAAGAGGGCTGTCAGACGGCCTTGTGTGGCGTGGGCCCTGTGCAGTCTCTCCCGGCTCCTGCAGAGGGTGAGACCTGTACCTGAACAGGTCTCGGGGGCCTTCTCTCCAAGCTGGCCTTCCCTACCTTGTGCCTGTTTCCCCCTGTACGGCGGGCAGGGCCCCAGCCAGGGAAACAGCCGGGCCCTGGAAGACCTCTCCATGTCTGGAGGGCAGTAGCAGGCCACACTGGTGTTTGGCACGTCCCTGACGGGCATCGCAGACCCCTGGAAGCCCCAGAGGCCACCCAGGTGCCCGAGGCTGGAGAGAGGGAGGTTCTGGGCTTGTTGGGGCACCTAAGGTCAGGCATGTGGGTGGGGGCGTTGCAGCAGGGCGCAGCCAAGGCCCGAGGCCCTGACCGCACAGTGCCAGATCCCCGCTTGGACAGAGCGAGGGGTGGGAAGACCCGGAGGAAGTCTGCTGGGCCCCGCCCCCGCCGCCGTCCTCCCCTTCCCATTGTTCCCGGCGCGGGGTCTCCGGCGGCGCGGTGCTTCCCGGGCTTGGAGGGGCGGTGGGCGGGGCGAGGGCCCCTCCCCCAGCGCCGGACTGCGGCTGCCTGGGAGAAAAGCTCCGCCGCGCTGCCCAGCCCCCGCCCCTGCGCCGGGTCTCCGGCTGCCGGGCTCCCCCTGGTGGTGGCGGGGCGGAAGCTAGGGGGCCCGGAACCGCGTGGCGGCTGGAGACGTGGCACCCCCCTGGGATGAGGGTGGGAGGTGGTGCCCCGGCAGCCGCTGGGTGGGCGTCCGCGGGCCCACCCCACCTGCCCCCTGCGGCCACCAGGGTGGGTCGGACCTGGTGCCGTGGGTGTGGGTGCGCGCTGGGCCGACCCGCCAACGCCCTGTGGTCCCGGGACTGTCACGTGAACCTCTGCCCCGGGTGGCCACGTCAGTCGGCCGCTCTCCCGGCCCTCGTGCTCCAGGGAAGCCCACCGGCGCGGGAGCCTGTGCAGGGGGCCTTTCCCGCCTCTGAGCGCAGGGAGTCAGCGCGCGGGGTGCGCGGCAAGGAGGCCCAGCTGTGGAAAGGGGCCAGATTGCGTGGAAGGGCAGGGAAAAACTCAGAGCAAGAGCCGCAGAGGCCTGAGGGCTCCGACTTCTCTTCTGGGCCACGAAGCCGCGGCAGGGAACCGCCACTGCTCAGTCAGACTGGTAGTCGCTGGTCATTGCCCTGAACTGCGCCTTGGAAGCCTCAGAAGCTCCCTTGCTGAGCTGGCGTGGCCAAGCAGGCCTCTCTCCAGCTGGTGGTGGCAGTGACCTACGCAGTGTGTTCTTTGTAGGATGCCGGAAATGAGAGGTCTGGGGACATCTGGCATCTTCCAAAGGGTAGAACAGTCGTGATGACAACTTTTATCTGAGTGCTTGTGGAGTGCCAGGCCTTGCAAGTAGGCTGTTTAATCCTCAGGCTCTCCTGGGAGATAACAGTCGGCCCTTTTCACCAGTGCGGGGCCAGAGGGAGGGCGGGAAGCGTCCACGCTTGTGGAGGTATCCGGAAGGAGCAGGGCGGGCCCCAGGGCTGTGGCAGGTCTATCCTGAAAGTGAGAGATTGCCCGGCAGCCTCTGCAGAGGGCAAACCAAGGCCAGAGAGCATGGCTGCTTCTCAGGGCCTCCCAGCAGGATAAAGACCTATCGGAGAGGTGGTGGGCCAAGGTGGACGGAGCAGCTACCTGATGCTGGGCCTTGGGGGTGAGCATCGTGCACCTGGACCAGCGGCCCCCTGTCTGCCACAGGGGCCCTGCTGGCCTTGCTGAGGCAGGTGGGGACGCCTCCGCCCCCCGATCTGTGCGTTCCTCCGCTGGGGCCCGTGTGCTCTGGGTGGAGGCAGATGTTTTGACACAGCCAGCGCTGTAGCTGGTACCTCACATATCAAGGCAATTACTGCCCTCCCACTGGGGGCCCAGCAGCTGTGCCCCAGGTCCTGGCCTCAGAGGCATCTTCCTTGGTGGGAAGAGGTGGGGCCCAGTGGGAACACGGATGCCACCCCAGGGAGTCCCTGGGCACAAGACTTCTGCCTCCTATCGGCCGACCTCCCCTTCCGCGAAGCCCTCTCCTCTGCAGGGGAGGTGCAGGTGGAGCACTGGGTGCCCGGCATCAGCAGGGTAGAAGGAAACTCCAAGCCAACTACCCGCTTATCTGATAAGGGTGTGCTGTCAGGCCCCAGGGAAGGGGACCCATTGACAGAGTAGACAGTGAAGCTGCTACCCCACGGCTCCCAGGCACCTTGCCTGCGGGCTGTCCCAGAACCAGGGTCCTTGCACCCCTCTCCCCCACCTTTGTCCCCTGATCTGCTGAAGCTGCACCTGGGCCATGCCCTGGTTCTGTCCTGTCCCTCCTGCTTCCTGCCTGACTTCCAGCACCACGTGCTATCCTGCCACTCACTCCTTCCCTCTTGATTCAGAGCTGCTGAGTCCAAGGTCGGGGGCTGTATAACCTTGGTTTATTCACTGTCAGATGGGGTCTTTCTGCAGTGACTCCTGCTAGGGGGCAGAGACTGCCCTTCCAACTCAGAATTGTGATGAAGGGTGACAGGCTTGAACGGGCCGGGAAGTGAACCCCAGCTGGCTGGCTCAGGGAGCAGGTGTCCCGGCTGCAGCCCTGCTTGCCCAGGTGTGACCCGCCTTGTGTCTGCAGTCTGCCACCACCAGGAAATTCAGATGCAAAGCCAGTCTTTGTGGGCATGCTCTCTGGGCAGGGTCACGGAGTGGTCCTCACCACCTTCCCAGGAGGGTGATCAAAGCACCAGAGGGGGAAACGGGTGCCTCAGGTGGACGGTGGTCCCTAAGTCACACAAGAGGCCTCCTGTGCCCTGGGCAGCTGCCCTCCCCGAGTCTCCATTCGCCTGGCTGGGGGTGGCGTGCTGATCCTGATGCAGCGCTTCACACCCCAGCCGACTCGTTTTCTGGGATGTGCTCCCTTCCTCCTGCTCTGGAAGCAGGTGCCTAGGTGGGAAAGACAGCCAGGTGGTCGCCTGACCCTTGTGCTTACTGGCCAGTCCAGTGCCGCTCTCCCTGCCCCACGTTATTCTGGGCTCTGCAGATGGGCCTCGGTGATGGGGCAGCCCCTTCAGGCCTTGCTAGGCCCTGTGGGGTGGACAGTGGTTGTGGGAGGGGTCCTGGCTGCTCCCTGCTCATGCCCCCCCCACAAAGGTAGGTGTGTGCTGCCCCTGGACCTCAGCCCACAGCAGGGGAGCACACCGGGCCTGAGACTATCGAGGGCTCGCTGCCTAGACCCCACCTGGCCAGAGCCTGCGTTTGTGCCGCCCCCGTGCTCTCCTGTGCTGGGAGGGGGCTGGGACAGTTGGGCTAGTGGTTCCAAGCAGCTGGTGGCGTTTGTGAGGAGAGCCTAGACTGTTCTCAGAGAACCCTCTGGGCTGTGGATGTACCGAGGCCCACCCCCGTGGCCACAGCTGTGCCTGTTCTGGTAAACTGTGGATCTAGGGTCGGGGTAGGGTGGATGCAGGCAGGAAGGGGCCAGGGAGACAGGGTGGCCCTCCCGGGCTTCACCTTTCCTGCACAGACTCTCTGGGGAGGGCCAGTGTCTGAACTGCACCCCTCAAGATTTGGCTCTATGTGTTGGTGATAGCACCTGGGAATCTGCTTTTTTGTTTAAAATGCCCCCCATGGCAGCTTCTGAGCCACATTTTGAGAAGGGCTGGGCAGGCCAGGCATCATGGCCCTACCTGTCTCCCTGCCCTTAGAAGTCCTGACTGACTGGGGTGCCCATGTCCTGACCCCTGTGGTCCCGCCAGCTACACCCCTCATCCTGCTGCCCACCAGGCCCGCCTACCTCCAGCTCACCGTGCAGCAGTTGGGGAGGGTCTGCTCTGCCTCGGGCCGCACCTGCTCCCTGACCGCCCGTGCCCTCTCTGTTTCAGGTGCCGGGGAGTCGGGGAAGAGCACCATTGTCAAGCAGATGAAGTAAGTGGCACATGCCTGCAGCCTCTGAACCTTGGTCTGCTCTGTTTGGGCCCGTGCTGCCCCGCACGCACCCAGCCATCCTGAGCCAGACCCAGACCTCAGAGGCAGTCATCTGCCCTCAGGTCCCTGTGGGTTGGGGCAGTTTCCTCCTCTGAAGCACATCCCTGCAGGCCCCAGCAGCCCTGGTCATGTGGTGGCCCTGGGCCCTGTGTGCCTTAACCCCTGACCCCTGGCCACCAGGATCATCCACGAGGATGGCTACTCGGAGGAGGAGTGCCGGCAGTACCGGGCGGTCGTCTATAGCAACACCATCCAGTCCATCATGGCCATTGTCAAGGCCATGGGCAATCTGCAGATCGACTTTGCGGACCCTTCCCGTGCGGTATGCAGACTCCTGCCTACTCCCCCCCGTCCCCACAAAGGATTCAGGGCAAGTTTTGCCCTGGGGAACCTGAGAATACCCGAGCCTGGGCCCCATTCTGGAGGCCCCCCTCCCTCTGACAGGCGGGGTGGGGGCACACCTCTGCCCCTGCGCCTGGCTGACCGCGCACCGCTGTGCCCAGGATGATGCCAGGCAGCTGTTTGCGCTGTCCTGCACGGCGGAGGAGCAGGGAGTGCTCCCTGAGGACCTGTCTGGCGTCATCCGGAGGCTCTGGGCTGACCACGGCGTGCAGGCCTGCTTCGGCCGCTCACGGGAGTACCAGCTCAATGACTCTGCCGCCTAGTGAGTACTCCAGGGGGCTGGGTGCGGTGGGGGCCACAGGGTGTCTGGCCTGGAGGGTCTGAGCAACCCCACAAAGACATTGCCATCTCTTCCTGAAGCCGATGATTGTCAGCCAAGGCCTTGGTGATTTTTGGTTTGGGGCACCAAACACTTGCCACCGGCTCTGTGCCAGGCCCTGAGCAGGCTTCAGGGACACAGTGATGAGGGAAGCAAACAAGTCCTAGGCAGTGGCAGCCTAGGGTGTCAGTGTCATGGTGGGCGTGGGGGTAGGGTCAGAGGGGGCACTGCCGTGGCTGAGGTTGGAGCGAGTTGGGCAGGGGAGGATGGGAAATGGCTTTGGGCAGGGGTACAGTGCAGACCCAGTTCTGGGGGCAGTAGACTGCGAGGCCACAGTGGGTGTTTGGACTGGCCGGAGAGGAAGACATGGGGAAAGACTGGGAGGTGACAGTCCCAGAGGTCCAGCCCTCAGGGTCACGTCTGACCTCTTCCCTGAAGTACCTACCAGGGGCCAGACCTGGGGCAGGGTGTGAGCACCCCATAGGGAACAGACAGGCGGGTGGCCAGTGCTGATGGCTGCGGGGCTTTGGGGATGAGCCAGACGGGGCTGGCCCTGTGCTCTCTCCTCCCCCTCCCCCCTAGCTTCAGCCAATCTCCTTTCCCGTTCCCCCTGCCCTTCCACTCCGCGAAGGGCTGTGCCTGAGCCAGGCTGGGCGGGAGGTGGTCTTGCCCACCAGATTCCTGAGCCCTGCCCCAGCCATAGGGACAGCTTCCCCACCCTCCCTGTGGTGGTCTGAATGTCCCTGTGGAATCAGCCAGTACCTCCACAAGGTCCAGAGGCTCTCCTGGTGCCCACAGAGCTATGGGTCCTCAGGGAGGGGCGGTGGGCCTATGAGCCAGGGCCTCCGCAGTGCCAGTGTGTGAGGGGTGGGAAGAGACGCACCTTCCAGGCCACGTCCCGTTCCTCAATCCCCAGACATCAGGCACCTGCTACGCCCAGCACTGTCCTTAGTGTGGGCTCTTAGCTGTCCCAGGCAGGTTTAGCCGTGATGGGCGGGCAGTGGGTTGGGACACTGTGCCCCTGGGGTGAGCCCGCCTGCTGCGGAGAAGGGAGAAGCTGGTGTGGAACCCATCATGAGGCCCCCAGGCCGGAGGGGCGGGCGTGACACACGGGTCACGCACATGCGTCACGAGGTTCCCGTGGCCCTTCCTGTTTTTCCGTTACGTTCCTGTGTCTCTGAGGTCATTTCCCTCTGGCCCAGCTGCTGACGGGAGCCAGGGGCTGGTCCCAGCAGCTTTGCCCCAGGAGCAGGACAGTGGGCGGTGGCTCTGAGGCCTGAACCCAGCCCTCGGGGCCCAGCCCTCGGGGCCCAGTGGGCAGGCAAGTGATGCTAGTTAAGGGAGCTGATAACGAGGAGCCCCTGGGACCCCTGCCAAGAAGGTGCCCTGCCCCTGAGGAGTCAGTGTTACTAGGCTCTGGGCAAAGAGCCCCCTGGGCCTGGTAGGCCCCAACCTGTCCAGCTCCACATCGAAGGACACACTGGGTTGCCCTGTCGTGGGTGCCAGAATTATGCCGATTAGCATCCTGCACCCCTCCCTGATGGCTTATCTGCCCCGCCCACCCACCTTGCCTGCAGCTGCCCCAGCCTGGATCCTGTCTGAGGCAGGCTGAGCTCGGACCTGCAGGCTAGGGCTTGGCTGGGGGTCCCCGAGCCACACCTTTTCTTAGGCCCACTCCACAGGTGGAGGCGAGGCATTCTAGTTCAGGTGTTCTCATCTGAGCAACAAATGTAATGAAGGCAAGGGTTTTGCCTGAGAAATCGGGCCTGGAGGGGCTCACCCAGCTGGCCTAGGGTCCAGGGAAGGAGGCCCCACGCTGGCCCCTGCCGACCCGCCCACCCCCTACTCCAGCTACCTGAATGACCTGGAGCGCATCGCACAGAGTGACTACATCCCCACGCAGCAGGACGTGCTTCGGACCCGCGTGAAGACCACAGGCATTGTGGAGACACACTTCACCTTCAAGGACCTGCACTTCAAGTGAGTGGCATGAGTGCAGGGGGGAAGGGCAGACTGCCAGCCCTTGGGGTGGCAGAGGGGGGCACCCTCACTCCGGGTCCTGCTGGGGGCTGTGTTGGGAGGGACGGACGGGCTGGTCCAGGATTCCTAGCCCCACTCCGCGGTCTCCTGAGGCTGCCAGGCTGCCCTGCCGCCCAGAGCCTGGGGTATGGCGGATGAATGTGGGTGGTTCCCAGAAGGCAGCCCCAGCCCAGGCAGGCCTGCGTCCTCAGTGGGCCATGCTGTGAAAGGGGGAGAACCCCCTCTCTGGAGCTCAGGCAACCCCGTGTCCGCAGGATGTTCGACGTGGGCGGGCAGCGCTCGGAGCGCAAAAAGTGGATCCACTGCTTCGAGGGCGTCACAGCTATCATCTTCTGCGTCGCCTTGAGTGCCTATGACCTGGTGCTGGCGGAGGATGAGGAGATGGTGAGAGGGCGCGGTGGGGCCAAGGGGGTTGGGGGCCTGGTCAGCACAGACTGACCGGGCTGTCCGCCCCAGAACCGCATGCACGAGAGCATGAAGCTGTTCGACAGCATCTGCAATAACAAGTGGTTCACGGACACGTCCATCATCCTCTTCCTCAACAAGAAGGACCTGTTCGAGGAGAAGATCACGCACAGCCCCCTGGCCATCTGCTTCCCAGAGTACACAGGTGGGACCGGGTGGGCGGGTGGCCCCGGCTGGATGGAAGGGGAACCGGGGCAGCCAGCCCCCAGGCCGCGGGAACTGAGTGGGCGCTCGGGCCTTAGTGCCTTCTCCGTTGTGCTCCTGCAAATGCGTGCGGGACCCTGCTGTCTGTGGGGCCGCCAGCCTGCACCCAGCAGCGGGAGCCTCACCACTGGGTCTCTGCAGGCGCCAGCACATATGATGAGGCAGCCAGCTACATCCAGAGCAAATTCGAGGACCTGAACAAGCGCAAGGACACCAAGGAGATCTACACGCACTTCACATGCGCCACCGACACCAAGAACGTGCAGTTCGTGTTTGACGCCGTCACCGATGTCATCATCAAGAACAACCTGAAGGACTGTGGCCTCTTCTGATGGGCAGCGGTCCCAGCAGGATGGTGAGCCCGTGGCTAGGTGAGGCGGGGATGGCATGGGGAGGGCGAGTCTGGAGGAGGGGCACAGGCTGCAGCCTGGGCACGATGGGCTGTGAGTCTGGAGGGCGACTGAGTTTAGGTCCCCGACGGGGTATCCAGCTAGGCCTGGCTCCGTTCTGCCTAGCAGTCCAGGTGGCAGGAATGCCTGGCTGGGCTGGGGCACAGCTAGAGGCTGGAGAGAGAGAGCGTGCTCCCTCACCCACTGGGGAGCCTGGCTGCTCCGTATAACCAGTTCTGTGCCCATCCCTGTGGGCTTTCCCTCAGGCCCATTGGAGGGTCGGTCCTGGTCTGGGGGCGGTGGGGAGGACACTGCCAGGGTACATGCTCCCCTCCCTGACATGACCGATCAGTACGCCGGTGCAGGGGAGGCTGCTGTGCCCCTCGTAACGAGTACGCAGGAAAAAGGGAAAGGTCATTGTCTAGGGACACAGAGAGGCACACCCTGGGTATCTCCCAACCCATGTCCTGTCTCCCACCTCCAGGGCCACCGCCAACTGCACCCTCCCCAGCCCCTGAGGAAGATGGGGGGCAAGAGGACCACTCTCCCCACCTCTCCCAGCTGCTTTTCCCTCTTTCTGTCTGTACTTGGTTTCCCTTCCCCTCCCTCAGTTCCAGAGACAGGGGAGGGGCTGCCACAGGCCTCCCTGTTTGAAGACCAACTTTGTCCCAGGTGCCTGGAATGGCTGCGGTACCTGCTTCCCGGGCGTCTGTCTGTTCTGGTTGCAACCGCTGTCATGTTCTGTGATGGTGGGAGTGCCTGCCGGGTCTCTCAAGGCCTGTGTCTGGAGCGGCACTCACCTCTCCAGCCTGGGGCCCCTGGCTTCACCCAACACCAGCCCCCAACCCAGCCCGAGTCCAAAAATGTTTACAGGGAGCCTCCTGTCCACCCCACCCCTCCAGCCGCTCGGAGGCCCCAAAGGAAAAAGCACAAGAAGCGTGAGACACCACCGTTCTGGAGACCGCAGTCCACCTGCTCATTCTCGTAGCTTTTTAAAAAAATGAAAGGAAAGGAAAAAAAACCCTGCAAACCTAGATAACTTTTTAGAGAAAACCTATTTAAACCTGTCAGACCCTGACCAGCGCCCGCCCTATGCCCTTCCAGTAATCCGTGCCTTGAGTGTGTCTGTGTGTTTACACCCACGCCTCTGCTGGCTGCCCCCTGCGGGCGGCACCTCTGCCCTGCTTCCAGGAATTGGGTTCCAAGGGCTGTTTGACAACTGCCAGCATCCCTGCGGGCCCTGCCGGGAGGTCCTGGGCCCCACTCCATTCACCCCGGTGTAGCTCCTTAGCGCTGACCCCGGAACCGTGCTGCCTGCTGAGGGCCTGCTCCCCGTGCCCTTGCCCCTGGCCTGGGTCCTTCAGCGTTGAACACTTCCTTGCTTTTTTCACGTTTTATGGAATTGTTCACCTGGTTTGAAATAATAAAATGTAGAAAGAAAAAGTACCAAGAACTATTTGGCATTCTCTTCCCCCCCAGTAGGGACCCAGACTAAGATGTGTCCAGGCACCAGTGCTGTGGACCAGAACACGCCCCTGGGACAGGGCGCCAGGTGCTCGGCCCTTGGGGTGCCTCCCTAGTTTCGGTGCCGGGGCCTGCGTGTCTCTGCCTGTCCTCCCAGCACCTCTGCAGTCTTGGGTCTGGGGCGGCGGCCACATCTCGTGAGCTGTTCCTCTAGGTGAATCTAACACCGGGGGCAGGAGAGGTGTCCGGTGGGTCTAGTGTAGAAGGAAGATGTGCCTTCTGACTTCCCAGGCTCAAGCCCCGGAGACTGATCGCCGAGGTCACTCGCCAGGTAGGCTTCAGCCCCTTGCATACCCTCCTCCCAATCGGAGGTGCCTAGAACCCTGCCTAGAAAGGAGGCCTCTTGGGCTGGACCAAACCGAAAGCTGGGGAGCAGGGCACCTAGCTGCCCTGCCGCGTGGAGGCCGGCGGGCTTCGCTTCCCCGACCAGGGATCGCAGTCGGGGCCTCCGCGAGGCTGGGGGCGCAGGGGCGGGTTGGGCCGCCGGCAGGCGCTCTGCGCAGAGAGCCGCGCGGTCCAGGGGCGGCCCGCCGCCAGGGGGCGCCCCGCCGCCGCCCCGGCCTTGACTCCAGGCGCGCCGAGGCCGGCACAAAGGCGGCTTTGTGGGCGGGGGTCGGCGCCGCCGGGGCGGGGCGGGGCCTCCCGCGAGCACCTGCTGCTGGCGGACGGGAGAGACTCCGTCGGCCGCCTCTCGGAAGGAGGCGGGCATCCCCGGCCCCGCCTAGCCCCGCAGCCCGGCCCCACCAAGGGCCCCCGCAGGAAGCGGCGCCGGAGATGGCTCCATCCGTCCGTCCTGGGAGGTGCACAGAGGGGCCATTGAGGGGCTGGCACGGGCAGTGCCTCCGTGCCCGGTTGGGCCGGCAGGGTTCCGGCCAGGATCCCCTTGTACCCGGGTTGGCAGCGGAGCTGGGTGAGGTCCTGGCAAGCAGGCCTTCCCTGAGTTCAGGCGGCCAGCCTCCACCTGCCCTGGGCTCTCCTACCCCTGCTCTCACTTTGAGGGCATAAGGCTCCATTGTCCCAGCGCCGGCGGGGGCGGCCTCTCAATTTGTCCTTGTCTCATGGCTGGAAATTCCCAGCCATGGGGGGCAGCAGGCTGTGGGGGTATCCCAGGTGTCCTGCACCCTCATGGAGGGGCTTGGTAAGGCTGGCTCCTGGGCACCCCTGGTGCCTGGGGCTGCACAGGGCTGGACCTCAGCCATCCCGAGACCCTCGGAGCAGCTGGGTGATGGGAGCCAGGGATTCGGTGCTCCCCAGCCCCCAGGGCTCTTCCTGCCTGAGAAGGCCCATCTTCCTGGCCCCACCAGGGGCAGCCCCAGCTGTGAGGCTTGGACAGGCAGGGCCAGGCAAGGGACCCAGGCGCCTGCTCCCCGACCAAGCTAGAGTCCCAGTATGAAGTGAGTTGTCTCCAGCTCGTGGGGACCACCACGAGGCCGACCACCTCCAGAAGGGCCCACCCCTCTCCAAAGAGTTGCTCAGGCTACTGATGTGGTGGCAGCCTTGGTATTTGTAACCCGCTTGGGGGGCAGGGAAACAGCTGGGAAGAGAGAAAAGCTCTGAGAGCCAGAGAGGTCTGAAGGGTGTGTGTGTAAGGAGGCCCTGTGGGGAGCAGCCAAGCCACCAGCCACTCCCCAGCTCCCCTGGCCCAGACTCCCTTAGCAGCTAGGTGGGGGGCCATTAGAACTGGGGCCTCTGAGGCTACAGGGCTGCCAAGGCCTGGGGGAACCCCTTACCATGTTCCTGGGCAGCTGCATGGCTCCCCCTGAAGTCAGGAAAACCTCAGAGCCTCTCAGAAGCACCCCTCCACCCGCACACCCTGCAAGCCCAGACTCCAGCCACCTGTAGCTGGCCAGCAGCGTCCTAGCTGCCCTAGGAGGCGGAAGCTGCAGGGGGGCGACCACAGCTTCTCTTGGGTGAGTTCTGGGTCAGGCTGGCTCCCAAACAACTGCCCCCAATCCTTGTGCCCATGGCCCTGAAAGAGTCCCGAGAGGCCATCCTCCCTGAGGAGGGTCTGTGTCCCCCCAGTCCCCAAGCCTGTCGTGGACACCCATGAGGAAGCCAAGGGGGCCTCGAGCCAGCAAGTATGTGCCGTCAGTCCCTTATCCCCTTGGCATGTCAGTGAAGGGCACCAACACCCAGGTGCAGGGCTCGAGGTCATGGCTGCCTGTCTCCTTGCTACAGGGAGAACAGGTGATCTTACTGAGGAGAAAAATAGAGTTAGTCCCTTCCCATGGACTTTGCTTTCCAATTTCATTGTGGGTAGAGGGAGTCAAGGCCTGACGGGCTGTTGCAGGGCCACGGAGGGGCCTGTAGTGTCCCTTCCCCATCAGTGCCTATCCCCACCCGGGCTCAGCGGAAAGGTGGAGGAGCTTTCTGGAGGCACTACTGCCTCCCTGCGCTGGTTCTGCGCTGGGTCTAGGCCCCCAGCCACTGCCAAAGCCCGGCCCTGCAGAGGCTTGACCACGAATGGTGAGAAAAGGTCTAGCAGGTGCATGGGGAAGGGTTGGAGGGCCCAGCAAAGTGCTGGCCAGGAATGCTGCTGCCCCCCAGAACTGGGGTGGTGGAGCAGGGCCTTGTTGGCCAGGGCTGAGCTGGGGTAGGGCAGAGGCAGGGATCCCCCAGCTTCAGTGAGCTCTGGGTGTGTGTGCCACTGGGGGCCGGGGGCCGGGCATTATGGAATGGCGAGGCATTGGACAAGGGGTGGCAGAGAGACCACAGGGTCAGGCTTCCGGCCACCCTGAGGTTGGGGCTCTCGGGAGGAGGGGTGTGGGCCTGGGCACAGAGGGGTGGGTTGGAGACTTGTGGAATCAGAAGACTGAGGAGTGCCCAGGGCTTCGGGATGGCCAGGGGTCAGGTGGAGGGTGGAAGAAATTGTGCTGGGGGAGAGGGGATGGCTGCGGCTAGTGGGGGGATGGGGGTGGTAGGGCATGGGTGGGGTAGGCGCCAGCGCGAGCCAGGGCCCTGGGCGGCAGGGCTGGAAGAGGCAGCAGTGAAGGGGGTCACCCTCAGGCTGCAGGTGCTGAGCTGGCAATGAGCACACACCTGCCGGCCCACCATTCACCACGTCCTGTAAGAGGGCAGAGTGATTTGACAGGCCCAGGCTCCCCCTGGGGACAGGCTGCTGGGGAGCCGCAGTCCGGATTCAAGCCCGCGCCTCCCCCGCCGCTAAGGGGGTTGATCCCTGGGCGGCTCCGGCCCCCCGCCGCCGCCGGAGCCTCGGAGCCCCCAGCTAGCACTCCCGGGAGGCGCCCCCAGCCCATCGAGGGAGCGTAGCATTTGAGTTCCCGTCGGCGCCGGAGCATCCCGCCCCCGATCTAAGTCAGATCTAAGTCAGCCGCATTCCTGGCCCCCGCCCGCCGCGCCGGGAGGAGGAGAGAGGGAGGCCCCTCCCCGGCCCCCCTGCCGGGCGACGAGGGAACACGCAGTGAGCGAGGCGCTGTGATGTGGCTGCTGGGGGCTCCCGGTCCCCGAGGGGCTGACCTCAGCCGGGGAGGAATGTGCGGGAGGCGGGGGCCTGGCCCCTGCGGCCCCGCCCTCGGCCCCTCCGCCTCCGCCCCGGCCGGGCCTCCGAAAGGAAGGGGAGCAGGCGACAAGGGGAGGAGCTGGCCTTCCAGCAAGGTGGGCCAGGGGTCCCCTGGGAGTGCGGACACCGGGCCGGGGGCCTGTGGGGCAGTGCCCACGCCCTCTCCCCGGAGATCCCTGGGGGTGGAGGAGGTGGCCGGGAAGTCAGACCTGGTCAGGCTCCCCGCCCCCGCCTCCCTGCCTGAATCTTGAGGGTGGGGAGTCCTGGGCCCCACGTGGCCAGAACAGGAACAGGCTGTGACGTGGGAGCCACCGTCCTTGATGGCTAAAGCAGGTGTGAGTGGCTAGCCAGGCCCCGCCAGCCTGGGCTGGGCACTGGGCCGTTGGCTTCAGCCTTCCTCAGAGGGATGCCCACCCCAGCCGTGCCACTAGGAGTCCAAACGGTGTGGGAGAGGCCCATCTGCATCCCCTGCTTTGAACCATTCTGTCGAGACCCTGGCCCAGGTGGCCTGATTGCAGAACACCTGGGGACGCACAGAGCCCTGTGTGCCCGCAGCCGGGACCCTTCTCCTACACAGCTGCCTCCGTGAGGCCCCTGCCAGAGCTGCCATACACTTGGACCTGGGGCTCAGGAGCAGAAAGGAGGCCTTGTGAGGACAGGGACCTCCTGAGCTCCCCTGGACATCTGGCTTTCTGCCCCAGGGAAGGGGCACCTCTGGAGGGAGCAAGGCAAAGGGCTCAGGTGGGGCAGGGCCAGCCCATCCTGCGGTTTGGGGGTTGATTCTCAGGATGTTGCAAAGATGGTGGGGTCCTGGTCCCATTTTCTCGTGTGGACACAGGGCGGGTGGGGCAGGGGTTGGGGGTGGAATCAAGGCTGGGCCCTGGGCCTGAAGGACTGAGAACGGCGGGGGCAGGTAGGGGGCAGAGCGGCAGAGGGGGGCCCAGAGGCGCTTGCTGATCTTGGCTGCTTGGGTGGAAAATCGTAAACAGCCGAAGAATTTTGTTTGCTTGCACAGGGCCAGGGGAGGCTGCCGAGGTCCAAGGCAGGGGAGCCAGGGAGGGGCGAAAGGCCAAGAACTCAGGCCCCACCACCACCCCAAGGGCCCCACTCCTCCCACTGACCCTGGCCATTCACCTCCAGCCTGCCAGCCAGGGACACTAGGTTCTGAGGCTCAGGGAAGAAGGGCTGGCTGGTCACAGACGCCCTTGCTCCAGGGGACGTGGCAAGAGACAGCTGCTGGCCAGCCTGGGGAGGATGCCTGTTGGGGGCCTGGGAGGTGGAAGGCCGTCCCCAAGCAGTGGTCTCTTCACCGGGTGGACCTCCTCTCGACTTGTCCACACTTAGCTCCTGGCTGTGCAGAGAGGATGAGTCCCCCAGACTCGGCTTCAGGCCAGACCCCAGAGCCATCCCAGCTTCTGCGCCAGGGTGCGGGGCCCACCCTGGGTGTGAAACCCCCTCGTGTATGTTGCTCTGTGTTCGGTGGGCCAGTTCTTCCCACCTTCAGCCTAGGGACAAGGACCAACGGTCATGGTCACAGAGGTCATGTAGAATGACCCCGTCTCCCTGCAGGGATGCACAGCAGAGGCATCTGCCTCCCTTTCACGCCTCCAGCTGGCTGCCCTCACAGCCACTGCCAGCCAGGGGGCAGAAGTACCCAGTGGTACAGAAGGGCAGGGGCTGGGGCCTGGGGGCCCATCAGGTTGAGAACCCCTGCCCCCGACCACGGACCTTGCCATGCCAGCTGGTGCCTGGAGCTGACATGGTGGGTGAGGCCCTCATTACCCGCTTTCTGCTCCCCAGCCGTGGGTGGAATGGGAGGACCCCTAGTCCTTGGGGGTGCCCCTGCCGGCTGTCCCCTCTGCCTGCTTCACAGCCACCTGGGGCTGGGGGGTCTCTGCTTTCTCCTTTGCCTTAGCTGGCCCCCCCACTTCCGGGAGGGACCTCTGCTGGGCACCTTAGTGACACGAGGTCCCACCCTCCTAACGCCCCTCCCTAGTGCCCACTCCACTCTGGCCAGGCCACCATCTCTAGCCGGTCCCGGCTGCCTGCCCGGTCACCGGACCCGCCCCGTAAACTTGACTGCGAGTGGGGCGGTGGCTGGCTTGGTGGGGGCGGGGGCTGCTCCTTAAAGGAGCCATCAGAGGGTGCCCTGCAGCCCTGGGCTTCTCCCCTTCTCCAGGGTGAGAAGGGGCCCCCGGGGGCAAGCACTGCGGCTGGAGGCCTGGCGGAGTGTGGGGAGGCAGCGGCACCGACCTGCCCGGAGGAGGCTGCGGCAAGTGTCAGTGGAAGGAAGGAGGGCGGTGGGAGTCCCAGCATGGGAGGGGCGGGGGCTGGGCAGGGATATGGGGCGTGGACTGGAACAGGCCCCAGCAGCCCTTCTGAACGTGGAGTCGTACCCAGGGCCTTGCTCCGCGCAGGGGCTCCCATGCCTGGCACCTGCCTAGCCAGCTTCCGGGAAGGATGGTGGGTGTGCAGCCCGAGCCAGTCCCCTTCTGAGGGGTCCAGGGAAGGGCTCTGGCTCAGAGAGGTGACCCTGAGGGCGAAGGCAGGGAGGGAGGCACAGGGAGAGAAGGGCTGCTCTCCCAAGCTGGGGGCGAGGCTGCCTCAGGCCTTGGCTCCCTCCACTTGATTCCTCTTGGGTCTGAAGTCTGAGCTCACAGAATTTCTGTGTGTGACTGGCCCCCCCTTGCCTCCGGGGTGCGGAGAGAGGTCAAGCATGAAGCTGGGGCTGCTGGACCCAAGCGGGAGCCCCCTCAAGTTGGAATGGCAGCTTCTGTGTGGCGTGGAGCCCGGGCCTGGCTCTCTCCCTCTGAGAAGGGGGCTCAGGAACATCTGAATTGAAAGCAGTGACTGACACTGTGATTGTATTTGCTCACCTGCATGTCCAGAGACACACATACATGTGTGCATGCACATTTGTACACACGTAACACGTGCACACACATGTATACAGGGTACACGTGCCACAGGCATGGACACACAGGTACCCATAAAGCCAGGTATGTGCCCACATGCATGCTGCACATTGCATACAACACACATGCCACATGGTCTTACCACATGGTCTCACATAGATATGTCTGTGAGCATGCTCACACTGTACACTTGTGCAGTACAGCTACCAACAGGACCCTCAGAAACCATTCAGAGTCACAGGCACCTGCCTCTGCTCCGCTGCGGGCCTGGGGGCACTGACCCCCTCCTGTTGCTCTCGCCCCTGGGATGGCTGGTTCTTTTCATTGCACTCGGCATCCTCTGAAATGTCTGCAGTCATCTGAGTTCTTGCTGGCACCCTGCCCCCTCCTCCATGGGGACTTTGCATCCTGCAGTGTCCCCAGCCCCAGGCCCAAGCTGGCATGACCATAGGCTCAGTTTGTGAATTAATGTGAGTGTGTATGAGGGCGTGTTACCCGGGAGGGTGACGTGGTGGGGCGGGCGCCTGACAGTGTGGGAGTGACCCCGAGGGGGTGCCCAGTGTGGGTGTGTCTGTGACTGTGGCCAGGCAGGGCACCCTCAGAGCGGAGGGAGGGGCGGCTCCGAGGCAGAATGCGACCCCCCAGCTTCTCCCCCTAGGGGCTGTAATCTGATCCCCAGGGACGCCCCCCGAGCCTCCCGCCCTCGCCCTGGCTGCAAGTCCTCTTCCAGCTCCCGGGGCAGAGTCCAGGGCGGCTCAAGGCTCCTCTGCACACTCCTGCTGAACCCGGAGCACCCTGAGCCGCCCAGCTGGGGCGGGCTGAGGCCGCCGCCATGATCGCGGGCCTGGCCCTGCTCTGGGCAGCGGTGCTGGGGGCCACTGCTCCTGGCCCTCCCCGCCTTCGGCTCTCCTTCCGAGGTAGGTGCACCTGGCAGGCTGGCCCAGCTCTGGGCGGGCAGGAAAGGGGCCCAGGGTGGGTAGGGGGCGCTGTGTGCTGTTGTCCCGCGTTTGCCAAAGGATCCGGTTTGGGTTGGGGGCACTTTCAGGCCATCTCCAGTTAATCCTGTCCGTGCCTCGGCCCCCAACCTCTCTGCCCACATTCTGCTCCTGCTTTCCCAGGAAGACCCCTCTGTCCCATCCCCTGCCCCCAGGGAGTCGAGCTGTGGGGACATCAGGGCCTCTTCTAACACCCCGACACGGGAGGGCTCTTCTTGGCTGTGGCCTTCCACTGAGCTCAGGCTGGCGGCAGGGTGGCGGAGGGCCCTCCGCCTGGCTCGGGGGTTGGGGTTCTGGCTCTCCCGCGCACGCCCTAGGAGCTCAGCCCCCTTCACCTTGGGCACTGTGCTGCCCACCTGCCTAGGCCTGTCTTGCACGTGTAAACTCACACACATCTAAGTTCCCATGCGTGGTCAGGTCCGTGTACGACCTGGCTTGTGAGAGAGGCAGCACGCAGGGTGCGGGGAGGCTCCCAGCACGGCAGGCAACCCGCCCGTGGTGTCATGCCGTGCAGAGCTCCAGGCCCGGCATGAGCTCCGGACCTTCAGGCTGGACAGGAGCTGCTGTTATGAGGCTTTACTGGTGGACGAAGAGCGGGGACGCCTGTTTGTGGGTGCTGAGAACCACGTGGCCTCCCTCAGCCTGGACAACATCAGCAAGCGGCCCAAGAAGGTGCCAGGGACCCCCAGCCTTACCGCTGCCCAGGGAAGGAGCCCAGGAGCCCAATCCAGACTGCCTGGAGAGGCCCTGAGGGATGGGCCCCCCAGTGGACCCCTCACCACGGAGAACTTCAAAGTCCCTGACCTGTGTCCTCTCACCGCCTGCAGCTGGCCTGGCCGGCCCCTGTGGAATGGCGAGAGGACTGCAACTGGGCAGGAAAGGACATCAGGGTGAGAGCCCGCCTCCCGGGGCAGGGGCGGGGGCGGGGCAGGCCAGCCCCTCACTCTGTAGGCCAGGCAGTGCTAAGACAGAGGCCTGCCTGTTCTGGCTGGGATGGGGGCAGGGGGTCGAGGTGGCTGAAGTCTGGAGGTAGTGAGTCAGGGTGGGGGCTCATGTGATTCTGCTCGGGGGTCTCTGAGTCATAGTGGGCAGTGCAGGCCTCTGCTTCCCCAGACACCCATGCTGGTGGGAGGTGGGCTGGTCTGGTCATCAAGGGCGCCCAGTTCCCTGCAGCCCATGTTGGTACTTGCCTGGGCTTGGGCTGACACAGAAGAGAGAAAGGGGTAGGGGTACCACTGGTGAGCTGGGACCCCTTAAGGCTGCTCCCCCTGCGCCTGCCTGCCCACTAGACTGAGTGCATGAACTTCGTGAAGCTGCTGCATGCCTACAACCACACCCACCTGCTGGCCTGTGGCACGGGGGCCTTCCACCCAACCTGTGCTTTTGTGGAGGTGGGCCACCGGCTGGAGGTAAGGTCACATCCTGGCAGAGAGGGAGGTGCGGTGGGTAGGGAACGCCTGGCAGGAACAGCACCCCTGCCTCCCAGGACCCCGAGCTCTGGCTGGACCGCCGAAGGCAGGAGGATGGCAAGGGCAGGAGTCCATATGACCCCAGGCATCGGGCAGCCTCCGTGTTAGTGGGTGAGTGCAAAGGAGGGGCTCAGCAGAGCTCCTGGACCCAGACTCTAGAACCTCAGCAAGTCCCCGGACCCTTCCCAGAGCCCCAGGGACACCCCAGCCTCAGCCTCACTGACTCCCCCAAAGCCCCCGGAGCTCCACAGGCCCCCCTGCCCCGGGAGCCTTCGGCTTTAGCCAAGCAACTGTTGCCCTCTCTGCAGGGGACGAGCTGTACTCAGGTGTGGCTGCCGACCTCATGGGCCGGGACTTCACCATTTTCCGAAGCCTGGGCCGGCGTCCGAGTCTCCGAACAGAGCCCCACGACTCCCGCTGGCTCAATGGTGAGGGGCTGGTGGGGCTGGTGGGAGGGGCCCTCGTCAGGGCAGGTGCGGAGGAGGGCGCGCAGAGGAAGTGAGCAAAGGTGGTCACCAGGTACCCCACCTGTGTCTGGCCCTGCGCTGGGCACTGGGGTCCCAGGGCAGACGAGGGGTCTGGGCCATGCCCTCTGGGTCCAGAGAAGTCTGGACAAATACAGGATGAGGTCAGTTTTGAGAAAAGGGACTGGTGCTGGTGGAGAGAGGGCTGGGGCAAGGGAGGAGACCACACAGAAGAGGCGGGAGAGTCCCCCAGGCCCCGCTGGACTGACGGAGGGGCATTCCAGGCAGAGGGCACAGCCTGAGCACAGGCTCTGGGGCAGGACGGGCCAGCAGCGAGTCACGAGGGAGCCGTAGGGGCCAGGACTGGCGAGGGGCCCGCGTACCTTATTCTGAGCGGTGGGACCCAGTCGAGCGTTTGAGGCAGGATGGCTAGAGAAGACTCATGAGTGAAGGTGAAACTGCCAGCGCCCACCGTCGTGACCCTTGCCTAGGGAACTGTAGGGCGAGGCGAGAGGCGCCCCCTGGCCAGGGTCCCGCCAGCCCGCTGGCCCAGGAGCTGCGGTCTCTGCTGCCCCCTTGTGGCTGCTTGTTCACTCGCGGGCCCTGGTTCCTTGGCTTCTGCCCCTCAGAGCACCGTCTAGCTTGGTCTTGGAGGCCGGGGACCAGATGGGGCCCCTCTGGCTGCCGTGGGCGAGAGAGGAAGGGGAGACAGCCGTGGGCCTCGGATAGGGGATGGGGCCATGGCCTGGCTGACCCCACGCTTCCTGCTGCGGCCAGAGCCCAAGTTCATCAAAATCTTCTGGATCCCGGAGAGCGAGAACCCCGACGACGATAAGATCTACTTCTTCTTCCGGGAGCTGGCAGTGGAGGTCGCGCCGGCCCTGGGACGCATGTCCGTGTCCCGAGTTGGCCAGATCTGCCGGGTGAGGAGCCACATCCAGTGACCCTCACCCCCTTTTGCCCATTTGGGCCTCGCCCTCATGTCCCCTGACTGACCCGGCAGAATGATGTGGGTGGCCAGCGCAGCCTGGTCAACAGGTGGAGCACGTTCCTGAAGGCGCGGCTGGTGTGCTCGGTGCCCGGGGCTGAGGGTGACACGCACTTCGACCAGCTCCGTGAGTGCCTGGAGCAGAGGGTGGGGGGGGGGTGCGGGGGTGCAGACCCTGGGGCTTGGCTGGCCCCCAGGGCGGTGTGCCCATCCCCAGTGGCCCCTTCCCCGCAGAGGACGTGTTCTTGCTGTCCTCGCGGGACCGCTGGACCCCACTGCTCTACGCTGTCTTCTCAGCGTCCAGGTGAGGGGCGGAACGAGGGGGCGGGGCCGGCTGGGGCCCTCTGGCCCCTCACTCCGCCCATGTCTTTGCCCGCAGCGGCATCTTCCAGGGCTCTGCAGTTTGTGCCTACAGCATGAATGACGTGCGCCGGGCCTTTCTGGGACCCTTTGCACACAAGGAGGGGCCCATGCACCAGTGGGCGTCTTACCAGGGCCGTGTCCCCTACCCCCGGCCTGGCATGGTGCGTAGCTTGGGACCTTCACCATAGCCCACTTCAGGTCCCCAGTGGAGAGCATGGCCTGGGGTCTCCTTGGTGAATGTGGTTTCTTCCTGTTGTTACGGGTGGGAAAAGCCACCGTTGTCGCACGGGGGAGATATCCCCCTCAGAGTCCCCAGGGCAAGGCTGGTGCGGGCAGGGCTCTGGGAACACGCAGCTAGCACACGCAGTGCTCTGCAGTCTCCTGGGGAGGGCCGGCCGGGCCCATGCACCCATATCCCTGTCCTGCCCCCTCCCCACCCCCAGTGCCCCAGCAAGACCTTTGGCACCTTCAGCTCCACCAAGGACTTCCCTGATGACGTCATTCAGTTTGCTCGGAACCACCCCCTCATGTTCAATCCGGTCCTGCCACTGGGGGGGCGCCCTCTCTTCCTACAAGTGGGAGCTGGGTACAGCTTTACCCAGATCGCGGTGGACCGCGTAGCAGCTGCTGACGGACACTACGATGTTCTCTTCATCGGGACAGGTCTGGGACCGTCTCCCCTCTGCCTGGGCTGGCCCCCTCTCCTTCCGGATGCTGCTCTCATTGTTCCCGCCCACCTTCTTCACCAGCCAGTCGTGAGAGGGTGGAGGCCTCAGAGTGGGGAGGCCCTCCGCTAGCTGGCTGGGAGCGCGGGAGGCCCTCACCCATGTTCATCCCTGCAGACGCGGGCACAGTGCTGAAGGTGATCTCTGTCCCCAAAGGCGGCCGGCCTAATGCCGAGGGGCTGCTTCTAGAGGAGCTGCACGTGTTTGAGGTGAGGCTTAGCTCCTGGGGCCTAGGGCACCCCCACCCCACCGATCCCTGATCTCAGCGCCCCTGCCCCCTCGCAGGACTCGGCCCCCGTCACCAGCATGCAAATCTCCTCTAAGAGGGTAAGAGACCAGAAGACTTGAGGGTGAAACGGACCGAGCATGTTCCGGGCGCCCCTACCCTTCCTGCCTCCCTGGGTAGTTGGAAGCCTTGGGGTTGAGCATATGGGCTCTGCCTTCGCTAGACTGTGACCTGAGATCTCAGTGTACCCATCTGTCAAGTGGGGGCAGGGACCCCCGACCAGTGAATGGGAGGCGGGCACGGCATGCCTCGGTCACCCTGGAGTCCCCCGTTCCCCTTAGCACCAGCTGTACGTAGCCTCTCGGAGCGCCGTGGCCCAGATCCCGCTGCACCGTTGTGCTGCCCACGGCCGCGCCTGCGCCGAATGCTGCCTGGCGCGCGACCCCTACTGCGCCTGGGACGGGGCCGCGTGCACGCGCTTCCAGCCCAGTGCCAAGAGGTGGGCAGTGGCCGAGCGGGTGCCGCAGTCTTTGGCTGCCCTTGAATGAAAGAGGAAGGGCTCATGAGGCTGCAATGTCCCCCCAGGAGGTTCCGGCGGCAGGACATAAGGAACGGTGACCCCCGCACGCTGTGCTCGGGAGGTGAGTGCCCCAGCTGCCCCCACCTCTCAGGACGCCCCGCCCGGCCCGCACCTGACAGTCCCCTTGCCCCCAGAATCATCCCACCCCGCTCTGCTGGAGCGGAAGGTGTTCGGGGTGGAGGGCGGCAGCGCCTTCCTGGAGTGTGAGCCCCGCTCGCTGCAGGCGCGCGTCGAGTGGACCTTCCAGAGCACGGGAGAGGCTACTGGCACCCAGGTGAGCCTCCCGCCGCTCCGCGCCGGGCCCCCGGCCGGCCTGCGCCGTGGGTCCCGCCCCGCTCACCTGCGCTCCACCTCCTGGGGAGGCCCCTCCCATCTACCTGGGCTCCTGACCCCGCCCCGAGAGGGGGCCTCCCGTTCAGGTCCCCTGCCCGCCCGGCACAGCGGGGGACCCCCGCCCCCACCCAGGCCCCTGACACCGTCCCTCGCGGGCCCGGGTCTCCCGCAGGTGCCGGCGGACAAGCGCGCCGAGCGCACGGAGCGGGGGCTGCTGCTGCGCGGGCTGCGGCGCGGGGACGCGGGCGCCTACCTGTGCGCCGCCGTGGAGCAAGGCTTCTCGCAGCCGCTGCGGCGCCTGGCGCTGCACGTGCTGAGCGCCGCGCAGGCCGAGAGGCTGGCGCGCGCCGAGGAGGCGGCGCCCGCGGCCCCGCCGGGCCCTAAGCTCTGGTACCGGGACTTCCTGCAGCTGGTGGAGCCGGGCGGCGGCGGCACCAGCTCCCTGCGGATGTGCCGCCCGCAGCCCGCGCCGCGCCCTCCACCCGCGCCGCTGAGGAAGGGCCGCCAGCGGCGGACGCGAGCCCCGGAGCTGCGCGCCGAGCGAGGCCCGCGCAGCGCTGCGCACTGGTGACTCGACGGTCCCGGCTCCGAAGCGGGGAGCGGGCAAGGGCGGGAGGGGGCGGGAAGCGGCGGCCGCAGCCGGAGACACACAGCTAGGGCTCAACGAGGACAGGTCCCGCCGAGGGGCAGCCGCCGGCCTATTTATTAACAGACGATAATCCTGGAGTGGAGCCCCGAGGGCGGCGCAGGCTGGGCACCGGAGCCGACCGGCCGCGCAGAGCGGAAAGCAGGGTCCAGAGCAGCGGGCCGCAGGGGAAGGCGCTCCCCTTCGAGGGAGCGGAAAGCTGCGCGCGGCGAGACTGGCGGGACCGCGGGGCGGCCGACTGTACTAACGCAATAAACTCGGCTCTCAGCCAGGCCCGGCAGCAGGCCACCGCCCGTGCTGGTCTTGCTGGTGGCCTGGGGCGCCTTCCTAGCAGTTTCGGGGCCTCAGTTTCTTCCAAGGATGCTGGGTGAGCACTCCGGGTGGTTTCCATGTGACTGTCCCGCAGGGCCTCTGGGGACGCCGACATCACAGTATCTGCCGAAGAACAGGACTTCTGGGCTGAGCGCTAAGAAGATAAAACCGGGTGGTAGGGCGGAGTGTATGCAGGCCTCACACCGAGGGGTGATGTCCGAGCTGAATGGCGGGGAGCCGCCTGGGGCTGTCTGGGGGCAGAGGCCCTGAGGGGGGAACAACCTGCGGTGTCTGGGGACCATCAGGGCGGCCAGTGTGACACAGTGGCATGATGGGTTTGGGGTGTTTAGGAGGTAGGTTGTGTGTGTGTCCTGGTGTGCGAGGGGGGCACCCGAGGGCACTGTGCTGGGTGCTTGAGGCACGGCTGTAGCCTGCTGTCGCTGGCAGTGCCTGGAGGAACCCTGGCTATTCCTCTTCCAGACGGAAAGCGGAGGCTGGGAAGGGGCAGTCCTTCAGCCGCGGCTGTAAGCCGAGCAAGAAAAGCCAGCGTGGGCGCCTGTGAGCGTGGGGCGTCTCTGCCCCTTTGGGGTTCTTGGAGCCCGCCTGGCACTGAGCTCCGGTTATCCATCACCCCCAGCCCCATCAGGCTCCACCATGGTGGGTGCTTGTCTTGCTTGCTTGGAGAAGACAGGCCCAGTTGTGGGTAGGGGTCCTCAGTGGGGAGGCTGGAGGTGGCTACCACATGGTGCGTTGCCGGAGGTGAACCTCAGGTGGCTCCTGCCGATGACACCGGGGCTGTGCCTACCTGGGTGGGGCTCCTCAGGAAAGCCCCTGGACGTGTGCAGGGTGGAGGTGGCCCTTGGGCTGGGCTCTATCACCAGGTAGACAGGCCAGGCTGGCCCACGTGGGTTGCTCTGCCCCTTCCCATGGCAGAGAGCCTCCCCCTCTAAATATAGCCCGGTGGGCTGAGCTCAGGCCTATTTTAGTTCCAGGCTGGGAGGCGGCCAGGCCTTCCCCACGGTCTTAGCAGAGCCACTGCTGCCTCCATCCTGTCCTGCTCCTGGGCGTTTATTTCTCCCCCAAACTGTCCACTGCTTGCCATTCCTGAGGAGACCCAAGAAGGTAGGAGATGTCTGTGAGGGAGAGCGCGGCCCCAGCCTGGAGGCCCTGTGGACAACAGAAACCTGCCCTCGACCCGCTGACCTTTCCTTGGTGGGCCGTCTGTCACAAGGGACCTGGCCTCTGCAGGGGGAAGGGCCTGCCCTGCTGGAATCTGCCCTCACACTGGGCCCTGCCTGCTTCCCCTGCTAGCGATGGCAGGGGGGTACTTGGGAGAGCCACCCAGCTGGGGAGGGCCAACTAGAGGGTGTGCCAAGTGGGTGTGGGCTAGTAGCTAGCTGCCTGGCCAGTTCAGCTCTTCTTACTGGGAGGAAGCTGGGATTGGGGGTGGGCAGTGGTTCCAGGAAGCATTTGGGCCCAAGGCCCAGAGACCAGTTTGATAGGCTTCTGGCTTCCTCCAGCTCGGTCTTAAGTGGCCCCAACTGGCTAGTTTGGGGTTTTGCCCTGGACACAGACTGCTGGTTACAACTGCTGGCCACTCCCCTAATTCCCCCACTGCATGCAATTAGCACAGAGGTTCAGAGAGGCCAGAGCAGGGACCCAGGAAGCTTCAGGGACACTGCTGGCCAGGATGCAGGTCCAGCTGGTGAGCTCCATGACATTTTCAACATTTTACAGGGGATGGGAGGGGCCTGGCCCCAGGTGTGTGGTGGTGATGGTGGTAGTGGTGGTATGGGGTGTTGGGTATTTTCCTCTTTTTGGGGTCTTAATAATGTAATTTACTGTGCTGTTCTTTTAACAAATAGAACCCAAGATCAATTTAGAAAATGTGAGAAAAGCATAGCCAAGTGCAAAGAGAATTAGAATGAATCCCAACCCACCAGCCAGGCCTAATACCTGGCAGCCTCTGTTCTTGTTTTACTCACTTTTGAGTGTGTCATGGGCCAATTTCAAGCAAATCATGAAGGCTGAGTTACTGCTCTGAAAGGGATGGACCCAGAGAGTCCAAATACCCTTGCCCCTATCAGGAGGCGTCCCAATGCTCCCCCTTTGTTATCTAGCCTCCAGCTGGGCACTGGCAGGTCTCAAGGAGCCATGAAGGAGAAAAGATCAAGTCAAAGAACAACCAGAAGAAAATAATTTTTAGAAATCACAAAATAAACACTTCGGGTCCAAAAAAATAGTAATTAAAATCACAAGTAGAAGACACCAGTTGACTAAAGGGTAGACTGTGAACAGATAGTTAAGAAGCCACATATACAATACTGATCAGGCCCTCCAGCAGAGACCCAATCAATGTTCTTTTCTCATTTCCCAACCAAGCACGTTTGTGTGCACACGTCATATAAAAAATGTTTTTCGATGGATATGCCTAGTGGCAGTCATGCTGGACCCTTCTGGGGGCCCTGGACAGCCATTCTGGAGGGCAGTTTGATGACACTTTTAAGAAAAAGTCTGTGCTCTGATCCACGAACTGTGCTTCTGGGAATCTGTCCTTAGTAACTGCTGGGAAATTGGGAAAAACCTTCACACTCAATGGTGCATGTCTTTTCCTAGGAGTTTCTGGTTTCCAAAGGGAACTGGAAATAACCTAAATGTCCAGGCAGTCTCAAAGGGATGCCTGCGGGGAGACCTCAGAGGCATGTGAAACAGTCTGATAACAAAGCGGTCCGGGTGTGATGCCAAGTGAAAACTGCAGGGTTCACAGAAATACAGGGGAATCTGCTGAGTACATTAAAGAATGCTGAGCACGGGCCTGGAGGGCAAGGCAGCCCAGCCAGAATGGGGCTGCCTGTGCTGGGGTCAAGGAAGGTGCCCAGCATGGGGTCTGCAGGGAAAACCCCTAGCGGAAGAGGCAGGAATGCATGTCAGGCACTGGGGTTTAGTCCTCCCCAGGCTGATAAAACTCCTCTTGAGAACAGGCGGAGGAATGCCTGAGTCCTTGAGGTCAGGGAAGGGAACAGGTGTGAGCAAGCCAGGGCACCTGTGCAACGGTGGGGGAAAATGGCCTATGGGGTCATCCCGGCTTCAAATCAAGGGTCATTTCTGAGGTTGTTTTAGATTGGGAGCCAAATACCCCTTTGCCCTGTCCCTGTCTTCACTGAGCCCTGCTGCCCGAGAGCCCCTGGAAGGGAGGGACGGCCCACTGGCTCCATCAGCCCCGCACTGCCCCAGCAGACACCATGGCCCTGACCCTGAGCCCGAGCAGCGGGGCACCCTGTGCCCCCAGCCAGCTGCCGGAGGTGCACCTGCACCAGGTGGAGTCCATCAGCGACCTTCACGGAGGAGGTGAGCGGGGCTGGGAGGGGCCGGGCATCCCGGGGGAGGGGAGGAAGGCAGGCAGCCCGCTGCCCTCCTGAGGCCCCGTTCGCCCGCAGGTTCACTGTGCCCCTACCTGGCTGAGGAGGCACAGCCGTGGAATGAGCTGCTGGGCATCCTGCCGCCCTCGCTGTGTGCCCAGGCCGGCTGCAGCCCGGTGCACAGCCGCGGGGGCTTCCTGGGGCTGCTCGCACTGCTGGTGCTCACCTGCCTGGCGCTTGCCATCCTGGCTGTCTACCTGAGCGGTACGGACAGCACAGGAAGCTAGAGGGAAGCAAGGGCAAGGATGTGGGCATGGGGGAGGCCCTTCTGCCCGGTCGGAAGGAGCAGCTGCAGAGGCTGAGGAGATGGAGGGTGGGCACTGGTGGGGAGGCGCATGGTCTGATGGGGCATCCCTCCTGCTTGTCTCCAGTGCTGCAGGGCGAATCCTTACGCGTGCTGGCGCACACGCTGCGCACGCAGGAGGAGACACTGCTCAAATTCCGGCTGGCCAGCCTCAGCCAGCTGCGGAGGCTCAACTCCAGCGAGGCCCGAGCACCCAGCTGAGCCCTGTGGCCTGGAGGCACGCAGGGAAGGAACTGCCCCTGGCTTCTCCTCTCCCAATGCTGCTCCACGCCACTTCCTCGGGGAGGTTTCTGTACAACAGTATGACCTGACCCCCGCTCCTTGCCTCTTCTGGCTTCTTCAGGCTGAGCCCAGCCATGCCTTCCGGGCCCAAGGCCTTGCTCTGGGTGGCCTAAGGTCAGAGGAAATGAACCCAGCCTCCTGTGGCCTGTCAGCACTCTCTGGGGCCTCCGCCAGGTAGCAGTCTAGAAATAGCTGCCCCCACCCTAGACACCCAAACTCTGCCAGCCTCAGATCTCAAAAGACAAGCTGGGGGGAGGGCTGGCTGGGTAAAGACTATCTTGGAGGGTAGAGGTGAGCGCATGCTGGGGGGACCCAGCTGGGCCCAGCCTAGGGCAGGGTTGGGGGTGGAGGCCAGCAGGAACACCCAGGGGCCACAGAAGGCTGAGAATTCCATTTAATTATCTTCAATAATCTTTACAAATCAGCACAGACTCCCATTCTAAGTAGCCTCGCCTCCTCTCCTGTTGTGGTGGCCTTTGTCCAGATGCCATACCCCCAAGGTCATGGGTCACCCCAGGGGAGCAAAGCTGGAGAGAGGAAGGGACACCCTCCGACTGCCGCCCCACAGCCCTGGGACAGGCACACAGCTGGCCCAGCCTGAGACAGGCCAGGAAGAGGCCACAGGGTGGCGTGTGGGGGCAAGGGACCAGGATCCCAAGGGGCCTGGCCTCCAGCTACCCACCCTGTGTCTGCTTTTAGCTTTGTCATTAAAAAAATAAAGCGACAATTCCTGGCAGGAGCCAGTTGTTGCACTGTCTTCTGTTAAAAATATGGGCAAGGTGTGGGCATCTCCTTTCTGCAGCCCCGCCTCACAGGATGTCTGCCCGCTTGTCCCGCACACGGCCACGAGCCTTGGTCCGGGCCTTGGAGGCAGCAGCATTGTACAGGTGCTGGAGTGGGGCAAAGAGCGACGTGCTGGTGAGCTGGGGAGGAGGCCCAGGACTCCTCTGGGCCTCCAGGCCTCGGGAAGGCAGGGAAGGCAAAGGCGCCCCGGAGTGCAAACCTTCTCACAACGTGCGATCTTGCAGGCCTTCAGGGTGGCGGCATCTAGCACCAGCACAGGGCCCAAGCCAAAGACATCACGGAGCAGCTCGTTGTTCTGGGAACAAAGAGGGCTATGAGCTCCAGCCAGTCCAGGGCAGCCAAGCTGGGTGTCCCCTCCGTCTGCCTCCCCACCTGGAGGTGGTGGTGCATGCCCGAGCCCAGCACGTCTTTGAAGGCAGCATAGACCCGGCGCCGAGCCCAGCTGTCCACATAGAGCACCTCCAGCCCAAAGCGGACTGTGTCTTCCTCGCACTCGCCATCCTGTGAAGCAGAGGGGCCATGACTGGCTGGGCAGCTGTGTGCAGGGGTGCACCCACGCTCAGACGTGTATGTCCCCACACACACCTCAACAAAGTGCAGCACCGCACGGAACGTGGCACGCTGGCGCCGGCGGTCGGCCTTGGCCCGGTACTTGTTACTGTCCGTGGCCAGGGAGCGCAAGGTGCTGCAGAGGGCCTCTGCGTCCTCATAGGTGAAGTCCTCCTGCAATGGGCAACATGTGTGCGTGAGCAGGAGGCCACGTGCTGTCGGCTCTCAGCTTGGGGTTGCTTAAATCCCTCCTTTCACGAGGACGTCGTTTTCCTCTCTGCCTGGCCGTGGCCTGGGCTGCACACCTGCTCAGGGCCTCCGTTAAGGCACCTAGCATCTGAGTCCATGCCAGGGTCACTCCCCTCCGGGACGACCTAAGGCTGCCCTGTATCCAACCTGGGACAGGCAGGTGGTGTGCGCAGGCACCCTCCCTCGCACCTCAAGGTCCCTGGCAAGCTCAAAAAGCAGGGCAATGGTCTCGCCGGCAGCGATCCGCAAGTTCACACTTCCGCTGGCCAGGAGCTGGGGCAGCCGGGGCAGCTGCCTGGGGAAAGGGCAGGCTGAGTTCTGTTGTGGTAAGGGGCCGGGTCACCGCTCCCCTCCCCCACCCAGTGCACAGTCGCCCTACCTGTCCAGGATGTGGCTGATGTGGGTGCTGGGGCAAGCGGTGAGTAGCAACGCCCAGGCCTGCAGGGCAGCACAGAGCAGGCCATGCAGGCTGGCAGGGACCACAGGAGCACTGGAGCCACCCATTCCATAGGCCTGGCTGAAAACACCTTCCAGGCAGGTGAGGCAAGAGACCAGGTCCTAGGGACACGAAGAGGCGGAGGGGTGGCTTAGGGGCAGAGCCAGCGCCTCGGTGCTCTACCACCCATGCCCACAGGTCACTTACCTGAACATCGGCAGCAGCCACGTAGCAGCCCAAGCCAAGAGCAGAAGCACACTGTTGGGAAGAAGGCAAAGCCAGGCCACGGTCAGAGCATGAGCCTGGTTCCCCAGCCGTGGGGCTCGCCCTCAGAGTAGGGGAGCCTGGAGGCAGGCTCAGGGGTTAGGTGAGTGGCGGTTGTCATGGAGCAGAGGGCACTCACGTGGAGCCGGGCCGCAGGGCTGGCTGTGGTGTCACTGAGCACAGACACCAGGAGGGGCTGCATGCTGTGGAAGAGCTCTTCGCCCTGGGGCCCAGGGCCCAGCTGCACGCAGAGCAGGCCTAGCAGAGCAGCAGCCAGGGCCTGCTCCGTGCCCTTCCCTGCAGGAATGCCGTCTAGTCAGCCTGCGTGGCAAGGGCTGGCCCTCGGTCCACTCGGGTCCCTGGGGCCCCCGGCCCCACCTTTCCTGAGGCATTTTTCCAAGGCATCAGCCAGCGTGAAGCGGCGCTCCAGCAAGAAGTCGGGGAGCAGGCGGGCCACCAGGGCCAGGCGCAGGCTCTCAAGAGCACCTTGCCGGGTCTTGGCACTGGGGGATGAAGAAAGGGATCTTTTGGGCTGGCCCCACTCAGGGGGCACCTGGTGCAGGCTTAGCAGGGACAGGGTGCAGGGGCTGGCTGGTGGTCAGGGTACCTCTTATCTGCAAGGCAGTCCACGTACTCTTTCAACTTCCCCTCAAGCTCCTCCTGCTGGCCCTGCTCATCCACGATGTCCCCCACTGCAAGACCAGCTGGTCAGTCCTGCTTGCTGCCCTCCCAGGGAGCCCCCACTGGAGTTCCCCCAAGCTCCCACACTCTCACCAAGGCTGCCCTCCGCCGTGGTGCTAAGAAGGCTGGGGCATTCACTGGTGCTGCTACGGGACTCGCTCCCGGCCTCATCCTCACTGGAGCCTGAGTCAGCAGGAGCCTGGGTGCTGCTCCGTGCACCTGGGGAGGTGGAACAGGGCACCTGGCCTGCCTCCATGGATGAGTGACAGCTGGGGCACCTCCCCCAGCCTCATGACCCCCCAGGTCAGAATGCTGCCCCTCTCAGAAAACAGGCTAAGGTCGGGGCACAGGGCCTGATGCAGAGAACACAGAGCCAGGAAGCAGGAGAAGGGGAATGAGGTCTATTTGTTGGAGAGGATGGGGCACCAGGCCCTGTCTAGGCACACCTGGCAGGCTTGGTGAGCAGAGCTACCCTGAAACCACAGCCTGCTTCGAGGAGACCAAGAGTCAGGCCGAGCCAGAAGGCACTGTACAGGCCCCACCTACACCTTTAAGTGGGGGCAGATCCTGGGGGAACTCTGCCACCAGCCCCAGAGTGACCAGGACAAAGGCCAAGGACTTCAGTTATATATCCAGGCAGACCCAGGAATCAAGTACCAGCTCCACATCTTAAAAGGGGTGTGACAAGGTCAGGAGCCTAGCTTTCAAAGCCTGTCTCTCCATCTGCAAAACAGGGGCAAAAGCACCTCTGGGTAGACAGGTGAAGACAGTGACTGACTGACAAGGGACGAGGCACAGCTCTTCTGTGGGCCAGCAAGCCTGCCAGGTCATCCGTCTGCCCTGGGGAGGCATCTCGTTCCTAATGGGTGTGAGCAAGTGCCCCAGGCTTCAAGCATTCTGTCCTCTGAGTACCCCCTGGTCCATCCCAGGCCTGCAGCCCTGGGTGGGTGGACACAGGCTCCTCTAGACTCTGGGAAGTGCAGGGAATGAAGTGGCCCCTGACTGCATGACACCCTGGAAATAGGGGAACACGGGGCAACATCCGGGTCAGCAGAGCTGACACACTGCCATGTGTGGATCCTGGCCAGGGCCAGGGGCTGACTCTGGCAAGGACGGCTGCCACAGCAGAGCCCCAGACTGGTTCTGGTCACCAAGCTGGCCTTCCATCTCAGGAACTGCATCCTCCATGTGTGCTGTTCTTCTCTCACCACCCTACCTGCCAGAGCAGCCCGGCCTTTTTTCATATGCTCCCCTGGGCCACGGTCCCTCCAGAGGTCAGGACACCGCACAGTCCGTCCCTCCACATGCGCTCTCTTCCTCACCTCAGCCTCAGACAGAAGCCCCTGCCTCAGGGCTTCCTTGGTGCCCAAGTCTGGGGCTGACACCACTCGGTAAACTTGACCCTCAGCACCAGTATTTCTGGAAAGCTGCTAACTTCCAAAGGGCCCCACCTCAGCACCAGCACCATGAGGGCGGTGGCCGGGTCTGAGCTGCCAGGGGCCCCATCCCTGCAGAGTAAACGTGTGTGTTTACTGCAGCACCACACTCCTGGTCCACACTGATAAGTCTCGGGACGGCCGCAGGGGCCAGCGCACCCACCCACCCTCCAGGGCCAGGCCCGCCAAGGTCCTCATCCTGCAGCTTCCCCTTGGCCCCTTCCCCAGTTCTCCCGGGCAGGCCGGGACTCCCGCCAACTTGCCGGTCCAGTCCAGGAACCAAAGGATCCGGGGCTGGCGAGGGGGCGGGCGTTTGTCCCGCACAGCAGGAGACTGGGGAGGAGGTGCGGCGGGGACACCGGGCGGAGAGGCTCTGGCAGGGCCGGGCAGGCAGTGCCGGTCCCGACCTGCGAACCGCGCGCAAGCTGGCGCCCACGTGGCCGCTGCCTCCCGGGACACGTGCGGGCCGCGGCTGCGTCTCGCGAAGCAGCGCTGGGCTGCCGCGGCGGAGGGGCTGCCTCGACGGGGCGCACGCCCAGGTCCCTCAGGGACGCTGACGGGGGCCGAGTAGGGCCCCGCTCGCCGGTCACCGGCTGCCCGGACCCCACTTACCCCCTCCACGGCGCGGGCCGCCCTTGCGGGGCGCGCCGCCCTTGCGGGCGCGAGGCATGCCGGACACCGGGCGCGGGCTCAGGGGCCCGGCGGGCGGCGGCGGCGCAGAGGGACGCCAGCAACGCGGGACCGAGCCTGCAGCGGACGGCGGCGGTTGCACGCGGCGCGCGCCACCATCTTCGCCGGGCGCTCCGCCCCGCCTCGCGGGCCGCCGGGAAGGCGAGTCCGGGCCGTGCGGCCCCGGCCTGCGTCCGCGAGGCCGAAACTACGGCTCCCAGGGGGCCGCGCGCGGCGGACCGAGCTGCCGCTGCCGGCACGAGCCGCGCCCCCAGCACGTCTGTCCCCGCGCCGAGCCCGGGGCCGTCTGGGACCCACGCACCACGGCCGCAACGTCTTAGGGCACTTGCGGCCCAACACTTGGGACGGGAAGAGCGTGGAGCCGGTAGGCCGGGCAGCCGGACCTCGGGCAATGAAGGAAAGGTGCCTTTATGATGAAAGCGAGTGTAGACAGCAGGTTAGCTCTTACAGCCCATAGGCCAGATCTCCCTGGGTGGGGCCCACCTGCCCCTGGACGGTCCTGTCGCCTCCTGGAACAGAGCCCTGGGCTGGCAGCCCCGACCCTCTGGAACCCTGGCCCTCCCTCCTTGTCAGGAGGGACGGGCCCTGTCAGGGGGCCTCCAGTGCTAAAATAGAGTAAGCGTTTTCTCTGGCCCTTCCAGGGATCCCGTGGGAAGTCGGGTGTGTGTACCGGAGGGCTGACAGTAAGCTAAATGGAACAGGATGGACAGACTCCTCCCTCCAGGAGGGGGAAATGGCAGCAAGGACAGGAGGGGCAGGCACAGGTGACTCCTGGCTTTATGCTGCTTCTTCAGGCGCAGGATCAGGCCCGGGCTCCCCGCAGGTCTGGCCAGCCCAGCCTCGGTAGCAGTGGCAGCTGAAGGACTGCCACGCCCCAGGGCTGCCGTCTGGCTGCAGGTGCAGAAAGGCTTCCAGCTGTCCGGGGTCTCGCCGGGCACAGCGCCCGCGGCCATGGCACCACTGCTGACTGCAGGCCATGGCCGCCCTGGTCACGTTGGTCACATAGGGGCCCAGGGTGCCCAGCAGATAGTCGTGGAGCTGCCAGCACTTGTCCTGAGAGGGAGGGATGTACTGATGCTCCTGCTCCATGGCCTGCCACGGCTTCCCCCGACCCCCGGGACCCCAGCATGGGCTCTGTTCAGTGATCACCTCAGAGCTGGAGAAGCTCAGGTCCCCCCAGAGCACCACGCCGGCTGCCCCCAGCGCTGCACTCACACCGACAGTCTGCACAAGGTCATCCTGGAGGAGAAGAGCTGTTAGGCCGGGGCTGGGCAGGCTCCACCCGCCTGGGCCTACCTCTGCCTTCAAGGAACTTTCCTGGTCGTGGCTGCGGTCCAACTCGAGCGGAGGCCCCAGCGGCACTGAGCCTGGGAGTGGCTTCTCAGGCTCACCACTTGGACCAGGGCTCCGGAGGCTGGGCCTTGCCTTCCCTCAAGACCTCCCAGGGCAAAGCCACAACCATGTCAGATGCTTTGCTGGGGAACTCCCTCCTCAGGGGTACAGAGGGCTTCCCTGTCACGTTCTCCTGGGCCAGGGGCCTCAGACCTCTGTAAGATGGGGCCATGCCTGTCTACTCAGACCCCCAGCCCTCAGCTTTCACTCACCTGGGACAAGAACCTCCCAGAGCGCCGGTGTGTGAGGCGGACGTAGGCCAGGACAGGCAGGGGATGCTGGTGCCCAGCGAGGGCCACGCGGAAGGCCTCCTGCAGGCGGTACCGAACAAATGTCTGGCGGTGCACCCGCGGCAGTCCAGGTGGGAGGTAGATGCTGGGGAAGAGGGCACTGGAGGCGGCCCAGAGCCAATGCAGGTGCGTGTTGCGAACGAGGGTGGCTTTGTGGCAGTGACCCGTGTAATTGGAAGCTGAACTGTGCCAGCCATTGCCACAGGCTGGGAAGCGGTAAAAGCCCCAGAGTCCAAGGGGCCGCAGCGCCTGGCCCAACCGCAGAGTGTCCTCCATCAGTGCCCGGGCTGCCTGTTCAAAGCCAGTGCGGGCCTTGTGGAGCTGCTCCTGGGGGCCCAGGAGGGGGAATACCCGCTGTGCCCAAGCCCATGAAGCTGCCTGGTAGGCTCGGCGGCGGCCCCAGTTCCCTGCCCAGAGTGGACACCATTCCTCCCAGTCCAGCACTGCCAGGCCAGGGAAGCCAGGCCCCATGCTCCAGTGGATCTGGCAGGCAGCCTGTGCCAGGTGGCGGTCAAGGGGCACAGCCTGGGGGATGCCCCCATTGTGAGCTGTGCCCCTGGGCCCAAAGTAGGGATAGAGGCCGAGCTGGTTCTTGTAGAAGATGGTGATATTCTGACCGTGGAAACGCTGGCCATGGTTGGCTGTGATGCCCAGGGCCTCTAGTGGTAGGTGCACATCAAAGCGGGTCTTACAGTGTGCTGAGGGTACATTCCACAGCACAGAGAAGGGGCGTTCCGGGGCCCACAGCTGGGGCTGGCCATACCCCAGGCACAGGGTCACACCTAGCACCAGGGCTAGGCCGGGCTGCATGGTCATGTCCCAGGGATGGACACCTGCAGGAGAGATGGGGTGGGATCTTAGTCTGGGGCCAAGGGTACACCTTCCCTAGAGCTCAGGAAGATGGGCAAGCTCTCCCAAGTTTGGAGGGCAGGGAAAGCATGGTCCCCAAGGGGTCCCCTAAGACTCTGAGCTGCCACCCGACACTGGCCTGGGCAGCTCCCCTCCTGTGCTGGGCACCACTGAGCTCTCTGACACCTTGTCCACCCAGAGCTCTCAGAAGTGCCCATCTTGTTTCCTGCCCCACCTTGCCTGGCTGAATTTCTGCTCAGCATTCAAGTCTGCTGTGGCATCATCTTCCCTGGAAGGTCTCCTGGGTCTACAGGTGGAGTGGCAGCATCTGACTCCCTGTCCCAGCATGGATCCCGCCTACCCACCCCCCTACCTGTCCCTGTGGGTGGAGACCCTATTTCCTCATTGCCTGTTCTCAGCCCAGGGTCTGACACAAAGTAGGTCCTTAGTGAATGGTGACAGGCGAGTGAATGTGAAAGGAGACACATGCTCCCTTGTCTCCTGGGCCTGGCAAAGTGGGAGGGGCAGAGAGCACATGTCCCTCCATCTATGGCTCAGGGCTAAAGTAGATATGGGAGCTCCTGTAGGGACAGGGGACCATAGATGAGAATGGAAGGCAAGGACAGGGGTCAACAAAATTGTCACAGCCACACCTAACAGAAGTCTTTATTCAGCCACACTGACAGCTCTGAGCCACACCTGTGGCGCCATCTTCTGGCCGCACTGGCACTAAGCTGCCCCAGGGGCTAAAGGCTGAGGTATGGCCAGTGGGCTGACACAGGTATTGTGCGGGGCAGTCCACCGACCCAGAAAGAGTGCCTTGCCCTGGGAGGCCCTCAGATGTCCTTCTCCATCCAGAATATGGGGCATCCTCTCAGGTCTTGGTACTGCGTGTCCGGCAGGCCTTGTGGAGGGGCCCCTGCTGGAGGTGGGGGTGTGGTGGTCAAGGGCTCAGGCAGGGGAGGAGGTGGTGGCAATGGTGGCCCCTTGGTTGTTCTTGGGGCAGCCTGGGCAGTCAGGCCAGGGGCCTTGCAGGGTGGCCGGGGGGAGGGGGCCCTGGGGAAGGCTCTGAGCAGGGTGGCAGGCAGCTGTTGGCTAGTAAAGACCAGGCCCTGCACAGGCTCACCCAGCTGGTAGCCCAGGTGGGCATAGAAGTACAGCTGGTCATGGGTGGTGAGGTGCAGCCGGCGGAAGCCTCGAGCCTGAGCAAAGGCCTCCAGACCCTCCATGAGGCGGCGGCCAAAGCCTTGGCCCCTCAGGGCTCGGGCCACTACCACTGTCTCCACCAGGAGGCTCTGCGGTCGGTCCAGCACCCGTGACAGGCGGGCATGGCCCACCACAATGGGGGCTTCCCCGGGTGTGGGGTGGGGGCTGAGCAGCATCACGCAGAGAGGGAAGGCATCTGAGGACTGGCCCAAGGAGTGCAGGCGGGAGGCACGGCTGCGGGGCCACTGCTCATTGATAAGGTCAGCACAGGCGCCTAGGAGCTCGGGTCGGCAGTGCACAGGCTCCAGGGTCAGCTCAGCTAGCCTGGGGGCTGGAGTCTTCTCTGGGGGCTGTGAGGGCTCCAGGGGCAGCTCAGGTGAGCCACAACTGAGGGGCATCTCTGGACGGCACGTGGAGCCTGGGATCAGCTCAGCTAGCCTGGGGCTCAGGGCCAGCTCTGGCTGGCGTGCAGGACCCGGGGTCAGCTTGGCCAGGCTGGATCTCAGGGTCAGCTCTGGCTGGCGTGCAGGATCCAGCATCGGCTTGGCTGGGCTGGGACTCAGGGTCAGCTCCATCCAGTGTGTAGGGTCTGGGGTAGGGGTCAGCCCTGGGTCAGGGCTTTGGGTCAGCTCTTGCCTATGTGTAGAATCCACGCCCAGCTGAGTTCGGCTGGGAGCCAAGGTCATCTCCTGCTGGGTTTCAGGTGGCTCAGCACCAGGCTGGGCGTTAAGGCCACAGTCTCCATGAAGTGGCATCTCCTCGGACCACAAGGGTGCTCCTCCTGTGGACAACAGCCATGCTGGGCTGTGCCAGGAGGGAGGACGGGGTTGGGGCAGGGAGGGGCTGACAGGGTGCCAGGGAGGCCATGCATCCTGAACTGGTGGGCTGCACCTTGTCCCTATACTCACCGGATGGTACAGAGGACCTGGAGGAGACCATTCCCTATATCCGGGGGAGCTGACTAGATGGACAACAGAGAGCATGGGTCAAGGGTATCCTGCCCCACATTGAACGGTGGCTGAGGGCTATAGGCTGACAGAGAACCCAAGAGTCCTGGCCCCAGCCTGCTCTGGTTACAGCTTTGTTCTCCCTAGGACAGTTGATCCAGTCCTATGCCATCGGACAGAATGTGCAAACTAGATACTATGACCCCTGGCTGAAACCCACCCAAGGCTCCCTTTGGAGGGAACGTAGCTGCACCCCAGGGGCTCTCTTGTCCCTTCCTTCTCCCTGCATCCCAGGTCCCAGCCTTCTGACCACCTGGGCCGTGCCTGCCAGCTAGCCAATCCTGGAGTACCACTTACCCACTCATCAGGCTGTTTTCCACCCACTTTGGACTGCCTTCCCTGCCCAGGGCACAAAGCCCATGGCCATATCCCCAACTCCATCCAGCTCGGGATGCTTTGGACATAACGCCAGCTCTCCCCAGATGGTCCCGAGCAGCACTAGCAAGAGGCCTGGCTCAGTCACACAGCAACGTGGCTCCTGCAGATGGTTCCCCATGGCCTGAGTTTGGTAGCCACCCTAGATAAGGACCACAGCTTCCTTCCTACATCCACCGGGGTGTCCAACGGCCACCAGGTTGAAGGCCCAGACGCCCCTGGGCCCAAACCACATTGTTTGCCCATGCTGCTCCAGGCCCTGCTGGCAGGAGGGTCTATGCTGGGGAGTTTCTGGCGCTGGGGGGTGGGGGGGCCCACTGGGCCCTAACCTTTCTGCTCACCTGCTCCAGACGGACGTCCTGGCTCCCCTTCCCCACCTCCCCAGGAAGGTCCCTGAACTTGGGGTTAGTTCCACACTCGTCAGTAATAGGTAGCCCCCTCCCCACACCACGTGCCCCTCACCTGCATCAGCCACCTCCGCAACAGCCGCACCTCTGGACCAAGAGGAAGGAAGTCCCAGGATCCGCCCCTGGGTCTGGAGCCCCAGACTTCCCCGCGGGCTCCACCCCCTCGGAGCCGCCCCGCCCACTGTGGGCAGGGCTCCTGGGGTCCTACGAGGCGGCGACCTCCCCCATTACTCGGTTTTCCCCTCCCACCCAGTGGGTGACAAAGTGGGTCGGGGGCTTTGAGAGCTTGACTCCGAGTGGATGTGGCTTGGAGTGATCTGAGAGAACGACAAATACGGGGATGGCGTGCGAGGAAGCGCCGCCACTCGAGGCCCGCATGCGCGGGGACGATGGGGCCGAATACGCCGCGTGGGGAGGGGCAGTACTGACATGCTGGAGCCGGGCTTCGGGGGGCTCCGCGTCCTCGCTCGGCAGGGTCGGGTCCCGCTCTGGCTCCTCCGGCCGCCCGCGCTGGCCCCTGGCGGCGCGGCGGACGCACTGCAGCCGTCGCGGCCCGCGGCGCTCCCCGGGTCCCGAGTGTCGCGTGGCGGCCAGGGCCCGCCCCCTCCCCGCGCGTCACAACTCCGCCCGACACAGACCCTGTCTCAGCGCTGGCCCCGCCCCCGCCCCCGCCCCGCAGTGCCCGCCCGCCCGCCGCCTCCCGCCGGTTTCTGAAATAGGTGCCCCGTCCCGGGAAGCTGCCGTCTGGGGCCGGCGTCGGCGTGGGAAGGGGTCTGCGACTGTGCGTCTCAGGCGTGAGCCAGCAGCCCGGAGCCGTCCCGGGGCTCCGTGGGCCCTGGGGCCTTTGCGCCGCTCTGCTCGCCGGAGCACCCTCCTCCCACGGCCGCACAGCGTGGGGCCGCGCACCTGGGGCGAAGCGCTTACCCTCCCAGGTGTGCTTTGGGGTCCTCACCGCGCCCGAGGACCGAATGAGTTGGCCTGCTTGGCGCCTAGCATGCACGGTGTAAGGCAGAGGCCCCGGGTGGGCTCCGTGGCTGCGGGTTCCGCGGGCTAGGGGCCGGGAGAGCGCGGGACCTTGTGTGCTTCTGCGGGCGTAAGCTGTGCGTGGCTGCGCACGGACTGACCGGGACTCGGGTGACACTGTACCTGAGAAAACGAGGCCAGGCTCGGAGTGCATGGCGATGTGAAGTGAATGATGCACCCTCTCCTTCCGGATGGAGTCGGGCCAAGAGAGATTTGGCCTACCGCTCCTTGCAACCCTTTGCAGACCCGGGCGGAAGAAGCCTGCTCTATCCAGGAGGAGGGAAGGTTTCCTCCACCCTAGCAACAGCCTAGCCAATGAGGAGCCGCTGCGTGAGGCTCCAGAACTTTTTGCTTGCAACAGCCCTCCCAGATTGGCCCTCTGCTCTGTAAAAGAGCCTCCTCTCCTTTGTTCTCTGGATTTTGTAAATCTGCCATTCCCAAAGAAACTCATTTTTGCTGGTGAAATAACTGTATTTTTAAGATCAACAGGTGCTCAATTCGTGCATCTCCATGAGTGGCCAATCATCACACCCCGGGATGCTCACACCGTGCTCCCTTCCAGCCAGGGTAGCAGCGACATTTAAACTCTGTAGCCATTCGCACCCGATCCTCAAGTGAGAGGGCACCTCTCAGGCTCAGGGGGCTGCCACCAGGCGTGAGCTGGATGGAGAAACTGGCAGGGTTGAGGATGAGGAGGGCCTCTGGGTGGCTAGGGTGCCGAGCACAGCGTCCGTGGCCCGAGCACAGGACTTGACTGCACAGAAGAGCCCCGCTGGTCACATTCAGGATGAAGGGCCCCAGCGTGGTGTCCATGTACTTCTTGATGGCCTGGCATGATTCCTGGGTGGGTAGGGGGGCATCAGGGACACCACAGCTATTCACAGCCCCACTGAGGGCACTGAGGTACTTACCTGCTGGCCAGCCAGGTCCAGGGTGGAAAGGGTGGGCCAGGGTCTCTGCCATCAGGCGGGCAGTGCCACCCCCACCCGCGAAACCCCTGCCCGGGCCAGAGCTCACCTTCGTTTGCGTGTCCTCCCAGCTCACCCACAGCACCACTCCTGCTGCCCCCTGAGCTGCACTCTCCCCCACACTGTGCTCCAGCTCATCCTGCGGAAAGGGCCAGCAAAGCTCCGTGGGCCCCCTCCCCACAGCACACTTCCATAACACCGCTGCAGGGGACAAAGGATTCACAACCCCACCTAGGGCTGCTCTGGCCCTGGTGGCCAGAGGCGAGCCTGCCTGCACCCGAGCCTGGGAGTGCCATGTGGGCAGGGACATCTCTCTGATGAAGGCCGACTATTTTGTGCTGAGCACAGCTTGGTGCACAGTAGGTGCTCAAAGAATGTGCGAGTGAATGGACGAAAGTGCTTCCAGGCTGTGTGGCCTCATTTGCTGGACCTATAGCCCAAGGTGGGCCGGGTCAAAGAAAGAGACTCACCAAGGGCAGAAAGTGGTCTGTCTTGTCATAGACGATCTGGGCATAGGGCAGCACTGGTAAACTGAGGTCCCCAGCAGCCTCAGCCACACGGAATGCCTCAGCCACACGGTGCCGCACATACATCTGTGCTTTTCCTGTGCCCTCCAGCCCTGCAGGCAGGTAGATGCTGGGGTAGAGGGCACGGCTCTGGCCCCACAGCCACCCCAGCTGGTCATTCTGGGCACGGATGCTCGGTAGGCACTGCCCTGTATAGTTAGGGCTGAGAAAGTCATAGTTGTAGCAGTCAGGAAATCCATAGAAGCCCCAGAGGCCACAAGGCCGCAGTGCTTGCCCCAGCTTGAGGGTGCCCGCCATCCAGGCCCGTGCAGCCTCTTGGAACTGGTCCCGAGCTGCTGTCTCCACCCGATGAACCGGCCAGTTGGGGTGCTGCCCCTGGACCAGGGCCCGTGAGCGCTGCCGGTAAATGTCCTTGGCATCCCAGTTGAAGGCCCAGCGTGGGCGCCATGCCTCCCAGTCGATGACTGCCAGCCCTGAGAAGTTGGATGCAGCTATGGCAGCCTTGATGTCCTGGAATGCGCGGGCGAGGTGGGCCCCCAGGCTGGCATTCTGGGGCAAGCCACCAAACACAGGGTCCCCAGCCGAAGTGTAGTAGGGGTAGGTCCCTAGCTGGGAGCTGTAGAAAATGGTCATGTCAGGGCCACGGAAGGTCTGCCCAGGGTTGGCCACCACGTCAAAGACACTGATGTCCACATCCACGCCGTGCCTCTCCAGGCACCACTGGGTGTTTGCGTTCCAGATGGTGGTGAAGGGCTGTTTGGGTACCACGGGTCCCCTGGAGCCTTGGGCCATGCCAAGCAAGGTCAGGAAGAGGGTGCAGATGGGAAGTAGGTGGGCTGCCATGGCACAGGGTGGGTCTAGGGAAACCTGTCCAGGAGAGGCAGAGCTGCAAGCAGGCCTGGAAAGCCCCAGGCCCTGCTCTGGCTTCACGTGAACTCACACTGGCAGGGCCCAGGTGCCAGTGGTCAGAGGGCAAAGGAGAGGCATGGAAGAGGGCAGCACCGTCTCCAGGCCCAGCCTCTGCCCTCCATCTCCCACAGGCCTTGCCCTGGCCTACGCTCACTTGCCCTCTTCCCAAGGGCCACAGACATCATGACATGTCTTGAGAAGAGGGGCCCAGAGCCAAACCTTCAGCCCCCAGGCTGACCTGACGATGGGGGCCTTTCCTGCCTCTTCCCCTGGGAATCCTGGCCCGCCTATTAGCGCAGGGAACGCGCGGCAACCAAAGACAGGGTAGCCCAGCCCTCCTGCACACCCGCCAGCGGGCCCGCGTGTCCCTGCTGACCTCAGGCCTGAAGGACCTCGGCCTCCGCACTTCCTGACCCCAGGGTAAGGGCCTAGGCAGGGCTCAGCAAGATTCTGTTCCTCAACTCAGGCCCCAGCTGCACCTTAGGACTCTTCCGCTGCTGGAAGCGCAGAGCTTTCGTGGGGGCCACCACACCCAGCCTGGGGGCGGGCTGGAGGGCGGGCCAGGCCGAGGAACCACCTCTGCACCCCCACAAAGTGCCCTTGGTAGGTGGGGCTGGGCTGGAAGCGGTCCCTCCCACCCTGTCAGCACAGGGCAGGCTCTGGGGCTTTATTAGGCCTGGGGTGTGGGCGGAGGCAGGGCAGGGGGCCGGCCTGCCTGTGACCCGGGGGCCTGGGGGCCTCGGGGGTCACATACCCAAGGAGGGCACTTGTTCTTGGGCGCTGGGTGCTTCTGCCTTTGTTGGCCTCTCCTCAAAAAAGTATTTAAAAATATACAACTATGTTCATATAAAGGCAAATGTAATCCAGACTGAATTCCTTACTATATATTCATGATTAATATATATTTTCCCTGATGGAAAAATTAAAACATTCTTGCAGGGCCTAGAGGTACTGTAGCCCTAGGCCCTGTGCCTAGTGGGTAAGTCATCCCTGCTTTAAGGGTCTAAGTCTGAGAGGCACTGTGCTCATGAAGTCAGGGCTGAGTGTCACCTGTGTGTGCGTACCGGGCCAGGGACTGTGTCTCTGTAGATTCCCAGTTAGCAACCATCTGTGCCAACGCCAGCAGAGCCCATGTGTGTGCGTGGAGGACCCGGTGCTTGCCAGACGCTGTGGCCTTGTGACCATGAGACCCTGTTTGTGTGACCATGGGTGAGCATCCATGTGTCAGTGACCATGTGCCCGTTCACTCCACAGTTTTGCTGACTCAGAAGCTGGCTTTGGAGACGGCTCTGCGCCCGGGCCCAGCCTGCCTGCGGGGGGGGGCAGAGGAAGCATGTCCCTGGCCTCGGAGAATGTGCTGCCCAAGTCTGCAGCCCAGTCTGAGCCTCAACCAGTGACACCCCTCCACCCTGGGGCACAGTGGTCACGGGAGCTGTGACACAGCTGGCTAACACTTGGGATTGGTCCTCCTGGCTGGCAGGAGAGGGCACGGAGGGGGCTCATTAGCCTCAACCTAAGCACAGGATCCGGTCACAGAGGTGGTCACTGATCCTGTTTAGAAAACAGGTCCCAGAGCAACGGCAGGCTCAGAGAGTCTGGCACAGCTCCCAAGCACTGAGCTGACAGAACAACATCGCGGCAGGCCCCGCCTCCCCAGGGCTCCATGCTACGTTCTGGTTCCCCCCGAAACCTGGTACCACAGCAGGACGCAGCCAAGCAGCAGGCCGCAGTTCTCCGGCTGACTGGATCCCAGGTGGAGCAGCAGGAAGACGCTGGGGTGCCAGGAGCCCTCCCACCCCAGGGCCCTGCCTGAAGGCCTGCTCCTGCTGGGTGGGCCCAAGAGGGATGGGTCTGGCTGGGGTCAATCCAGCTGCCTGGCCTGCCCTGCTTGCCCTCTGGTTGTACAGACCCGAGGTCTCTGAGCCGCTTCACTCTGCTCTGTCCCCACTTCCACCCCTACTCCCCCAGGACAGCTCTGGCTTATCCCCAAGGTACACTTTCCCCAAGGCCTTTGGCCAGGTCATCCTGGCACTGGGGAGGTTCATAGGTTTGTGTGGAGGGATCACAGTTGTGTGGGCAAGGTCACAGCTGTATAGGGGATGTCACGGATGTTTGGGGAAGGTAACAGTGGTGTAAGGTCACACATGTGGGGTAATCATAACTCTGCACGTAGGGGGTTACAGGTATACAGGAGTCATAGCTCGGAGAGAAAGGTCATAGTGTGGGGGAGGTCACAGCTGTGTGGGGAGTCAGGTGTGCGGACGGCTCACAGCTCCTGCTTCCTCGCCCGCCTCCTGAGGGCGCCGTCATCTCATGGCCTTACTGACCAACACCTGAGTCTTCTCCCCAGCAGGTCTGCCCCCAGCACGACCGCAAGCCCTTGGGGCCTTCCCCCTTCCAGCCTCCTCCACCCTGTGCACAGACATTGCCCTCCCAGCGCTGCCCCCAGCCCCTTCTCTCCATTCTCTGCCACCCCCAGCCAGAGGGATGCTGCTCCCCAACACACCCCGCCCTGGTGGCTTGCCTCCCTGGGCCGCTCCACTGCCTGGAATCTGATGGGGTCTTCGCCCTCACCCCCCAATGAGCCTCGCCCTCTGTCACCCCCACAGGACAGGGTGGTTACTGCTGGAGTGTGTGTGAGCAGGGAGACAGGGCCTTTGTCTGCAAAGCCAGCCCTGGTGCCCGGGGCTGCCCCTCCTGCCGCTGTGGGCAGCTCCCGGAAGCCACGCCCCAGCCTGGAACGCCTGCCCCAGCTGTGCTCGGGCTTCCTCCAGCCTCTGCTCTGCTTTGTTTCCAGCATCAAGCTTCCCCTGACCTTTCCCAGCTCAGCACAGAGCACTTCCCTGATGATACCCCCCTGGAGTCCCCATGGCTGGGCTGCCCCCCTCACCACTTGTCTTTTCTTGTCTGCCTCCTGAGGGTAGGGGCCGAGGGACCACTGACAAGGACAGAGGGACCCCAGATGTGGGTCTGATGGCTGAATGTGGGGGACAGAGACCCAAGCAGGGTGACTCCCTTCAGGGGCAGGGGAATGAAGCAGGTCAGAGCTGGCTTGGCTCCCCTCCGCCCCCCGGGTGATGTTCTCCCACAGCCAGGACAGGGCAACCTCTGAGGGTGTCCCTGCTCCCAGGCTTGACACTGCCCCTCACCCTCCCACTCCCCAGGCGTTCTGCAGTGGGACAGGGGCTGGACCTCAGGATTCTAATCCCAATCCCCTGTTCATCCCCCCACCCCCAACCATACCCAGGAGGACTGTGACCCAGAACAGGAGAGGTGCTGGCAGCTGGAGTCCACTGCCCTTGGGAGCAGGGAGTGGGGAGTCTTCTGCCCTTGCCTGTGGGAACAGGGAGGGGCTGGCTGGCTACCAGCCCGGCTAGGGAAGATCAAACATCCACTTCCCCTGCTCTCCCTGGGTGGGCAAGGTGAAGCAACTGGCACTGCCCGGCTGGGGACACACAGGCTAGTAGGAGCACAGTGAGCCTCATCTATCCCCAGAGGTTACGTACAACTGCTACTTCTGTCCCCTCGATATCGGGGAGGCAAGGTCCCTGGTGCTAGGGGAACAGAAGTCCCCTCACACCCAGTGGCCCTGCCCCAGCAGGTCAGCTGCAGAGTGGGCAGTCCCGGGCCCCCAGCAGTCACACGGAGACACAGCTGAGCTCAAAACTCATGGGAGACCCTGCATTCTCTCAAAGGCCCTGACCCGGCACAGACAGTTCAAGCACAGGAGCAGTTGTTTTATATTTAACTTACAAAAGAGACCCCAAAATAATAATAATAAACCATCCAGGGCCGGGGGAGTAGGGTTAGGTCCCCCCCAAGGTCTGGCTGTGACCCTCTCCCTCTCTGGCAGGGAGATAAGGGGCCTCCCAGGGGACTGCCCTTCCCCCTTAGAACAGGGGAGTGAGGGCTGCTACAGACACCCTACTGGGCATCCAGGGGCTGTGCTGCCTCCAGATTTGTTCATTCACCCCTTGCAGGCTCCTACCTGCCTGACAGATGGGTGAGAGACCCCTATGAAGTCCAGGTGAGAGCCAGGGCTGCCACAGCCAGCAGGCCAGTGGGGTGCAACCCAGCCCAGGCCACACTGGCACGGCCGGCAGCCCGCCTATGGTCCCACTGGCACTGCTCGCCACCCCAGCCTAGGTAGCATTGGCAGCGAAAGTGCATCTGCAGGTGGTTGAGGTCGACCCAGCTGAGCTCCCCCTCTGGTCGCAGCTGGGGCTCACCTGGGGCATGGGTAGGCACGAGGCGGAAGCTGCTGGCACTGAGGTGCAGGAAGGTACTGGCGCTGGGGTCGCGGCGCACACAGCGCCCGTGGCCATGGCACTGGGCCCAGCTGCAGTACTGGGCGGCCCAGGACACGTTGACAATGTAGGGTACCAGCAGCCGTGTCAGGTAATCCTTAAGGTACTGGCAGGTCTCCTGGGGGCAGAGGCAGGATCAGGGTCAGCAGCCTCAGCCCCCAGGCCCAGCTGGGAACTCTGGGCCCACACTGCAGAGCCGCACCTTAACTGTGCTGCTGAGAAAAGGGCAGGGGCAGAGACCAGAGCCCACTAGGGCAGGTGGGAAAGGGTAGGCATGTCCCCTTTCCTGGGGACATCTTCTCTGTTGGGACCAGGGAAGCCTTGGGTGGGGGGCAGACAAGGGGGTCAGACAAGGTCTGCCCACCTTGAGGTTGTGGCCCAAAGCCCCACCTGCCTGCCGCTTGCAGACTCAGCCCCAGATGGCTGGGTGGGTCTTACCGTGCTGGTGGTGTAGCCTGCGTCGCCCCAGAGAATGACGCCGGCCGCGCCCAGGGCTGCACTCTCACCAATGGTGGAGATGAGATCCATCTGTGGTGGGGGCAGGAGTAGCGCATAGGGTGAGGGCAGGGCAGGCATGCCCCAGCCTGTTTCCACACACTGACCCTAGGTGGAGGCTGTTTCACTTTCTCTGTAAATGTTTAAGCCACTTCCACCCCTACTTTGGGCCTCCAGCCCCCAAGCCAAGGAAGCGCCCACTTGAGCCTAGAACGTATCTGCCCTGCGGCCTCCAAAGTCAGACAACAAGGCCCAAGTCCCTGATCTGCCCTGGGTTTGCTGGGAAGCTTTGAGAAAATGTCTCAGGATCTCTGGGCCTCATTTTCTTATCTGCCAAAAGGAGGAGATAATGCCTTCTTTTCACACAGTTACAGACAGTAAGGTGAGGGGATGTAGGGGAGCCCGCAAGCTGCGAGGCAAGAGCCTGTCCCCTACCCAGCAAACCCAAAGGCAAAGCGATTCCCTGAGACGGATGCCTAGGCACGCACCTCGCTGAGCCCAGTGAGCCTGCGGCTATAGGTGGGCCGCGTGAAGACGTAGACAGGGAGCGCGTGGTCCACGTGGTGGGTGTGAGCCACACGAAGGGCCTCCTGCACCCGGAAGCTGACAAAATTGCGGCCATGGACAGAGGAAGCAAGGGTCTCGTCCAGGTAGACAGAGGGGAAGAGGGCCGTGCTCTCAGCCCACAGCCAGGCCAGCTGGTCGTTTCGGGAGACCTCGACGTCAGGGCAGCGGCCCGTGTAGGTCTCCCAGTTCTGTACGTAGTCGTGGTTGTAGCAGTCGGGGAAGAGGTAGAAGCCCCACAGGTGCCGGGGCCGGACCGCCTTGACAAAGCGCAGGGTCTCCAGCATGAACTGCCGCGCTGCGAACTCGAACTCGTACTGCGCTTCCTTGACTACGCGGTCCAAGGCCCAGTCAGGGTGGCGATTAGCTACCAACTGGCGTGACACCCGGCGGTACACGTCCTTGTCCTGCCAGTTGCGCACCCACACGGGCCGCCAGTCCTCCCAGTCGATGACGGCCAGCCCCGCGGGTTCCTGCGTGCGCACGTAGTGCTTCACGTGGTTCTGCAGTGCCTTCAGGTGTGCCCACAGGCTGCCGTTCTGCGGCACGCCCCCGTGCACAGAGCGCCCCGCCGAGTCGAAGCGTGGATACAGGCCCAGGCGGTCCCGGTAGAAGATGGTGATGTTCTGGTTCACGAAACCCTCATTGGGTGAGGCCTGCACGTCAAAGGCCTTCAGGTCCAGTGGCACTTTGAGGCGTGGGCCGCAGTCCTGCGTGGGCACATCCCATGCTACCACAAAGGGTCGCCCAGTGAAGATGGGTGGCGCTGTGGGCTTGAGCTCTGTGGCCCATGCCACTGTCAACACCTGGGCCAGAGTGACAGCGGCACCAAGGCCTGCCCACATGCTGGGGGCTGCAGGAAGACGGTGTCACCTTCCTGGCACCAGCTCAGGAACTGGGGGGTTGGGAGAGAGCACATCAGCAGAGAATCCTGGGGGTGCCCAACACTGACCTATCCACACTCCCAAAACCCCCGCTCTGTGCGGCACTGTGCCCAGGCTGCTCGGACGTCCCATGACTGTAACAGCGGAGACCATAGGCCACTGTGGAGCAGGCAGCCTGAGGCTGGGCAGAGACTGCTGTTAGGCCTATGACCCCTCTGAGAATTGGTGAACTGAGCTATGGACTCGCTGCCCACAGATATGTACATGCTTGCACACCACCCGGGACATGTCTTAAGGAGCCCCGAGCCCGAGGTCCACTCTGTGCCCCGTGAAGAGTTCTGGGTGCAGAGAAACGACCTCTCGGTGAGGCAGGGCCCAGCGCCTGGGGCGGCCAGGAGCCGGTGTCGGTGTAGCCCCCGGCTCGGCTGTCAGGACTTGTCCTGCAGCGCACACTCGCCAGCGAGATGGCCCGCGGGGACAAAGGGGCAATGCCGACCAGTTAGGCCCGCGCGCTGTCGGGAACGCGCGCGCCGCGGGCCGGTCGGGTGGAGCTCACTCCGCCTGGCCTTTGTGCGGGACCCCGCCCCCGACCCGCACGTGGGGCCCGAGCCCCGCTGGTGGGGGTGGGGTGCCTCCGCCGCCTTCCTAAGGGCGTCCCTGGGGGCTACAAACCCAGCCCGTGGGGAGAGCCACTAGGCTGGCGCTGCCCGCCCTCACCTTGCGCGGGGCGCCGCCGGGACCCACGCCACGGCCGCCGCCATCCCTGGCCCAGCCCGGGTCGCTCCGGCAGCTCGCCCAGGCCCGGCCCGGCTCGGCGCCTCTGCTGGCTCCGGCCCGTGGGCCCTTTAAGAATCCAGCGCGGAGGTGGGCCGGGGCGAGACTGGCGGCCCGAACGGGGGAGGTGTGTCCGGATTTCGTGCCGCCAAGGCCGCGTTTCGGGCTCCAAGGCCCCCAAATCCTCCGCGGAGGAACGTGGTCGCCCATCTAGGACCGGGAGGCCCCTCTGAACGGGGCTTGCTTCTGGAGTCTAAGCCGCGAGCGTCCGTCAGCTCAGGAATGCTCCCCGCAGCTCGCGACCGGTGGTACAGTCCGTCCGCTCTGCGCCGCGGCCAGCCGCTTAAAGGGACCGCATACGGGCCGGGGGCCGGGGAGGGAATAAAGGAGGTGGCGTTCCTCCGCCTGGCCATGAGGAGGTGCTGTGGGACCCCGAGAACCCGGTGGGGGCAGGCTCGGACCTGGCCCTGCACCCGTGGGTGTAGCCCCAACCCGGAGGTTCCTTTGTGTGGAGAGAGGGACGCTGACCAGGGCCAGTTCCCAGCCCCCCGGGACAGTAATGCCTGAGCCCGATGGCTGAGGGCTCCCCCGCCCCGCCCCCGCCAGGCTGGGAAGGGGGCCGAGAGCCCGCCTCTTAGCCCGCCCTCCCCTGGAGGGCCCGCGGTGGTTGTCCTGGCAACACGCGCTGTGGTCGCTGCGTGGCCCGCCCGGCTAGGGGTCGGCAGAACAGCGGGCCCTGGGGATACGGCGCCCCCATGCCCGCGACCCCCATCAGAGACAACCCAGTGCCTGGGCTCGCGTGCCCCGCTGCCCAGTCTCTGGGGGCCTGTGGGAGCCCCTAAGGCATCCTCAACTCTTGAGGAGGCTGCCTCTGGCAGAAGTCCTGGATGGAGCGCGGGGAGGGCTGCCCGGCATAGGGGCTTCCCGGCCCGCAGCCCCGCCCGTGGGCGCAGGCCTGGAGCTGGGCGGCGGCGAGCCTCCCAGCCTCTTAGACATCTCCCCGTGCGGGGCTCGGCTCCCAGAGCCCGGAATGCCCGCCGGCCCACTGCTATGGGCGGAGAGGCGCGGAGCGCGGCCGCAGGGGTGCAGACTGCCGTGTTCGAGGGCTCACCTGCGTGGGATAGTCGCCCAATGGGTCGGCGGCCTCCCGCCTCCCGGGGTGAGCCTCTCAGGCTAGGCTTGCAGGCGCCAGCTGCTGCCCGCCGGCGACTTGATAAACCCCCATCCCCTCCCACCCGCTCCCGCCTCCCATCCCAGCCCTTTCTCCTCACTTCCTGCTGCCCCTCCGACAGGAAAGGGCCAGGAACAGGCGCGGGGGAGGGAGCTGCCTTGACCCTGTTTCCCTCTGGCGTGCCCTGCTGGCTGGCTGCCCTCCCCACCCCTCCCAGAGGCCCTGGCCCGGCCAACTGCACCAGGTGACAGGAAGGGTGCTGGGACCCGCTCAGGTGCCGGTCTCCCCTGAGCCGGCAGCCTCCTTAACACTGGAAACTATCCTCCCCAGCCTGCCCTTGGGGCTGAGGCCCAGCCCAGTAGTGTGAGGGGCCCCAGTGGTGCTGGTGCTATGGGGAGTCGAACTATTTGGGAGATGCTTGGCTTATGGTACCCCAAAGCAGGTGGTGAAGAAGGGAACCAGCCTTAAGAGGGGTCGGTCGGGGAACTTCTAGGAGCTGTCATTTTTTTTCCACCGAGTGGAAGTATCCCAAGTGTGACAGTGGCCAATGTGTTGATGTGACTGTGAGGGCTGGGGGGTGGGGCAGGGGCAGCCGCTGGGAGGGCTCTGCCAGGTGCCCGGCTAGAGGACATTCCTGGGGCGATTTCACCGAGACAGGGCAGAGGAGGGAGTCCTTACAACAAGGGCGAGGAAAGGGCTATATTCCCACGGGAAGGGAGTGCCCATAATGTGGCTGGCCCTAGGGAGGGCTGCAGTTGGGGCCCAGCAGACCTGCCCAGAGGTGCAGACCAAGCTGCACACTGTCTGGTCACCCTAGGCCTAGCCTCGTCTCTCCCACTGGCCACTTACCTCCCTGACACCAGGACCTCTCTCCTAACAGAAGGCAGGGTAAGATGGGCTCGGTTAGTTGGGCACACCCTGGAGTCTGCTCTGAGGACAAGGAGTCCAGCACAGGAGGGTGGTGTCCAGGTAACACCATGCTGGCTCGACAAGGGGCACAGGCCTTGGAAGCTTCAGGAGCAGAGGCCTCTGGGGAAACAGAGGCCAGGCCAGACTGTCCCAGGGCAGGGACATTTCCTCAGGCAGCCAGCAGGAAGGAAGTGAGCACAGCCTAGTGGGAGGGGGTGGGGAAGCACTGCCCTGACCCCCATTGTTCCCAGCTTTGCCGTCAGCTGGGGCAGGCCCAGGACAGGGAGTTCCCCCTCCCTGGGAGAGTGCTGATGGGAGATGGGATACTATCTGGTATGGCAGAACCCTGGCCCTGGGGCAGTCAGCGAGGGATGGGGGACAGTAGAGGATGGCGGGGTCTTATAACTGGTGTCTTTTTGGGAAAATGTGAAGCTACCCAAAGAACACCAAGTCCAGGCTTCCTGGTATGATCCTGCTTTGACCTTGACAAATTTAAGCTTCCAAAAGACAGACCAACTTCCCAGAGGCAGAAGACTGTCTCTGAACTCCCTCCCTCATAACTGGGAGCGGGCTGATGGCCAAGGGCTAGGTCTAGCAGAGAACCAGCCTCAGAGCAGGCCCTGAGAAATGTTAGGCTGAATGTCCACACAGGCCAGGGCAGGAGGGAAGGGAGGCCCCCAGTCCACTCTCCTGGTGGTGTCCACAGGTACTCCCAGGAGGCAGGCAGGTCTGAGCTCAGAGCCTGGGAATAGGCCAGAGGTGTGGGGGGCACCCACCTGGTTGCCGTCCACCTAAGGCTGCACTTTGGAGGTCTTTGGGGTTCAGGCTGTGATCTCCTGTAGGATCAGCGGGCACTGCTGAAGACAGGACAACTGTTGTCGTCCAATCTGATCTCACACTCTCACCTCAGATCAGGAGGTGGGGCCCACTCTCGTGAAGCGTCCCAAGGCCTTCTGATGCCTGGGCCCTTACCTACAGAACACAGACAGACCGCCACTCTCTGGCAAGGTCTGGGTGTGCGCACTGCCACCTGCTGGTCGTGGCTGGGATGGGGGCAGGCTGGGCTTTGGCTTAACGCTGGGTCTTCTTGGAGATGGGGGCCACCAGAGACCTACAGAGAGAGCCCAGGTGATGGTTCAGACGCTGAGTGTCACAGCCCCAGAGGACGCCACTCTCATATGCAGGGTCTACAAATAATTTTATTGAAACTGAACAAATAACAACCTTCCAAGACTGGGGGCCACCCTCCCCAGGCCATTTCCCACACTCTTGAAGCACAGAGCTTACTCAGTAATAAGGAGTTAAAAAAAAAAGTCATTTCTATGTGGAAATCAGGCTTCCCCAACAACATCACGGACTAGACTATTTTCAAACATCACATTTAGAGCATTCGCTTCATGGCTGATCTTTCTGTCCCTGCCCAGGGGCTCCGGTACTTGCCCTTGGCTGATTCTCAAGAGACGAGTATAGTGTAGGGAGAGGGTCACTGGCACCAGACCTAGGGTGCTGTCCCACACCAAAGGGTGGTGGACAGGCTCCTCCCAGTGGGGAGTGGGAGTGGGGTTGGTGCCAAGACAGGGGGGACTAGACCAAAGTAGGTAGGTCAGGGCAAACCCCACAGGCAGAGGCATCCACAGTCCTTTCTGTCCTCTCACCCTGGGGATGAGGGAGCAATAACTAGCTGCAGTGGGGAGGGGTCAGCCCAGCCCTGGGTGGAGGGAGAGCCTCCCACACCAGCCTCTGCTCCTGTTAACTGCCAGCAGAAACTGTCCATCCATCTGGGCAGAGTGGGGTGGGGGACAGATGAGTGGGCAGACAGGAAGAATCAGGCTGTGCTGCCCCAGCCTCGGTCCAACACAAAAGGTATCGAGGTAGCAAACGGCCGAAATGCTCCAAGGAGGGGGTAAGGTTATTAAGTGAAGGGAAGGAAGCTCCCACTTGTGTATAGTTCCTATAGCCCAGAGGCTGGAAAAAGGCAGATCTTGCTTGTAAAGTGCTGTAGCCCCGAGCAGGGCCGGGCCTTAGGCAAGCTTGGGAGAATGCAGGCCAGGCAAGGGCACAGGAGCCAGGCATTCCTGAGCAGCATATGCCCTGCTGTGTGCCTTGTGGGGCGCGCTGGGGCAGTGGGCCGGTAACTCAACCATCAGCCTCACCAGCTTCACCAGCCACCAGTTCCTCCTTGTTCACACAGAAACCAACACCCAGCTGACACTGCAGGACTGGCCACTCAGAGAGGGAGGTTCCAGGCCAATGCAGTTTATTCAGGGTCTTGAACCCAGCCTAGGTTCCAGAAAGAATGCCACACCTTGAGCCTGGGGGTTTCTTGCTGGGGCAAGAGGTGCTTTTGCTTATGCTCTGCAGGCTCACACCTCATAGAGGATCACAGGGAAATCCACGTGGATGCGGGGGGGGTCCAGCTTCACGATGCCCTGCCGTGGAAACAGAGGCTAGTGAGGGCCAGCTCAGGGCCCCCATACCAGGAAGCCTTCTTGCTCCTCCCACGTCCTCCCTCAAGACCCCCACCGTGACAGCAGACCCTGGCTGTGTCTACCTCCACATGCTCACCACAGCATCTGTGACCACCGCCCAGCCCCTCACCTGAGGAATCAGGTTCTTATGCACTCGCCTCAGCTTGGCCCGCTTCTGCCCATTCTTGGTGACGATTGTCTCTTCATAGAATTCGTGAGCCAAATCCCCATCCTCATCGTAGAACATGGAGCTGTGCACAGGGAGAGGGGAACAGGCTGGGCTGGAGCCCCACAACATACACGGCAAATGCCATGGGCCACAGGGCTGGAGCCCCACAACATACACGGCAAATGCCATGGGCCACAGGGAACTGTGCCCACACCCAGATGGGGAGGGACAACCTCAGTGGGACGGAGGGAGGGTAAGATCCCAAGAGAGGGCCCATTCCAGAGCATACTACCTAGGCGCCGAGGCCACTTCTCATCACTGGTTTGTTCAGCAAAAGAAGCCATTTCAACATCAGGCCCTTGGCTTCACCCAGGACTCTTGAGTGGGCAGGACTGTGGTCCGGGTATAGCCTCACTCCAAAAAAACACTGCTGGCTCAGGGCCAAAGCCTGAGACAGGAGATGCCTGAGCTAAGAGGGAGTTCAAAGTGGAAAAACACAGCATCCTCCCCACCCACCCTCGGTGGCTGGTGCAGCCAAACCGCTGATACTGGATCTCCCTAGTATCTCCATCCTAATTGCCAGCATCACCGAGTGCCAGACCCCAAGGGTCCACTAGGGCCAGACTAACCAAGTGGTCCTGTTTGGGCCCCTGGGGGAAAGGGTAGATGTCTGTGCTCCACATCTAGAGAACACCCCTGGGTGAGGGGCCTTTCCCGCAGGCCCCATCCCCATACTAAGGCCCGGTCCTGCTTTCCCCACCACTAGCCTCAGAGCCCCAACTCCACCACTGTGAGCATGGAAACAGCGAAACCTGAGGGTCATTATCTCCTGGAAGACATTGGGAAGGGAGGCTAGAAGCCGTCAGCTTGCAGGACGGGCTGGAAGGAATGAAGGGACGGAGTCCTTAAGTCACGGGGACAAGCCTTAGGCCCACTCTTCCCGGAGGGAGGCCTTCGGAGCAGCCGGGCCGACGGGAGCCTGGGCTTTCCCCGCCCCTAGCTCGTCTGGGGGCCCAAACCGTGGGATCGTCCTGGCTCGGGGCAGGCGGGCCGGAGCTCCCCAGGAATTGGGGCGCCCGCCCGCCCTCCCGTCCTCCCCCGGGCTAAATCCGCTCCCTTACCCGCGGCGCGTGAACACGAAGGGGGGCACGACTCGGCTTCGCGGCCGCACCAAAGCTTGCTCGACGCCCGCCGCCTCCGGGCCTCCGCCCCCCGCCGCCGAGGCGAAGGGCCACAGGCCCCGGGCCTTGGAGCCGCTGGCGCCCATGTCAGGGCCGCCGGCGCATGGCGGGCCCCGCCGCAACTTGACTCTCACAGGCCCGTCGGCGCCGCCATGCTCGGCCTCGGCCTCCTCTCGCAGCCGCCGCCGCCGCCGCCGCCTTCCGCAGGCTCCGCTGTCGCCACGGAAACCTCACTTCCGCTTCCGCACGCTGCCCCTGTGATTGGCTGTTTCTCTCGTCTGTCCGCGGGGTAGGACCAATAGCCGCCCTCGGCCGCTGCTCCCGGAGCAGCCCGGGAACGTCGTCCCGGCGGGCCGCGCGCCGCTCCGGCCGTAGGGCCGTCTTCGCCGGAAGGGCGCAGGTTCGCACCTGGGCGCCTCGCTGCCCCGACGAGCCCTGACCCGGAGGCCAGGCCCCCGCCCTCTTAAGACAGCACTGGGGGCCGGACCCCAGGCCAAAACAGACCCATTCTTTTCCCGCAAGGTCTTGGCATGTAGAAGAGGCTGGGTCAGACGTGCTATAGCTGCATCAGTCTGAATAACTTAAAATTAAGTGTTCCTCACAAGCCCGCCAGATGGCACGCTTCACGAAACCAAGAACTAACAGCTGTCCCTGGCGTGCCATGCGCAGCGTATGGTCCAGAGTCTCTCAAGTATTGGGATAAGCACTTCCCACAGCTTAGTGCTGGGCGCGTGTGCGGGGAGTTGCATAAACCCTAGCTGCAGCTGATATTCTTGCCCCCACCACAACCTGAACCCCAAGGCGCTTGCTGAGTGGTGGTCCAAGGTGACCTCAAAAAGGTGGTCTGCCCATCCCCCTTGGCAGCCACTGGCAAAAAGGGCAACTATGGCTGAAGGCCCATAATAAGAATACAAAAGTGGCAGAGTTCTTAAAACTTTATTCAGCCAATGCTCTCAGGCCCCAGGTCCTGATGATGACCGTCAACCCCCACCCTTACCCAAACAGGAGGCGTTCAGCTGAGGCCACAAAATACTACATACATTCACACACATCAAAAATACCTGAGGGAAAGACCCTGGCTCTGACTGGCAAACAAGGCACAGACCTGGGCCAGTGCCACACTCACAAAAACCCTGGCCCAGGGACATCCCCCATGGAGGCACTGAGGCACTGCTGCTGCACCATGAGCTGGCACTTCCTGACCCCAGGGTGTGTGAGGACTTGAGGGCACTGTAGTGGGAAACCTAGACTCTCCCTTGATGTCTGCCTTATCTTGAACCCCCACCCTTGGTTCTGATAGGCGATTCTGAGACCCCACCCAAGACCCCAAACATACCACCTTTCCCCATAGATGAGGGCCCTCACACTTACAAACATGACCCTATTCTTTATTTATAGGGTCTCCAATATTCTTTTACCTGAGACACAAGTTAAGGAGACTTCTGTCTGCTTTATCCCTGCTGCAAGCCTGGAGCATCTTCCAAGGGCAACCCCGGCCCACCACGACCCAGTCCATGAAGGGCAAAAGGGTGTGGAGTCATGCTCTGCTCACCCACTGATGGACACAGCACCAGCTCCTTCACTGTTCTCTGGGCTCATTTCCCCACCAAGAGAGGGCCTCCATGCACACTCATTCTTCAGGCCCCAAGGGCCCTGTCACACTCACACGGCACGCCCTGGGCACTGCCTACTCTCCTTCCACCCAGGGGTACAAGAGGTCACCCCAGGGGGCAGGCATGCAGGGCCTCCTGGATCTTTTGGCGGCAATAGGAGTATTTCTGCAGGATCTGACGGAGGTGTTCCTCTTCCTCCCGCTGCAGGATGCGCAGGAAGTTGTGCAGTTCAGGCATGCTGAAGGCATCCCACTGTAGGGGGGAACACAGGCTGCAGGAGGCATGGCCAAGCCAGCAGCAACCCCCTCCAAGACCAGCACATGGTGGTCCTTCAGCCAGGACGAGGCTTTCTAATGCTAGCTTCTTGCCTGAGTGGTCTGTGCTAGGATTCCCAACAACAGCCTGTGTAGAAGGTAGGCCCCACAAAGTAGGGTGGTCACCTTGCGGACAGGCAACCAGACCAGATGTTCCCCGATTACGGGTGGACAGGTCATGCTCATAACTGGTCTAAGCCCGCTGCACAGACCCAACACCTCAGAGCTAGAAAGCTGCCAGATAAAAACGTCCTAAAGCCTAAGGGAAGAGTCCCGTGACCTCGTGGGCTTTGACCTGGCATGGGGTGACCATGCCTTCAGCTGGCCTCCTGCATCTCCAGAGGGCTTTCCACAAGCAGGAAAGAGCAGAGCATCAAGACAGTTCTTCCCGGCTTCTTGGGACAGGCCCAGACTTTGGCTTGGATGACCTGGAAACCGTCATTTCAGCTGCAAGGCTCCCATACTCCTGGAGAGGCTTTGTGAGGCTTGTCCTCCAGCCCTATTCCTCCTCCAGCCTTACTGCAGTTGAAACCTCCCAGCCCTGCAGTGACAAACAAGAAACTAAGGAGGCTGTGTACTCACGTTCACTTCCCCAGAGTCATTCTCCTTCAGGACGAAGCTGAGGGCTTTCTCACTGGGCCCTGCAAGAAGCCGCAGCCGCAGGGGATGCTCGTCATCTGCCAGCTTCCGGAGGTACACTGAGGGCCAGGTGGGGGAAGCAGGTGTTGGGCAGAGTCAGGCCCAATCTTCCCAGCCCTTGTGTACACAGGCACATGCATTCATACTGTCACATGGGTGGGATGGGGTGGGAAGCCCACCTTGGCCATGGCGCTCAGCCCGCTCAAAGAGTGCAAACTTGCGGGGGTCATCCACCACTAGGAACTTGCGCAGCAGGGCCTCGATAACTTCGCGTGCCCGTGTGCGTGACAGCACATGTAGGTGCTTGACGGCGTCTTTGGGCAGGTAGAAGGAGGTCCTGCGCCTCACAGCTGGGCCGCGCCCTGGGCCGCGCCGAGCATCCTGCAAGGAGGGTGGCTTCTTGCTGGAAGGCACTGAGACAGGACGCACCAGCTTCAGCTGAACCTTGATGAAGCCTGTGTAGGAGCCGTCCTTGTTCTGAAGAGGAGAAACCAAACCATGACTAGTTTCCAGGTGACACGGAACAGATGTGGGCATATGGTCTGCGTGGGGTGGATTGCCTTGGCCTGCCCAAGAATACCTCAGCTGTGACCCTTTGGGCATCAGGCACACAGCTGGATTCCTGCCTCTCCCCACACCCTCTTCCTGGGCTGTCAACTCACCAGGCTCATGAAGAGGTTGCTGTTGATCTGGCCATTGTACTCCTTGATCTTCTGCTCAACCTCTGTCTGAGAAAGGTCAGGTGTCTCCCACTCCACAGGCTCATCCTGAAAGTTGGACCAGCATGCATACAGGGCCCTTAAGGAACCCATCCCACTGTAGTGCATGTCACAGGCAGGGAGGTGAGCCTTGGGTGGGCCACTCTAATACACAGAGCGTCTGGGGCAGACTTTGGAAAGACAACAAAGCTCAAGTGCTGACGTGAAGAACCCATCACTGCTCCTGGTTCTGTGTGCTCCGGACAGAGAGCAAAGGCAGAGAATCATTTGGCTTCTCTTTGGCTGGGACCTCCTCAGCACCATGAGGCTCTAAGGATACCTTACAACTATGGCAACTAAAGGCACAAGGCCAGGTGCCAGGAAAGGATGAGGGGAGGGCTTTGAGAAGGGGATTCCCTTTTCTAGTAAAACCACCTCTCAACTGTACAGCCTGATCACAGCACCCTTGCTGGGAGGAGCCAAGGTGTGTCCTGGGGAAGGCAGCCCACTTTGCCACTCTGCCCTGGCAGAGGGCCATGACCCATTTGGGTAAGAGGTGTGGGGACTGGTGCACACCAGGAGCCCAGCCCCCACGGGCAACCTCAACAACATCAACACCCCTTGTGCAGGACTTGGGGCTAGCCCTGCATGTCTCAGCCATGGGAGGAAGCCACTGGGACATGCCATTTCATCCTGACCAAGCTGCACAAGGTAGCTTCAGGCCAGGCTCCAATCTCCCAGAGGCACATCTGCAGCTTCCTGGTAGAGCCTGTCCCGCAAGGGCCAAGCAGGCTTCTGCCTCTCCTCCATGCTGTCTGGAGTTTAGCCCAAAGGTTGCAATTCCACCACTCAGCATCTCCCCAGTTCCTCCAGGGGCTGGATTCTTTTAAGGGTGGAGAGTGCATGAGGGCAGCCATGGCTCTGAATGAACCTTCTTCTATCAACTCCCTTGGTCCCACTGCATCAGCCTTACTTCCTGCTGATGTCAAAGTGGCCCTAGTTGGAATGGGAATGTCGCCAACACAGCTGAGATCACTGCCAAACAGTACTTTGTCCCAGAGGAGTTCCCATCAGCAGGTATCCTGCAGAACACCCTTGTGCCCAGCTCTGAGCCCAGGACAGCCAGGCTTCTCCCTGACTGCTGCCTTAATGCCCACTAAGCTTAAACCATCTGATGCGGATGAACAGGGAGGACAGATGAGGGCGTCCACAGTGCTTTTAGCGGTGTGTTCACAGTGGACTCAGCAGCCTCTTAGCACTGTGCTTTTCACCTCGAACCTGCTGCTGCTCAGCAGCCAGCAAGTATGCAGTGCTGAGGAGTGAGGCAGGGGCCTCACAGGGAAGGGGTACTGGGAGAGGAGTGGAAATGCAAGCCTATTCGCTTCCCCTGGATGGAGAGCATTACAAAGTGAAAGCTCTAACAGAAGCCTTGCTGGGAACAGTAGGAAACCCTCTACGGCTAGTAACCAAAAACTGTGGGCCCTGGAAGTGGGGAGCTGGAGGATAAAGGGTAGATGTGTCTGTTTGGGCCCACGGAGGGGGCTTGGGACAGGAAGGAGTACCAGGATGCAAGGGAGTCTAGGGGCAGAAGAAAAGCTATGCAGAACTCTGGTGCCAGGGCAAGAAGGAAGAGAACTGTTCACCTAACAGGGCGGGCACAGGCCTGGTCCTGCCTTGTTCCCCGTCCTGTGAGGGCTCTGAGCTCCAATGTGGGAATGAGAACACTTGCTCCTTCCTCTATCCTTCCCAGGTTATCCAGGAGCCCTGGACCGGGATGCAGTGACCACAGTCCCAGCCCTTCTCTTCTCCAGGTGAACATCCCTTAGTATCTTTACTCCAAACGAGAGACATGGGCCGTAGGCACTGCACTGTCCCACTACGATTCCAGAGGTAGGTTTTTTTCCCCCCAATTTTCAAAGGTTCTGGCTGGAGGACTCTAATAGCCATTCCAGAGGAATGCACAGCAGGGTCACAAAATTTCCTTTCTCCTGCACCACAGCAACCCACCCTCCACGTTGCCACTGTCCACAGTGACTGAGGTTTTATTTTACATACAACTTGGGAACTACCATCTTCCTTTTCAATGGATTAGTGTCTTTCAATTTGGTTAGCATTGTGGGGTTTTCTCACCTTCCCTAGATAGAAAAATGGCTCAGGCCTGAGTGACAGACAGTATCAAGGATCCACACTTCAACCTTGCACCCGAGATCTGGGCTTAGCTTTTGAGGCCTAAAATAATTTATGATCTAAAGAATCATCCACAACTCGTTTTCGTGGCTCACGTAAGGAGTTCTGCCCTACTGCTGCCAGGTATACTGAACTTCACCGTCTCCATCTCTTCTTTCCTGATACTCTGGCCAGGGTTCTTCAGAACAGTGGGCCTGTGGGGCACACTCACGGCACACAGCACAGAAGCCTCTGATAATGGGGACCCCTGGGAGATTCGAAGAGACACCGCTGCTCCAGCACCACACCTTACAGTCCTGGATCAGTAACGCCTCTCTCTACGGCTCCTCAGGGAATATGACAACCCGGCCTTCACACCCCTTGTGGGTAAGGGCTCCTGGATGCTTACAGTCCAAAAGAAGGCTTCTTCCCATCCATTCCCAAATCCTCTTCCTCTAAGCCCACTCATGTTAGTATATAGGAATATATCTAAGAAGCGAGCACTCTGGGTCCACTCCAGAGGGGGATCAGAATCCTCCACATGCCAGCAGCTGGTGACAGGCTAGGACCGGCGAGAAGTGGAGACTCAGCAGGCTCCATCCAGGAGTGCATATGGAGGGGCCCGGGCCTTCCTCCGCCTCTCCTAAACGCTTCTCAATTCCCGGCAAAGACACCTCCCCCTCTACTTCCTCCTAATGGTCCCCAGAGTGGGTGGGCGCGCCCGAACGGAAATCGAGGTGCTGGCCCAGACTGCGCATCGGCGTTAACCTAGAGGCGAGGGCCGGCCCTGGGCTGCCCCCAGCACGGAGCTGCTTCCCCGGGCTCACCCAGGCCCGGGCTCACCGCCCCACCTGGTCCCGGCGCGGCCTGCGCGCCAGCGAGGTGCGCGCCGTGAAGTACTGCTCGAGCTCCGAGTCCGAGTCCTCCTGACTGCAGTAGCCACTGCTTGTCGTGCTGCTCCAGGTCATCTCGAAAAAAGGAGTCCCCGTATCCGCCTCGCCCATCGCCGCCCGCCCGCTGCCGAGTACGAAGAGCGCGTCGCCTCCAACCACCGCCCCAAGCGCGCGTGCGCGTGCGAGCGCGCGTGCGCGGAGACCTGGGTGTGTGCCTCAACCGTTAACGCGGAAACGCCGCCGGTCGGGATCTAGCGCTCGTCTGGTTGGTGCAGAGCGCCGACGGGCGGGGCCTCCAGGCGTGACCTCACGGCTCACGCAACTCCGCTCAGCTCCGCCCAGGACGCCCGGCCCACGTCGGAGGCACACCGAGCGCGTGCGCATGTGTACCAGCGTGGCCGCCAGGCCGGAAGCAGGGGCGGGGCGGAAATGGAGCAGCGCAGCGCGGCGCGGCGCGGGGCGGGCGCGCGCGGTCGGTAACACTGCCCCTGCGACCCTGCGCGCAGTTAGCGGGTCTCCACAGGGAAGCCAGCCTTTGGGACGCTCGCCTGCGGACGCTTTTCTGGGGGCCCTCCCGCATGTGCTCCCCAGCTTCGCGCGGGCCCCGGGGCCGCACTCACCACGTTCGTATCCCGCTCCAGCGCCGGTTCCCAGTCCAGGTCCCGGGGCCCGCTGCAGTCCAGGCAGACGAGCGCGCGACAGCGATAGTGGCAGGTGAACTTGCAGTCTGCAGAGAGGCCTGTCCGTGAAGCGGCCCGGCGGCGGCGAAGCGCCCGGCCCTGCAGCACGGCCGAGTCGCCGGCCGCTCGCCACCCAGCGCCACCCAGCTCCACGCAGCCTCTAGTGTTGGTGACCGGAGGCTGGCGGAAGGCCTCAGGCAGTGAGGGATCCAGGCCTGCACAGTTGGATTAACAGCGCCTAGCGCAGAACTTACCCTTTCTGCATTGTCAGCCGCCTCCCACCACCCTTTGGAAAAGCAAAAACCAAAAACTTTTAACCCATGCGCCTTCTACTTGTCATCTGCCTTTACTAACGTCATAACCAAAGCTTACCAACACTGGCCTACATGCGCTCAAATCCCTCACCTTCACTCCCTCCGGCAACTGCCCTGGTCAGGGTCCCTGGCGTCGTGTGATGCTCTCCTTGGCTCCCAGCGGCCCCTGCCACCCCGGGTGTTCTCCCACCTCTGCAGTTGCTGCTCAGCACTTCTGGTTCTGTATTAACTCTCAGATCTAACGGCTGAGTGTCCGAGGCTCAGTGAGCCTCAGATCCGAGGCTTCCATTACTTGACCTCCCCACTCAAATTCTGTGTCAGTGTCTTGGATGTCAACTAGTCATTTCAACACAAACATGGTCAAAATTTAAGTCACTTCTCTTCTGCTTCACACCTACCTGAGCCAGTTTCTCATCTCAGCAAAAATGGCTACTTTTCTCCCAGTCGAGGCATAAAACCCCAACTCATCTTCTATTCCTCCCCTGTCTTTGCCTCGAACACACACCTAAATTGTCCTGTTTCATCTCCACTGCCACTTTATTTCTCCTTGGGGACACTGCAATCAATGTCCCAGCCTCTGTTATGCTTTGTCACAACTCCTGTGTTCCTTGGAGCTGAATTCAGGACAGACTCCTGTGCTGATGAGAGGGTCTGCATGCCCACACGAGCCTGGGACGCCTCTAAATTGCTAAATTAACCAGAGCAGTGATTCCTAGCAAAAGTTGCACATCAGAAGGGTCTTTTCTAAAAATTGCTGTCATACTCCCGGTGTTGAGTCAATGGTCTGGGGCAGGGTCCAGGCATAGAGGTTTGGAGGACTGTAAAAGTATCCCAAGCTGGTGTAGAGCCAGAGAGCGAGCAACCTCTGCTTGCTAGTGATTCCTCAGCGGGCATACACTAGTGTGCGGCTGTCTCATGTTTAAGCACTGAAGGTTGGCTTGTTCTGCAATACGTATTGCTAAATACTCAACAAAATTCTTGCTTGCAGGGGGCCACCAAATGTTCTTTTTCCAGGTCCCCTCCCATCGCTGAGTAAATACTCTTCACTCCAGGGATTCTGGAGAGAGACACTAGTGAGTGAATCTTTGGGAAGGGGTAGGCCTGGGAGGATGGGCTTAAGGACTGGTAGGCACAAAAGCCTTTTTTCAAGAAGGGCCAAGACACTTCAAAGAAACTTTAAATCAGCACCTTGTTATTCACAGGCAGCCTCCTCTGCCCAACTGTGCCCCAGACGCAGGTGCCGTGTGGCAAGGCTACAAAGCCATCTGCCCGCACTCATCAGAGATGGGGCAAAGGGAACGGACCTGGTTTGCGAGGACTGTTCCCACCGAACCCCTCCGCAGAGACTTGACCCGCAGCGACGGCGCTGCCCCTAGGCCGCCCTTTGGCTCTCGCCAGCACGTGGGGCCGCTACTCACGCGCGCACTGCAGACCCTTGCGCACGACGCCCCAGATGAAGTCGCCGCAGAGGTCGCACCACGTGTGCGTGGCAGGCCCCGCGGGGTGGAAGCGGTGGCCGCGGCCCGCGACCACCTGCCGTGCCAGGTTGCGCGCGGTGCCCGGAGCGATGCGCAGCGCGTTGGCGCGCTCCAACCGGGTGCGGCCAGGGCCGGCGCGGCGCGCAGGTACCAGCTCCCGCAACTCAATGAGCTCGGGTTCGGTGGACATGGCTGGGTCCGCACGGTCTCCCGCGGGCTCTGGGCGCCAGTGAGCGCAGGGCGGGCCCCGAGGCGGCCCCCGAGGCGGCCCCGCCCCCGGGCTCCGGGCCGGGTGGCGGGCGAGACCCGAGGGGAGCGGCGCAGTGGAAACCAGGACTCCCGGGGCTGTGTCGGCCCTGGGGCGCGGGTATGTGTGTGTGTGTGTGTGTGTGTGCACGCGCGCGCTTTCGCAGAAATCCCGCCCTCCCCTTCCTCCCCACCCCTCACCCTGCCAGCAACTCCCCTCCCCCTAGGGCCACGCGGAGACAGGCGTGTTTCTGGAGGCCAGTTTTACTGTGGTGGAGGAAGAGGGTCCCCACATCCGCCCCTAGCCCAGGCCGTAGGCCGTCGGCCCCAGTTTGCTGAGGCAGCGCCCTCGCCTAGCCAACGGGTGGGGCAGGAAGCAGGGGGCGCCCTGCGGGGAGATGGGTCGTCAGCTGTGCTCACCACCGGGCAGGCTGAGGCCCTGGCAGCGGCTAGGCTGAGGTCCCGCGGCTCGGGCACACTGGGTGGGTCGTAAGGTACCCGTGGTCAACTTTCAGCAGCCTCAGCCCTCACTTGGCTCCGTCGCCTTGGGCTGCCAGGACGCAAACCTTTCTGTGCTTCTCCCAGTGCTTGACTTGGCACTCCCTGCAGGCATGTGGGGTGCTGAGATGCAGTGCTTGTGGGGACTACGGGAGTGGGGTTTAGGGCTCCGAGGGCCTTAGGTACCCTCACCTGCAGCAGTACCACTCATTCTGGCATCGCGAGCAGCGCTTGGAGGCCTCTGCGCTGCAGTGGGCACAGTGGGGTTGCTCCGGAGCCACTGCCTCTAGCACATCCAGGCTGTAGGTGGCAGCCCACCTGGGAAAGGGGTCAGGAAGGCCTGGCAGACAGGGCATGGGAGCATCTCTGCCAAGGCCCTGCCTTCTGCAGCTCTTCCACCCCTTCTTCCCAGCTCAGCAGGCCTCACCTCCGTGCCTGCAGCCGCAGGTCCTGCTCTGAGGGGCTGAATACATGCCGCAGCTGGTGCTTAGCAATAGCCTGCCACTTGCCTCTGTTCTCTTGCTCTAGCCGCTCCCGAATTTCTGGGATCTGGGGGAGAGAAATGCAGAGACTTAAGGGGCAGCTGGCAAAGTGGGCAGTGGTCCTGAGTCACTACCTTCCTACTGCTTACCTGCTCCAACACCAGGTCCTTCTTAAGGGGCTGGGTCTCTGCCAGGGCCAGGTGGGCCAGGAAACCCTTCAGGTCTGCCAGGTTGGGTAGCTGGTCGAGCAGTGTGTCTGTGAGGAAGGCTTGAAGCTGCAGGGGTGCCAGGGAGACCAGTGAGAGCAGCGCTGACCAATGGGTGGGGGCGGAGAGGAGCTGGGCTGAGGTATCTGCAGGGCTCATGTCCCCCCAGCAGCTGTGTCATCTGAGTCCCAAGGTCTAGAATGGGGACTGGGACTGAGGTGGGTGGGCAGTGATGAACAATAGGGATGGGCTGGGGCGGGGCAGTGCTGGGACTGACGTGCAAGGAGTGCCCCACCTTGAGTAGCTGTCCCTTGGCAAAGCTTGTGAGGCAGTAGCGGGCCCGGGCCTCGGGGCTTAGCAGCAGGTTGTACAGGGCGATCCATACCTGCCCATCTAACTTGCTGAGCTTTTGCTGCTCTGAGGAAGCCACTGTCTGCCAATGGCCACCCTCAAATCGTTGCAGCTTGCCTGGGGAGGAAGCAGTGCGCTGGGTGCAAACACTGCCAGCACTGTGAGCCAGCAGCGGGGCGGGGGACTGACCACCGCCTGGGCAGAGCACTTGCCCAGGCTGGGGTGCTGCTCATCCCAGAGCCCTTGCCTGTTGCAGAACCCAGGTCTAGGCACAGCTAGGGCGAGGCATCCTGGTATACTCTGTGGGTAGGCGACAGTCTACCTGTGCGTGCAAGCTGCCCACTTCCAACAATCCTGGAAAGTGCCTTGGAAGGAGGGAGCTGGGGCTTAGGCAGACGGGTGGACCCTCACCTCTTCTGCACCGGCTCCAGGGACTGTGCTCCAGCAGCTCCACTAGGAGGCAGGGCAGGTTGTGGGTGCTGAGCATGCGGCTCAATGTGCTCAGGGAAAGGCTAGGGAGGGGGGTGTGGAAAGAGATGAGCAGGGGCCACAGGCCCTGGCTCCCAGACCCCCACTGCAGGGCTGCCCACCTGTCCACACAGTCTGTGATGTAGCGCAGCACAGAGAGAGCCTTCAGTGCAATCTCAAAGTCCATCCGTTCTGCCTGTTTCTGCAGCTCCTGGGGGCGGAGCACTTAAGCTCAGCCCCTGAGCCTGCTCAAGCCCCGGGGAGCTGGGGGCTAGCCCTTGCCAATCCCAGGGAACCTCAGCCTACCTGCATGGGGGTGCTGTGCTGGGACTCCTCCTCCTCAGGGGGGCCACCACAGCCACTCTGGGCCACCAACAGAGTCAGTTTGCGGTGGCAGTAGTCTACCAAGTCCAAGATGGTGTCCTCTGCTGACTCACATACCTCCTGGGAGGCAGGCAGAGGGGAAATGGTCTTTCTCTGATGCCCACTCCATGCAGATATAACCCTGCTTCCCGCAGGGTCCTAGCTTGGGCAGCAGCTGGTGGGCAGGGCTGGTGCCTCACCTTGTGGAAGAACACCGTCTCGAGGAGGTTGATGATAGAGGCCTCATGGTGTACCTGTCAGATAGAGAGGAGGACCGGACCTGCGGCTGCTGAGGCAGGGATGGGAGACTCAGCCATCCTCTCTCATCCAGGGCCTTCTGAAGGGGTGGGTGGAGGTGCAAACAAGACCCAGCTCACCACCATGTATATCGGAAAAGTGTTCTGGGGCTTAAAGTCCTCCAGCCTGCACAGCACAGGGAACACCCGCTGCTTCCACATCTCCACTGCGATCAGCTCCTCCACCAGTGTGGGGATCTGTGGGGGGGAGAGAAGGGCAGGGATGCGGTGGGCCCGCCTTGGCCTGGCAACCTTCCCCTCCCTGGCTCGCCCCAGTCCAGCTCTCTTCAAACTTCCCTGGGCTCCTAGCCTCTCCACACCCCGTGATACTCCCCTGACCTCAGGCCTTCATTTCTAGCTGCCTCTGGCATGTCTGTGGGGACATACCCATGCTTGTCTGCAGGCTGCCTTGTTCCCTCTATACCTCCACCCTTGTCCCCTCCCCACCCAGTGTCCCTCTCAGGCTGGCCCTCTTGCTCATGCTCTCCCTCTGTCCCTGTCTCCTGGCCTTCCCAGGTCGTGTCCTTGGTGTGACCTTTACTCACTGCTGTTCCCAGGGCCCCGTTGCTAACCCATCTGCTTGTAGGAGGCTCCACTTGTTCCTTGCAGAGGAACCTTTTGTCAAGTGGTGTTTCAGGTCTTCTACTGGTCCCACCTCCCCTCATGTTCCAGTCAGGCAGACCCCTGGTTCCTAGCCTGCTTCTCTCACGTTGGGAAGACTGCCACCTTCCATGCCACAGTCCCGCCCCTCCTCCGGTGGGAGCCCCCTCTTGCCTGCAGTCTATTCGGGAATACCTTTAGAATGTAGACCCTTCTCTGCTGCCTAGGCTGCCCTAGGGTCCACAACTAGACCCTAATCAAGCCAGGCCTTGTACCCAGCCTAACATGCTAAGCTCCCATCCAGGAGGGGTGCAAAATCGAATGTGCAACACACTCCTCCTCCTTTGGAGGGACAGCTGTACCAGCCAGAGGGAAGGCAGGCACCCTGGCTGTGACCCCAGCACACCTTCCCGTGGGTGACCAGCAGCTCCTGGATGGGCTCGTCCTGCCGGGCTGTGGCATCGAGGATGGCCTGCATGTTCAGCTTTTCCAGGCTCTCGTGCTGCTGGTTCCACCTGCCCCAGGCCGGGCATGCGGTAGGGGGAGAGGGGAGGGGTCCTGTTCAAGTCTAACCTGATCTTGAGGGGTCAGAGGGGGCTCAGGGCCACATAACCCTTCCCGGAAGGGCTTCGCCTCCCCGCTTGGGGCTCCTCCACCCTGGGCACCCTCTCCCCACAATGCCAGGCGCCACCCGAGGACTGGGCCCGCCTCCGGCTGGCCGGTGCCCCAGCTGCCTCACCCTCCGGAGCCCACGTCGCGCAGCGGGAAGCTGCGCAGTCCCTGCACGAGCACGGCCGCCTCCCCGGGCAGCAGCAGCTCCAGGTCGCCCATGCCGGGGTCGGGGCCGGGGCGCGGGAAGGCGGGGGTCGGGTGACCCTGGCAAGCAGCCGGCGCTGGCGGCCAGTGGTTTAGGACAGGACAGTTGGGCCGCGGTTGGGGCGCGTGGGTCCTACCACCATGGAAACGGTAGCTGGGCGCCTGCGCAGTAGGCCGGGCCCGCCCCCTAGCCTGCCCACTCCGCGCGACCCCGCCTCGCCTCGGCAGACACCCCAAAGCTGTGTTGCTTCAGGCCGCAGTGTTCGTCCTGCCTGGGGCACTTCCTCCTCCCGGGCGGTCCTGGCGCCGCTGCCCCGCGCACCCTGGTGGTCACAGCTCCCTGAAGCTTCTTTCCGTTTAGAACTAGCGAGCGCATTTCCGCGGCCCCTCCGGCCCCGCCCGCCAGATGGCGCTCCAGGGCCACGCTAGTCACTCCCCGCCGGCTCAGGGGCAGTACAGGCAGGTTGAAAGGATGGATGACTTTATTTAAGAAGCTAGGATGCATCTTGACAGTGTGGACTAGGCCTCGAGCGCCAGGACGGGCTCAGCAGGAGACAGTCGCTCCAGCCCCCGCCAGCCTCACTTCCAGCAGATGATAATGTTGGGGTCGTTTTCCAGCCGTTCATCAAGCTCGTGGTAGCTCATGCCTGGGTGAGGGGTGGTGGAGGTGAGGTCAGCACCCTGGCTTGGCCACCCTGCCCTGACCCCACCGAGCTGCCCCACCTGCCTCCACCTGTCTTGCAGCAGATCTCATCATAGCTGTGGCATCCTGTGTAAAGGCGGGGAGGGTGGCCCCGGTCCTCTCGAGACACCCGCACGGGATACTTCTGTAGTCGCCGAATGAAGTTCTTCATGAGTCCAAACTGGATCAGCTTCCTGGGGTGGGGGTTGAGGGAGAGAGGGAGGATGCCCTTGGCCAGGCCTCCTTCCAGGCAGGCCAACCCTTTTCCTGAAGTCTCTCTTCCAATTCTGTTTCAGTGACTAGACAGGCCTCTGTTGAACCTATCACCTCCAGGAAGCCTTCCTGGACTAACAGTGCCCCATGATTCTGCTCACTGGGAATCTCCTGCTTCTCTCAGAACCCAAGGCTCTGGAGAGTCATAGTGTACCTGCCCTCAGGGAAACCTCTCATGCTCCAAGGAATCCCCTCTGACCTTTCATCAACGTGCTGCAGCTGCTGGGGGTGGCGGCCAATGAGGTCTCTCACAGTAGTGCCCGGACTCAGGCTGCAGTAGAGCTGGAACACATCCCGGAGACCCGCCCGCTTGTGCCCTGTGGGCAGCAGGGGTCAGTCCTCCAGGTGGCCCCGCCCTCCCCCAAGTGGCCTCCCCCAGAGCCAACCACTACCTTGCTTGGTCACATAGGATAGGCATGCCTCCTGCAGGGACTTGTCATCTACCAGGTCTTGGACCTTGGGTGTCGGGCAGTACACGTTGGAGTACTGGAGGGTGGTAGGAGGCACAGGGGGCCAAGTGAGGGGTTTGGAAGCCTGACAGCCCCAGTCTAGCCCAGCCACATGATTGACTTTCCACTTACCCAGACTGCAGACTCACCTACCTGGAGGATGGACACAAGTGTCACAACATTGTAGTACCTGGGGAGGTAACTGGGCTCGGCTTCTAAGGGCCATGCCTCCCCAGCCCCCACACTCAGGGCCCCTGGCCTCTTCCCCCTCTGGCAACCCTCTTCTAGGTGTGACTGCTGCCCCACTCACAGCAGGTTCTGGATGGCGATGCGCACCAGGTTGAGCTCCACATCTGCCTCAGCTGAGATCTTCTGGACATGGCGGAAACCATCAATGTAGGGAAGGATCTGGGCAGGACAGGATGGGCCAGGGTCAGGTGGGGTGGGAGGAGGCCAGGGCCGTGGCCAGCCTCAGGGGATGACGTCCAGGGAGGGTTAGTGCACCTGTTGTGTGGTGAGATCCCACTGTGAGTTGAAGAAATCCTCCTTGTCCTTGGTAAAGACGGGCACATCATACTCCTGGGCCACAGGTGGGTCAGGCCGCTGCTCAATTACCTTCAAGTGGATGGTGTTGGACTCGTCTGCAGAGGGCCCACCCATATCCTCAGTGCCATCTCTCCCAAGAAGCCCTCAATTACCCTCCTGTCCTTCCAGCAACGCTTAAAGCAGGTAAGTGGTAGAGCCAGTCTTCTCCTTTTATGGAGCAAGAAACTGAGGTCCAGAGAGGGGAAGGAACATGCCCAAGGAGCAGAGTACACGGCCCCCCATCCCCAGCCTCATCAGGCACTGGACCCTGGACACCACTGGCCCAGCTCATGGCTACTTCCTGGCCACCAACAGTTTGTTCATGAACCTTGTCTCTTGCTGGACTGACCTTCCTCTGCCACTTTCCCCTCCCTCCTCTACCCCTCTGCTGTCCTTGCAGACGTTGGGCCATACCAATGGGCAGAGTACATCGGCCTGAGGCATTTAGCTCTTCCAGCAAGATGGTCATGATGGGCACCAGCTTCTGTTTGCTCTCCTCCGTGGACACAAAGCTGCTCTCGAGCTGGATGGAGCACGGGCAGCGTGATGAGCACACCCCAGGACCCCGGCTGGCATCCTGCCAGGTTCCCAGGTCTGGAGGGCTTTGGAGACATGCGAACACCCTCCCCAACTCTGCCTGCCCACCACCCAAGCCCATGTGTTGCACACCTCCAGTGTGGTCAGGTAGCCAGCCAGCTTTTTGACGATGGGCTCAAGAGCACAGGTCTTGGCCTGGGCATCACACACGAAGCCCAGGTTGAAGAGCAAGGCATTGCGGCTGTACTTCTTGTGCTCAATGCACACAGGGCAGCCGATCAGTTTCTTCTCCATGGCTGTGCTAGATGGGGGACAGTCGGAAAGAGTCAGGTTCCTCCCTCCCCTAAGCCTATCCGCTCTCCCTGCGGACCCCTCCGCCCAGCTAGGGCCTCACACAGTGATGAGCTTGTTCTGCAGCTCTGGCTTGGTGATGATGTACACCTGGACTGTGTCAAACAGCTCCCGGGAGATGAAGTCCTCAGGGACCTGGGGAGGGGAGTGGCAGTAGGCCCTTTAGGGGACCCTGAGAACAGATGGTGTACACAGGGTGACCCCCAGGGCTCAAGCCCTCTTCTCTGGCCTTCCTCCTCTGTTCCTTCCACCCAGGCCTGCTTCTCCTTTGTGTTTTCAAACACTGGCTGTGTTCTCACCTGCCTCCTGGCTTTTTCATGTGCGGCTCCCTTCATCTAGTACACACTCTCCTCCCTCACCTAAAATCCTCTGCATCAAGTGATACTTGGATGGGACCCAGCACCTCCCCCGGGGAGCCAGAGCCCGACTTCTCACAATCACTGCCTATGTGGAGCTGGCCGCATTGCACCAGGAGCCTGGGAGTTGGGTCTGAGCATCCCCTCCGTCACGATTCTCCGCGAATCAGAGTGGCGTGCCTGCGTGCAGCTCGGGGCACGGGGCCTCACCTCCCGAGAGCGTCCCTCTCCCCGCCCAACCCTGCGAGCACCCCCCGGCACCTGATAGGTGATCTTGGGTCCTAGCGTGGGGTGGAACTCGCTGAAGAACATGCATTCGATGCGACAGCCGCTACCCATAGCGCTAGCTGGCCCCGGGTCCGTAGTCCCTGGAGCACCGGCCCTTGAGAACACCTGTCCGGAACAGTCCGGCACAGACCGCGGGTCTAGCACGCCTGCGCGCTCACACACCCGGGAGCCGTCTGCTCAACAGCGCCTGCGCAGCACTCCTCGGGAGGTGTGGCTGGGGGGAGGGGCTCGTCCCAGGAAGTCCCAGGTGGGTGGACGTCGCACCCGGAAGTGGAGTGGCTCCGCTGTTGAGCGGCGGTGCGCCCGGCCGGGTCCGAGCATCCCGCTCTCTCCGGTGGGCATCACCACGTCGGGTTGACGCTGCGGGTGAGGCAGGCGGGTCCCTAGAATGTAGGGCAGCATGTCAGCGGCACGCGGGGAGGCTGTGTGCGAAGGGAGGCTGTAATTCGGCGCGCCGCTTGGAACTACAATTCCAGTAGTGCTTCATGCCCTTCCTGCCGGAGCTCCGGCCCGAAGACGGCGTGGTGTACGCTGGGACCTGTAGTCCAGTACCCGGCCTTGCGCACCCTACCTGGAATGTGGATCAGTGATCAGTGTCAGTACAGATGCGGGTACTCGCTGACAGGCCGTCGGTCATCTACTGTACCTGGTGCCTGTCCTGGTACTGTCCCTTCCTAACTTATTGGAAGAGAGTGGCATTCCTACTGTGCAACCTTACTCCAGTGAGGGGAGTAGACAGCAGGTACCGGAGACCTTGCTCACTTCACTATGCTTTCAGGCTGCAGCCACTGGCCTGCCGGAGCATGGCCCTTTCCATGGAGACCGAGTCGCACATCTACCGAGCTCTGCGCACTGCCTCTGGGGCTGCTGCCCACCTCGTGGCCCTGGGCTTCACCATCTTTGTAGCTGTTCTTGCCAGGCCTGGCTCCAGTAAGTAGAATTCATAGTTGGCTTCTGAGAAGGAAAGTGTCACTTTCCCTGGGGAGCAGGGGCAAGAGGAACTCCTGAGAAAGGCCTGGCTGGCAGAGACCTGCTCTGCTGGAGGGAAAAGTGGGGTGAGCAGATGAGTGTGGGGCCTCTGCCAGGCTGACCAGGCCCTGCTGAGCAGAGAGCTTCTCTTCCCTTGCTTGGTGCTCCACTTGGCTGCCTTTTGCGAAGTGCTGGAGAAGGAGGGAGGACTGCCAGAGCATGGCCTTCGGTCCAGGAAGAGGGAACAGGCATGGAGCCAGCCTGTTGCAGTAATGGGGGCTCGTGTTTGGGCAGCACTTTGGGCAGTGGGCTGCCTCTGTTTCTCAGCCTATAGGGATTGGCATGGCTTGGTTCTTCTTGACTCTGCCTTACAAAGCCTCCTCTTGTCATTCCAGGCCTGTTCTCCTGGCACCCTGTGTTTATGTCGGTGGCTGTAAGTAGTGGGCCTGGCCAGCTCCTAGGAGTGGGAGGGCCTATAGGGAGGGGTGGTAGCCCTGGCAGCCTCTGAATCCTATGGACACTTAATATCTTGGAGGGATGGGATGTGGGCTTGTAGTATCTGCATGTCCTAACTCCTGTCCATGGAGGATAACCCAGACCTGAACCCAGAGTACTCAAGGCCCAAGGCAAATAGAGGTTTACCTAAGCACACAATGAAGTTTCACTCACTTCTGGGTAGGAAGCCTAGAAAATGCATCTGGTTGTCCCTTTTTACCTTAATTTATAGTGATGTATCTAATTTTCCTGAAACAGTGCACCCATATGGCCCACACTTGCCATGAAATTGTATCCAGCCCCTTGCCAGGCAAGCAAACTTGTGAATCATTTATAACTGCCACATCTCAAACCTTGTGTTTGCTGGGTGGCAGCTGAGGTGATGTTTCAGAATAACACCTCAGAAGCAGTGCGGAGAGGGACCTCTCGCTGGCTCCTCAGGACCGATGTTCTGTGCCAGATGGGTGCTTGTCAGTGGGAAGGAGGAAGGGGAAGCTGTCCAGACTGATGGGCAGCTTAGGTCACCTACAGCCTTCCACCAAGCTGCAGGCAGTGCTCACCAGGTCTCTCCTGTTTCCCCAGTTCTCCTTCCTGATGACCGAGGCTTTGCTGGTGTTCTCTCCTGAGAGTTCGCTGCTGCGTCCCCTCTCACGGAAGGCCCGGGCACGCTGCCACTGGCTGCTGCAACTGCTGGCCCTGCTGTGTGCGCTGCTGGGCCTGGGCCTCGTCATCCTCCACAAGGAACAACTTGGCAAAGGCCACCTGGCCACGTGGCACGGGAGGGCAGGGCTGCTAGCCGTGCTGTGGGCAGGGCTGCAGTGCTCAGGCGGGGTGGGGTTGCTGTACCCCAAACTGCTGCCCCGGTGGCCCCTGGCCAAGCTCAAGCTGTATCATGCCACTTCTGGGCTAGTGGGCTACCTTCTGGGGTGTGCCAGCCTCTTGCTGGGCATGTGCTCACTCTGGTTCACTGCCGCAGTCACTGGTGGGGTCTGGTACCTAGCTCTGCTGTGCCCTGTCATTACCAGCTTGGTCATCATGAACCAGGTGAGCAACGCTTACCTGTATCGCAAAAGGATGCAGCCATGAGCCCTTCCCAGCCTAGGGGAAGCCTGAATGTGTCTCTTGCTGTAGTAGCTGGGCTGTACCTCCTGGCCTCTTCAGCTGACTCGGCTGCCAGGAGCCTCAGACGCCGGGGCTGAGTAGGAGGCGGTCTGTGCACGGTATTTTGCTTCCTCCTCACACTGCAGTGCCTCCCCTCTCCTCTCTCTACCACCCCAGAGGTGCTTATGGATCACGTATCTGGACGAAGCTGGGGTTGCAAGGCTGCGTCCCCTCCCCTTGGCTCACACTTGTACTGGTATGCCCAGAATTCCAGGAGAGAACGAAGTGAAATAAAAACAAATGACTGAAAAGACTGGATGGGAGGAATAGCCCAGAGCTGAGGACAGTTCCCACTGTGCCATCAGCTTGAGAGAACAGGCACCCTGTCCCTGGCCGCTCGGGGGGCTACGGCACTCCAGCACACAAGCCCCCAGATCTGGCTGCTGCGTGTCCCATTCACCCAGGGCTGTGACTGGTATAGCTTTCCAGCTGCCCCCTGTGCTGGAGTGGTGGTCAGATCTGAATAAGGACAGGTTGGCAACTGGGACAGTGGTGGCCGCAGGTGTCAAACACTGAACAGTCTGTCTTGGAGGCGAGCTGCAGATACGAACAACTCCTTGTGACAGAGGTCCTCAATCACTGGGTCCTCTGGATGGGTCTCCCTGCTTATGGATCGTAGGGAGAACACTAGTAAGGGTCTGAGGTGAGTGCTGGGAAGGCTCCCTGGCAGTGGGCATGTGCTGGGGTGGGGAGAGGGGGCGGTGGGCTTCTGAAGCAGCTGGAGTCACCATGGGGGCCGAGTCCTTGAACCTCGGGGAAAGCCCCTGTCTAAACCTGCAGTTGGGCGTGATGAGGGATGAGGGGCTGCACGTAGTCTCACAGAGCCCAGAGCTAAACCTCAAAGAACTGTTTTATTCATACTGCAAGGTTGGGCTTGACTGCCCACGCAAGTGGTCCTATAGAAAACACCTGGGAGCTGCGGCTCTTCTGGCCCCATAGCAGCCAAGCCACAGCAGAGGGAATTAGAAATCTGACACGAACCGAACAGTCTCTGGGGGTGGGCGGGGATGTGCAGCCCTGCACTGGCTGGACCCCCAGAACGTTTTTGGCAAATCCTTGCCTTGGCTCAGGGCTCTCAGCAACCAGTATGAGGCATGATGGTTGGCCCAGAGCTGTGGCACCAGTGTCCCTGCAGCCGAGTGCCTGGGGCTGCCTGCTCAGGGACAGTCTCACCTCAGGCGGCCTGGGCTGGCTGGCTCATGCCTGGCATAGTGGTTGTCTGGAGTTGGAACCAGGATGCAATAGTCCTGGGTAGTGTTGGCGAGAAAGAGCAGAAGGCTGCAGAGGGCCGCAGCAGGCCTTCTTGCCTCTCCTCAGAGCAGTGGGTGCCCTGCAGTAGCCACGAGGGTATCGGGGGGGCTTGCGAGAGGAGGTGCTACACTCAGGGTGCTCTGGAGTTACAGCTTCAGGGGAGCTGCCTCAAAGGTGATCAAGCTGGACTCTGCAGCAGCCCCCTTCCCTGGGAGTGTGGGGGCCTTGTCTGAGGACAGAGGGTTGTCCACCTTGGCCCCTGCCTCCTCTTCATCGTCATCCATGCTTGGCCAGACAGACTGGTCCTCCACTCTCTTCAGCCGCTCATTGAGGGCCTTCAGGGCCAGTTGCCTGGGGCCAGAAGAAAGAGGACATGTCACACTGGGTTTGGACTGGCTCACACCCTGCTCTCTTCCCCCGTGACGCTGACTCTTGACTCCGCTCTCAGAACCCCATGTGTTCCTCTTCCCCACAAGGGCCCAGGACTTCCCAGGGCCTGGAGTGGGGCCCACTCTGCCTCCAGAATGAGGACCCACAGGCTGTAGAGCCTTAGCTCTGTACCTAGGGCACTTCTAGGCTGAGGAGGCCAGTAGGGTGTCCCTGGACATGTGGGTTTCTGCCTAGCCTCTGACCTCACACCCAAGGAGAGGATTGAGCCTCCAGGCAAGGATCTGGGGTGAAAGCTGGAACTCAAGCACCTGCCTCAGCTTCCCGTCTGGGAAGTATGGTCACCTTGGGTTAGCCCACCCCTCCTCGATGACCGTCTTTCCAGAAGAATCCCCAAAGCCACTAGGTCCTGAGTTAGAGCAGGGAACGCTGTACTTGCAGGGAGAGAGGAAGGAGAAACAGCCCACATGGGGAGATCACAGGCCAGGTTACTGGTTCCACTGGGCAGAGCCTTAAGACCCTGCTCTGGGGGGAGGTGTACAGGTGTGTTCTTGGGACCCTGGCCCACCAGGAGGTGGCATGCTCATGCCGCTGGGTAACACTTCAGTAATGACCCCTGTGGACCCCTGATGACTCAGCCTCTCTGTGGCACCAGCATGGGGGCCAGCCTACACAGCTTTCCAAGCTGCAGGAGAACCAAAATCTCCATGACAGTCAACATGTCAGGACAGGCCACAAGGACATGGCATGCAAAGGCCCAGCACAGTCCACCTTGTCTCCAGCCGGCACGTGGCAAGCTGGCACAGACAGGACAGCTCTTCCCAACTGCTACCCGGGCTCCCACCCTGGAGCCAGTCTCCTGATCAATCTGTCGACAGCCTGCCAAAGTACAGAGGCAGTGGAACGCTAATCACATCCTCAGGAGGCTTGAAGACAGGAAGCCCTGCCTCCCACTGCTAGTAGCCCTTTGGGTTTGGGAGTGGCACACAGCCAGATGTCAACCTGGTTGGAGCAGTAATCCCCTTCCCGAAGTAAGCTAACAACCACAAGACTGGCAAAAATCCACCTGGCACTTGCCCCTCCCAACCTCTTATTTTCTTGGGCCTGAGCAGAGATTTTTCAGTGTTCAGCCAACCCTAGCAACGCAAGACCTCTCGCTGGAGAAGGGGTCACTACTGTGGCCTGGCCCCACCTGAACAGCTCTGAGGCTGTTTTTATCAGACCCAGCCCTCTTGGCCCTACCTCCTCCATGAGATAAGGTTAAGTAGACAGACCAGGGTCTTAGGATCCATCAGCCATGGAAAAAAGATCTGTGCTGCCTTGGCCAAGGTACACTCAGTGAATAATGCAGCTAGACTCTGATGGTGCAGGTGGCTCGGTTTACGGACCATGAAAGGTCGTCTTCACTCCTTGGTGTGGTCAGCAGGCTCCGTGGTGGGTCACATGGCCTGTCCCCTGGGCCTGGTGACAGATGTGGGGATGGTGGTGTAACTCTAGTATTACCCCAAGCTTCCCTGTCAGTAAGTGGCAGAGAAGCACAGTATCTGAATTAAGACCCAGGAAGAGGACACGGTTCAGTATTAGGAAACGGGTGGCCCAGACCGACTCTAAAGGATCACAGGGGAAAACACACCAGCAGGCTGTTTCTGACTCCCCCGGGTACCCACATCAGGGAGTCTAGCATTCCAAGACAAGGCTAGGATTATGTGTCCCCGGGTCTCGATGAGCCCTCATGCAGCACCAAAGGAAACCGAGCCTTTCTTGAGACACTTCAAGGGGCCTGAGTGGCAACAGTAACTTTTTTTCCCTCCCCAAGGTTGGAGAGCACCTACTGGAACCCAGATACCTAAATGCTGAGAGCCTCAAGGCCCCAAACTGGATTTTATCTCTTGCTGAATCTGCTCCAACCTGACAGCACACACACAGCAAGCTCCTCAACAGACCAATGTGACAAGGTCAATAAATACTCCACTAGCTCAACAAGGTTTGGAGATCCCACGATACCTTCTCCGCTCCGCGTCTTGAGGATCTGTGCCTGGGAGGCTGATGGTGATGGAGGACGGAGCACCTACATCATAGCGCTTCACCGTCTTCTGGCATACCTTGACCTTCACCAGGAGGCCATGCACCAAGTTCGCCAACAGCCCCACCACAGGCTGCAGGATCTCAGGAAAGAAGGTGGCGAAAGCAAAATGGTCGGCCATGTCCCCTCGGCCTCGGCTATGGCGCTGGTAGAAGCGAAGGTACACCCAACTGGACAACACCCCAAAGCCGTAGGAGGACAGTGCCGGGCTCTGGAGGAGCGTGGCCAGCCGCAGCCCCAGCAGCAGCCCCAAGAGCAGCATGGGCACCACACTGACCCTCACCTGGGGCACTCGCAGCACTACACAGTCCCCCATGGTTTGCTTGAGTGCCACAAGGACACCCCCGAGGAAGCCCAGGGCGCCGTGTATGCGGATCGTGAAAAGGTAGACCAGGTTGAAGGAAGCCATGTAGGTGAGGAGGTAGGCGAAGGCCCCCAGCAGCCCCACAGCCACGTTCACCACTGAGAAAAAGATGAGTAGTTCCAAGGCGCCCCAGAGGGGCTCCAGCAAACGCCCAGCCACCACCACGGTAGCCAGGCTGATGGCCACATCCCACACGTGCTGCTCCATCAGCCCATGAGTGGCCAGGGTCCAGATCCAGAAGTTGGGCGGAAAAAGGTAGCCTGGGGTTACAGCCAGGCAGCCCGTGTCCACGACGAAGGAGAGCAGGTAGAGGAACAGTACCGCAGCGCACAGGGCCTTCACCACCACGCTGGCGCTGGCCAGGACGGCCCCCAAGTGCTGGCGGGCGCCCGGCAAGGCGCGCTGCATCTTCCCGGAGGGCGTCGGCCTGAGGGAAGGCTCTAGAGGGCTCGGGGCCTCCCCGGGGCCTCGTCCCAGTCCGGCCCCGACGGGAGGCCCGGGCCCAGCCTAGTCACTGGCCTATGGCCCCGGTGAAGGAGCCACTTCCGGCTGGGTCGTCTTCGGTCCCAAAGGGCCAAACCGGGCCTGGTCGCGGGACCGGGGACCTGTCTGCCTGCCTGCCCACCCTGTGGGTCCTACACCAGGACGGCTGGGCCGGCAAGGATTTCAGGGCTCAGCCTGCTCCATCCACGCCGGGGCCCCACGGTCCGCGCCCGGCTGGGGCCTCGTTCCGAGCCCGTCAGGTCTGGTCAGCTCCGGCTCGGCCGCACTCGGCTCCGGCCGTACCTCCTCCCTTCTCAGGCGCCGACAAACAGAAGCACGGCGCCTGCGCACCCGCGGCGGCGGCGAGACGCCCTCGAGCTGCGGCCTTCCGGCCGCGCGGCGTGCTGGTACTCCGAGTCTTCGCCGAACCCGGGAGGGGCGGAGCGCGGGGATCTCCCTGGAACTACAGGTCCCAGGAGGCTGCGCGCCGGGCGGTCCCGGGCGTGCGCGGAAGGGTGCGCGCGGGATCCATAGTTGGTGTGGCCGCTGATCTCCGGCAGCGGGTGGGAGAACTCTGCTGCTCTCGCGCCGGCCGCTGATTCCCGGAAGGAGCGCCTCTGTCGTGCGTGTGCCTCCGAGGGGTCGGTGCGTGGGTGGGAGCGTAGGGCGGCCCCGCGGTGTGTGGGTGCTCCGGCCTGACCAGGCCCCGAGTTCCTCCCCTGCCGTTTGGCGGCTGTGTGACATTGGCCGATTTCCTGAACTTTGTAGAAGGTCAGTGTCATGGACCGTGAAATGGAGATGATGACCGCGCTCCGTGAGAGTCCAAGGGGACTGGGTGTAAAATGCCATCCACTCTGCCCTTGCTACAAGCGAGGTGGAGCCAACCACTGGAACTCAGGTCTCTGCCTCCTAAAGGAGGAGGCAGGGCTGTTTTGTTGCTCTTATCCCCGCCGCCGGCTTCTCACTGCTGGCCCCCGGGAAGAGGCCGGACTTCTCATTGCTGCACCCCACGAACTTGGGCCGGGCTGGCCCTAGGCCCCCACTTGAGCTGCAGCGGTAGCTTCTGGTGGGTTGTGTCCTGTGCAAACTGATTCTTTTTTTATAGTAAGTTAACTTTTTAAAATGTGTACATAATTAACTGTGTGACAATGTACCTTTATAAAGTGCGTAATCTCTTTTCAGCCACTTATGTCACTACAACAGCTGATGTGTGCATAGCCTTCCAGGTTACAAAGGATGTTGACGCCCTTTATCTTTGGGGTCTAGGTTCCCACTGGATGCCACTGCAGGGTATGGTTGTCAGATTTAGCAAATCAAAATACAGGGTCACTCATATTTGAATTTCCAATAAACAATTTTTTTTGTATAAGCATGTCCCGGACCCTTCTTTTTTTGAAGTTGTATGTTATATCCCATGCAATATTGGAACATACTAACCAGAAAAACATGCATCGTTTATATGAAACTAAAACTCGGGCGTTGAATATTTTATCCTGCAACTGTACCCCAGAGCCTCCAGACTACACTACAGTTACACACATGCCCATGCGAGACACGGCTGGCACACACACACAATATAGGGCCGTTACTGGGCATGGGTGCTCTCAGGGGTTGCTACTTAGGTGTTCGTGGCTAACCCCTGCAGAGGAGTGAGGAGGTGTCTTCCTAAGGCCTGGAAGGCCCTCCTCCATTTCTGTGTCAACCAGGGTCCCCCAGCCACAGGCTACTTCCTTTCTTTCTAAAACCTTTGTAGATTTCTTGCCCTTTTCATCTGGGAGAAAAGTTGTCCCCAGACTGGGTTTGCTTATCTGCCGTATGAGAATAAATCAGTACCCAACTATAAGGGTGTGGTGAGGACTCAGCCGACTGCACGCTGGGTGAGGGCAGTGTGTGTATTGTGTCAGCAGCACCAGAAACCTCTGCGCTGGTGGTTATGTCTCCCTCCTTGAAAATGTGAAGATCACACGGACTAGGGCTGACCATAGAAAGTTGGGATTAAAATGAACAAGGGCACAGGGCAGGCCGGAGGGAGGCCCAAGAAGGTTCAAGAAATGAATTCAGCCTTGGGTTTCAGTGTGAGCAGCGGTGGCCACGCAGATGCAGGACCCAGAGCCTCTCTGCCCGAGCCAGAAAGGAGCAGTGAATCTGCTGGTGGGCCGACCAGACCCTGGCCTCCTCCGGACAGAGCCAAGTCCTGGACATGGGCCAGGTGCTCACCCTTTGCTCTGGGCAGAGGGCCTGCCTGCTAGGCCTGTTGGTCTGATCCAGTGGCTGGATGCCCACCTATACCTGCATCTCATGTGTCTTCTTTCCTCCACTGTCCCTGTCTTGAGCCTCTGGGACACCTTTTTTTTAGGGACAGCTTGTCTTGGAGGCTTTTGGGAAAATTATTTAAGACAAAGGATGTCATGGATCTGGAACTTCGGAGGCTGCGTCACACACCCCCTGCACCCACCGGGGAGCCTGGGCCGCTACAGCCCTCATTCCCAGCAGAGCAGGCTAGGTGGGACTCTGAGGTCATAGCCACCCAATCCTCATGCCAGGGAAGACACACAGCGGATGGGAACCATTTGAAGTGAAAATATGAACATTATTTAATAACTGATCTGTAATAAACCATTTGAAAATATTTTACAAGGAATCACACACACAATATTTTACAAAGTTTCTTGACTTTTTTGTTGCTGTTGTTTTTCTGACTTGTCTGTACAAAATAGAACCACCACCAAAAAAAAGGGCAGAGAAAAGGAAATGGCCCCCCTGCACCCCACAGGTTCCGTGATCCCGAGGTGAGGGGGCAGCTAGGTCCAGTGAGTGATGAGAAGGATCAGACCTAGCTGGGAGTTGGACAACTACCTAATGGGGATTGTTTTGTCAGTTTTCCTGTTTTTTAAAAACTTAAAATATATATTTTTCTGTATATGTTTAATTCTTTTTAATTTGTATATTCTCCATTGAGCACCTGACTACACTACAGTTACACACACACCCTCACGAGACACAGCTGGCATCTAGGCTGGGTGTACAGCATGGGCGCCCACCTGGCACCAGCAGCGGGCATGGACCATACACACACACTGAGAAAGCGACAAGCAACATGACATTAATTAACGGAGCCATTAATTAATGCATCACCCTCCCCCCTCTTCCCAGTCTAAGCCCCATGGCCACATCCCCCTGCCCTCAGGCCCCCACCTACCCCCAGGCTGGGGTGCCTTTGGGGGAAACGACCAGAATGAATGGTGTGAAGAGAGATGCTCAGGCCCAGCCTCTGTATGTGCACAAAGTGTGTGTGTGTGTGTGTGTGAATGCATGTGCACGTGTGTGTTTAGCAGGGGGGAACAGTTTGGCTTTCCCAGGGCAGGGAGTGTGTTCAAGTGAGTGGGAGACAGGGAATGGGTAGCAGCCAGAGTGTAAGGGCCAGACGGGCTGGGACAGCCCAGCCGGGAGTAATTAAGTCACCCCTGCTAAGGCAAAGGGGGATGTCTGGTGAGGGCTCCTCTGCCTAAGGGTGCAGGCAGTGGTATATGATCCCTCTGGGGGCCTGACACGAGTGAGAAATGGTTACAATGAGCACCTGGTGAGGTGGAGGGCATTTCTGGGGCACTGGCAGCTGGGGTGGGACAGATGGGTCTTCATCCCCTGCCCCAACGTTTGGCACTGTTTGACATTCACCTTCAGAGACAGAGGACCAGCTGGGCTGCAGGCCAGATTAGAGGCGGGCGGTGAATAAGAGATGAGTGCGCCAACCTTCCCATGGACCCCTTGCCCTGTGTAAGGCTTTGGGAGCCCCCACCCCTGCCCTACCCCATGGCATGTGTGTGTCTGTATGCCTGTGTGTGTTTCCCCCAGGGCATGTCTAATGCGAATCCAACTTTCTGCCTTCAGGGCTCCATGCGTGTTTGGGGTTGTATCTGAGCTGGTGTGACACCAGCTGTCACTGTCACTGTCCTGACACCTGCAGGGCTGGGGTGGGTGGCGGGTGGCTGTAGGCTTAAGCAGGGCAGGAGCCCACCGGAGGTCTGCCTCAGGACCTCTCTCCTGCGGAGACCTAAGCTGGATGCACAGGCCCCAAACTGCCTGTCTCAACTTCCTCCAGCATTCCCAGGGAATCCAGATCTGGTCTGGGTGGGGCAGAAGGGCCAGGCTGAGGAGTCCAGCTGTGGCAGCGCGGAGGTCTCCCACACAAAGGGCGCTTGCGGGCAGGGCGGGCAGTGGAGGCCTGGTTTGGCACCAGTACTGTGGCTTCCCTGTCCCGGCCCTCCGGGGCGGGCGAGTCCAGTGGGAAGGCGGGGTCCGGGGACACTTTCAACAATTCCGCGGCGCCCTCCTTCGGGACCCCCCCCGACTCCGAGGCCGACTCGGGGCCTGGTGCACTCAGGTCCATCAGAGAGAGGGCGAGGCTCCAGGGCGGGGCGCGTGGGGCGGGGCGCAGGGGAGAGGCGGGGACGCCTGGGGGCGGGCGGGGGCTCAGAGGCGGCGCGAGGCGTGGGCGTGGACTGGCGGCTGCGGCCGCGGAGGCAGGCCCAGGAGCAGCAGGAGCTGCAGGGAGACCAGGACGCCCAGCGACGGCGGAAAGGAGGCCCCGCGGCCGCAGTCTGAGGTATCTTCCTGTGGGGAGAGACGGGGGCTGCTGGGCCTGCGCGCCGGGGCCGGGGCGGGGGCCGGGTGTCAGGTCTACCGCCCCTCCTCACCGTCGCGTTGTAGTCGAAGCATATGTGTGGGCCTCTCCGGTACCGCGGCCGCTGCACCAGCTCACATTGCTCCGGGCCGTCCGCTGGGCATGGGTGGGGAGTCAAGGAGCGGTGGCGGCCGGGGTGGGGGTAGGGGGCGGGGGGCGGGGCGCGCGGCGCGCGGCGGGGGCAGGATACAGTGCGTCTCCTTCTGCAGCAGCCGGCCGGCCTCGCACTGGCTGCACAGCGGCTTCTCGGCCACCACGAAGAGGAGGTTGGTGTTGGTCAGCCTCTGCGCGTGGAACAGCCTGGGGGCGGCCCAGAGAGGCGGGCGCTGGGGCTCGCCCCGCCCCCAGCCCGGGCCCCGCCCCCCGCCACATGGCCCCGCCCGCTGCGGCCGCAGCAACGCGGCTCCCGTGGCCACACCACGCCCCCTGCCAGCTGCAACCCTTCCACCCCTGGCCCCGGCCCCACGGCCCTGCGGCCGCCTCCGCTCGGCCCTCCCGTCAGCACCTGGAGCAGTTGCCACAGTCGATGATGGCGTTGTACGAGTTGTTCACAGAGCCGAAGAAGTACTGGGTCTGTTTCATAACGCAGCTGCTCTCGCGCGCCTCGGGGCTCCCCTCGGCCTCCGCAGGGTCTGCGAGGGCCCAGAGCGCTTAGCCCCACCCCTACACCTCGGGACCGAGGCGGGCCTGAGCTGTGCTCAGCGTAGGCCCCGACCTCCGCGTAGACTGGGCGAGGAGGCTTTGGACCCTTCCAAGCCCCACCTACCTGCCTGGAACCAGCTGTGGTAGATGAGGCTATAGAGAAGCTGCTGGAACAAGGACCTGCAGGGCATGGGGTTGCCGAGTGGGAGTGGTCAGCGGAGGCCAGCGCAGGCTCCCTCCTGACCAGGGAGCAGCCACCCCCCAACCTCTCTCCCCAGGGACTCACCAGGCTGCAGCCGAGGTCCACCAGGCCAGGTTAAGGAAGTCTGCAATGGTGGGCTGCAGTGGAGGCAGGGGCATGGGCCGTCGTTGCTGCCCCTGACCCCGGGTCACCCCCAGTGCCCTCATCACAGGTGGGGGCGGTCATCTGTGGGCAGGTCCCCCATCCCCCCATCTCCAAGCCAGGTATTGCTGGGGCTCACCACAAAGACTCCCCGGGGCGCGGCACCCAGGTTCCCCGGGGGTGGGGGGGCACAGGCGGCCTGATAGTCGTAGGACTCCTTGCGGGTGTAGAAGGAGTTATTGTAGAGTGCCAGCATCAGGTTGGCGTCCACCTCGCTGAAGAACCTGCCCACCTGGGAATGCCAGAGGGAGTCCTGGTCACAGGGCTGGCAGTGCCCCACCCCAGAAGACCCAAACCGCAAGCCCCTCCTTCCGCCTTCTTCCTGACCCTCACCTGGTCCCACTGATGGTTCTGGTTTGACAGCACCAGGAATCCACCGTCATCAATGAGGACACAGAGCAGGTCCTGAGGGAATGGAGAGGGGCTTGGGTCCAGACCTTCCTCCCCAGACCCTGGCAGTCCAGTGGTTGGATGGACCACTGCCCCCATTCTGATAGAGCTAGGACCTCAGGGTGGGATGTCAGGACCCAGGCCAAGGGATGGGCTGGGAGTTGTGGTTGGGGCTAAAAAGTCTGGGAGGGGGGTGTGTACCTCATTGTTGACCTCACAGTCCATTTCACAGTGGCTGCTGGGGCCGCACTGCTGGGCAGAGAACAAGGACTGTAAGATGCCTGCATGCCAGCCTGGCCCCTCCCCCACCTTTCATACATCTGGGTGCCAGGCCATCTGCAACAGCGCCTGCCACCCGCCCCACAGGCACTAGAGCCACTGAGTAGGGGAACTCAGGGCTTCCTGGTGGCTCCAGAATGGGTACTGCTGGGCTCACTGCTCCTACCCGTGCCCGAGTACCTTCTGAGGCTGGTCCTGGTGGGTACGGTTGCTGGCTAGCACCTTGAATTTCTCAGCCCAGGCCTCTAGGTCCAGCTTAACACCCACCACTATGGGGGAGAGCAAGGGGCCATCAGTGCCCACCTAGCTGGGCAGAGCCCTGTCCATGGTGTCTTTCTCTGCTTATGCCCTGGGTACCCACCTGCTGGCCTCAGTGTGCGTCCGTCCAGGCTGAGCTCCACAGCTGTGCTTACCAGGATGCCCACCGTGTCATTCTCCAGCTCCAGTGGCCTTAATAGGGCTGGGGGTGGAGTGGGGCAGGGCGGTCAGCAGCGGGGGCTGGCGGCCACGCTGTGGGCCCAGAAACCCAAACCAAGGCTGACCCCTGCCTAAGCAGCCAGCACTGGGCAGGGTGGCAGAGCCGGCCTTCTCTCTCGCCTGCCCCAGCCCCAGCTGGTTCCGTGTTGTGAGAGGCGGAAAGTAGAGCCTAGCCCTGGCCGAGACAACAGGGCACCTGGGGGAACTCACCATCGTGGTGTGGGGGCTTGAAGACATAGCCATGGTTATCCAGGCTGCGGCGGTAGAAGCTGGCATTGAAGGGCTCCGGGTTCTCCGTCCAGTCCTCAGCTGCCCTGGTTACCCGAGATAGGCAGAGGGTGGCGGAAGGGGTGATTTATGGGGGACAGTGGTCTCAGCAGGTGCAAAGAGGCCTCTGAGCAGCAGACACAGGCAGGGTCCCAGGCCAGGGCAGGGTGCTGGCGAGTGGGGTAGGTCACTTACTTGTTGGGGAACACTCGAGTGATGCCGCCATCGGTGGCAGCAAACACGGCCAGCAGGCTGTACCTGGGGGCAGTGGGGAGGTGAGGTCACAGGCCTGTCTTCTGCACGGCAGGGCTAGGGCCTCTGGGCCCATGCCAGCCTCCTGCCCCCAGGCTGGGTGCTGCCTACGTGTTGAGATCCTGGTCATGCCACACACGCTCCACCAGCTGTTGTGTGATGCCCGTGTCCAAGATCAGGTTGTGCAGAAGGAAGTTGTTGCCTGGAACGGAGGTCAGGGGTGGAGGAGGCGTCTTCCTGTGCCTCCCTGCCACTCCCCTACCAATAGGAGCCTGCCCTGTGACCTGGCCCAGGCCCTGCCCTTGGCTTGAGCCTGTTTATTCCAGCCCTGCCTGGTCTCTGGGTCCTTCCAGGCCGCCTAGACTGGCCGCCCACCAGCACTCACACTGCTTGGAGTCCGGAGTCACTTTCTCCATGAGCTCAATGAAGTTCTTCAGGAACTCAGTGTTGTTGTCTGAGGCATTCAGGTCCTTGCAGTACTCTCTGGGGTGGGGAGGGGTGAGAAGGGCGGGCTTGGGGGGCTGCACAGGGCAGTAGGGCTGCACAGGGCACTCAAGGAGTGGCCTGAGTATTCTTAGAGGCTGCAGCCGCTGTGTGCCCGGCAGGCTGTCAGGTGTGAACAGGGGCAGAGCTGATGCCAGAATGAGGTTCTCCTTCCTGGGCTCTGCCATGCGGAGCCTCCCACCTTTCCTGCACAGCTGGACCCAGATGGTGCACCTGGGGCGTCCCAGGGAAGGCCTCATGGCTGGTTCACCTGCCTGTATGCTTAGCATCTCACATGCACAAGGTGGGCAGGTGACCAGCACTGGATTGCCCACCTGAGTCTAGGACTTCAGTCTGCCGCTTCCTAGCTCTGCACCTGTAGGCAACTCACTCAAGCACTGTGAGCGGGCCTTTTTCATCATGCCATAGTGCCAGGAAGTCAGTGGGAACACATGTGTTCCTGGACTGGCTGTTTCCTCTGCCCTGAGGTGGATGGGCCAAATCCTGCACCTGCTCAGGCCTCTGGCTGGGCTCAGGCTCTGGGTTCAAGAACATAGGAGCTGAGGGGAACGGGGAGGCCTGCGTGGGGCTGCTCCACAGGAAATCATGGCAAGCATTCCATTTACCCTGGGAGATGGAGCTGTGTCTGCTGCCCCATCCGTCATTCCTGCCCCTGACACCAGAGACACCCCCACTGGCCCATATGGCAGCAACTTGGTGGCAATTTTTAGATGTGTTGCTTCCGTAGGCTGTGCTGGGGCCCAAGCTAGGGGAAGGTATCTGGGACTGGCTCTCAGCCCCCACTTGCTGCCTGGCCCCCAGGGCCTTTGTGCAATGCACAGCCTACACTTGTGTGTGTGGAGGCCACACCTGATACACCCAAAGAGACACCCACACAGCCGTGCTGGGGTATGAGTCACCTGCAGCCCCCCTCATGTACCTTTACATTTGTGAGGTACTTAATGCACTCACCCAACACATATTTATTGAGCTCTCATGATCCAAAGACACAGAGGTGACAGAAATGGGCACGTGACTGCCCTTAGCTCCCTCAGGGCCATGGGGGACACACAGGCCTTTTTCACCTGTTCCCGCAGTCCCTGCACCCAGCCCACCCCACAGTTACACTGGGACTCCCGCAAATGTACACAGTGATGCACAAATACACATCTACAGACTCAAAGAGACATTTGTGGGTGCATGCACGCACACGCACACACGGCGGCCAGGAGTGGCCAGACTGTGTGGTGCCTGGGAGTGCCCACGTCTCCGTCAGCACACCCACTGGACCTCTCAGATGTGGGCCAATGGGCAGCAGGTGTGCACACAGGATGTGTGTGTGCATGCTGCGCTTGCCTTCTAGGGGGCCCAGGCCCCACCCTGTGCTGAGCCCTGACCTATACTGCCAGAGCACCTCTTCAAAGCCCCTGTGATCCCCAACTCCCAGACCTCATGAGCCACCACATCTAGAATTGGCACTGCTGACAGGGGCTCTGGCTGGCTTAGTCCTCAGACCCACACAAACACTGGTTTGACACAGGACAAGGACAGGGTGCAGGGTGGGGAGGGCATCACACAGCAGAGCAGAGCTGCCCAGTGAGGGTGTGCTGCAGATGGCACAGGGCACAAAGGGGAGGGCAGGGAAGGTCAGCAGAGAGTCCAGAGCCCTCCCACCCCCAGCCTGGTGGGAGCTGGGGCTATGGGCAGCCAGCCACTGCTGCTTGGTGTGGTTCCATGGCCCAGGTATGCACGCAGCTGCGTATATGGGGCTGTGCAGGTGGGGACTGCATGGGGCGCGCGCGCCACACACACACACACACACACACACACACACACACACACACACACACAGAGCTCTAGGCAGCAGTGCAGGAGGTGGGTGGGGGTGGGCGGGGTGGGGGGACACCTCAGCAAGGCCACAGGCAAGCTACCTGGGAGCAATGAAAACATGTCCTTCAGACTCAAAGCTGCTGGGGAGCAGGAACTCAAAATCTGCAACAGAAATGGGGGGTTATCCGGCGGGGGTTGGGGTGGCGGGAGGCCAGGGGGCTCCGAGCTGACAGGGCTGGAGGGACAGGGAAGAGGGTGGCTTGAGGGAGGGGGAGACACCAGCAAAGATGGAACCCGCCACTTCTGCGTTCAAGTTCGAGCCAGAGAGAAGGGGTGGGCTGGGAGAATGGGTGGGCAGGGAGGGCTGGGGGGCCTGTGGAGACTACAGCATCGCAGGAGGAGGGCAGTTATAGCCAATATGTTGCCCGGGCCTGGTCCTCTGTCGGCAGTGAGTCCCTTGGCGTGGCTGTATATGCTTCCATACGGCTGTATAGCACATATACACAGACACACACACACACATATATATACACACACTGCTATATATATGCATGGTCTGGGGGAGGCGCCAGTCTTGCACTTGTCACATCCATAATGGAAAAAACCGCATGCTGAGCTTCCTTTGCCTCCAAAGAGACTTCGAGGAAGGGAATTGGCTTTTGGCTGCGGATTTTTCTCTCTCTTTGCTGCAGCTGTTTGCGTTTTGGTAGGCCTTGCTTTTGTTGTGTGTCAGGCATCAACATGGCCAAACCGAGGGGGTGTCTCATGGGGGCACAGACAGTCCAACCAGAGACAGTGTGAGCAGCTGGGGGTGCAGGGCGGCAGTGCATTGTGGGTGTCCACTGGTCTTTCCTGGGGGCAGGGAGTCCCCTGAGGGGCCAGGGATGGCCCCATGCTGGGAGGAGTCTGGGAGCTGGGAGGGTGGGGATCACCCCCTGAACTTGCTCACCTGCCCCCTCGGGTGGGGAAAAAGGGCGGAGTCTCCACCTTTCCTACCACGGGCCTGGGCTCAGAGCAGCCAGGGAGGAATGCTGGAGGCTCGGGAGTGGGGAGGGGGGGGCACACCTGGTGAGTGAGCACACACACATGCGTGACCACGTGCAGAGAGCAGGTGTGTGAGCGTCTCTGTGTGGTGTGCGAGTGAATCTGGGGAGGAGGCCACAGGGGCTCCTCTTTGGCCTCTCCCTGCCCTGCTGTACTGGCCACTTTGCTGGTCTGCCTCTAGGAGGCGTCATCTACTCTCAGCCAATTGCATTCTGGGCAGGCCACCTTCCTGCCCTGTCTTCACCCAGACTCCAATCTCTTTGCCAACCGAGGCTTTATTTTTGCAGAAGAGGGGTCTGCCCTGTTCACTGTATTCCCACAATGCACTGCAGGATTCTGGGGAGGAGGGACTCAGGGGCCTGGACTGGGCTGGGTGGTCACTGGTTGGACTGTTGCTTTCTGATAGGACCGTGAGGCAGGGCTGGACACAAGCCGACAGGGAAGGAGGGGAGGGGGAGAAAGAAAAAAGAGGCAGAGGGAGCAGGAAGGGGGACTGTGCTACGGCTGTCACTGTTACCAGGGCCCTGCCCTGCTGCGGTCACTGGGGAGGGCGTGGGAAAGGGAGGAAAGACAACTCAAGCTGGTGGGCAGAGGGCACATCCCCCGCCCCACTGGGCCCTCTGAGGGGGCGAGGCGGGACAGCGCCCCTAGGGCCTCCTGGGAGGCTCCTGATCCAGGCCATGGGAGCAGGGACAGGGTCCCTGTGCAGCCCGTGCGCCCCGTCTCTCTAGCACCGGTCAGAGGTACTGTGTGCTATCCTCTCTCACTACGTTGCCCGCCTGGTCTCTGCCGAGGTCTGTGAGCTCACCACCTGCCTTTCCTGGGACTCCCTGACTTGGGTGGCTGTGGGTGCCGAAATCTCTTTCTTCACCCCCAGCCTGGTTCCATCCAGGCTTTTCTGTCCTGTGGGGTCCAGACAGATGCCCTCTGTGCCCAGTCAGGCTCCATCAGGTCCCTGAGACTGCCTTTACTTCTCAGAACAGCCCCCCCACGCCTGGTCACCCTCCAGGGGCAGCGAGCACAGGGAAGGCTGGGCCAGGGGGGTCAGCAAAGTCTCTGGGAGCGCTGCGGGGCGGCAGCGGAGGGGCTTCAGCACCTCGGCCAGCACCCGGGACGGCTCTGTACTGCCGGCTGTCCTGACCTGCCCCTGCCCTGGGCTCACAGCATGAGGCTTCCAAAGCCTCCCGCCTCCCCTCAGGAAGACTGCCCACTCCTGGAGTAACTGCCAGACACCAGAGGAGGGGGCCTCGTGCGAGCCTGTCTCCAGGAGCCCGGGGGACTGGCCCACCCTGCTCCCAGCCCCTGCCTGCTGGTGCGGGAGGTGGTGGAGAGGCTGCGGCCCTGTCCCCACTGTTGAGTTGTCTTAAAAGGACAGAGAAGTGGGGGGCAGGGCCTGCCCAGAGGGAGCAGGGCGGATGAGGAGGGGGCCGAGGTCCCCCTGTGGGCAGGGTGGGCCCGGGGAAGGGCTGGGGGCTCAAACGGGGGCTTCAGATGAGGGAAAGGCGAGAAGTAGGGGAGCCAGAGGCGCTGGGGCCCTGAGAGCGGGGGTCTGGTCGGTCCTGGGCGGGAAGGGGGGCAAGCAGGGGTGTGGGGGCAGGTGGGGGGGGAGGGGGGTGCACTGGTTCTGAGTATACTTGCCCTTCAGTTTGCTGATTGGCACTGGGACAGTCCACCAAGAGAGAAAGCGAGGAAAACAAAAACAACACAAACACAAAAACAAACGAAAAGGGGGAGGGGGAGGGGGGGCACAAACAATATTTTATTCAATGGCTGTTTGAATGAAAATATTGTGTCTCATCATCATACCGAAAGGAAACTTCTTGCAAAAAACGACACGAGAGAGAAAGAGAGAGCAAGAAAACTCAGAGATGAGCCCCAGTTGGCCGGGCAGGTGGGGGCGCCCGGTGGGTCCGGAGCCCCAGCCTCCCTCCCAGTGACCTAGGGTGGTGGGCAGGTGGGCCACGGGCTCCGGAGGCCCCTGGGGGAGGCCCAGGGTGAGAGGTCATGCAGGGGAGCCACAGGCAGAGGGCTGGGCGAGGGAGAGAGGGGGGAGGGCAGGAGGGGGAGGGGAGAGGAGGGGGAGGGGAGGGCAGGAGGGGGAGGGGAGGGGCAAAGAGGGGAAGGCAGGGTTTGGGGCAGGGCAGGGGAAAGGAGGAGGATGAGTGGGCGACAGGGGGCAAAGGGGAGAGATGGGGCACCACGGGGAGGAGTGGGGAGAGGGGTGTCTTGGAGAATGCAGCCCCCTGGGTGTGCAGGGTAGGCAGGCTGAGGAGGAAGGGCGGGATGAGGAGAAACCAAAAACAAAACCTCAACAGAAACCACGAGAATGGCTGGAACCAAATTTGAGCAAAGGCGAGCATGCAGGTTTGCACAGACTTTTCATGGCTGGTGTGCCAGCCTGCGGGTGCCTGGTGTGGGCTGGCTGGGCAGGAGGGGCCCCTTGCTGCCAGGGTGCAGGGCAGAGGCGGGGTGCAGGGTGCAGGCAGGGGCCGGGCCACTTACACTTGACCTGCAGGATCTGGTCACTGAGGTTGGCTTGGAGGTAGAAGGTGCTGTAGGGCGGGAGCACGAGCCCCAGGCTGGGGGAGGGCAGGGAGGGGGCACAGGTCACTGCCAGGAGAGGCTGCCATGCTGGCTCTCCCTGCCAGAGCCTGGGAGCTGGGTAGAAAGGCCCAGGCTGTGGGTCCCCTCACCTGGCCGCCAGGGACACTTTCCCAGTTAGCTGTGGCAGATTCATGGCCCAGGGCCCGAGCCTCCTATTCCCCAAGTCTCCCAGGGGTCTCAGAATTCCAAAGCCCCAAAGCCAATCTCTGCTGCACCCCTCACCTCCACCGGCCTCCCCCAAGTTCCACCTGTGGCCAGCCTGGTCCCTCTGGCCAGCAGCAAACTCACACGGGCCGAACACCGTCCCTGAGCTAGGCTGGGGAGTGCTGTGTGGGAGGGGGTCCACACCCCCAGAGGCTCAGGCCCTGGGAGAGCCGCATGAGGCAGGGCTGGCACTACATGGCAAGGGGTGGCCCCGGTGGGCATGGGCGTGAGTAACGCCCATCGGGGGCACCAGCCTGCACTGCTAGGCCGTACCCCAGGGGCACTGGCTCTGAGGCTCTGGCTGCCACCACGGACAGCTGTGCATGTGCTGAGGACAGCCCCTGGGGGGTGCGTGAGCCAGGCACAGTCCCACAGGGAGGTGGGCCCTGGGCAGATGGCAGCACACCGTCTGGTCTGTCGTGCATTCCCGGGAGGTGGCCCTTGTTCCTGACAGGCCAACAAGAGGCCCTGGGGGGCCTAGAGCCCGGGGTCAGCAGGGGCAGCCCCGGCCCACTTACCTGTAGTTGGTGCTCTGTATGGGCGCCCAGGTGTAGCTCCGCAGCACCTCATCTATGTACCTCTGAGGGGAGAGGCTATGTCAGGCACTTGGGCCGGGAGGCAGGGCTCGGGTGCAGGGGGCCCACCCTGCCTGTCCCTTCCACCGCCTCTCACCTCGTCCAGCGATCTGACCAGTGTTCTGACCTGCTTGTGGCCCTTGTTGCCATCGATCATGCTCCTGCGGATCTGCGGGGCCCAGAGGCGTGAGTGGCCAGCCCGCCCCTCCCCTGCCCAGCCCACCCCTGCCCCCCTGCCTCGCACCTCCTCCTTGTCCCCGTCCTCCAGCTCTGCGTCCAGGAAGTCCAGAGTCACAGGCTCCCGGAAGTTGGTGGTCTGTGGGAGGCAGGGCGGGCATCAGGAGTCCCGGCCCGCAGGCTTACTACCCCCAAAGCCACCCACCAGGCTCACCTGGGGCTTGAGGTTGGGGTGCAGCAGTACATAGCCATTCAGGTCGATGGCAAACACGTAGCCGTTGGCTCCAAGCTGGCGGTACAGGTTGGGAGTCAGGGCCTAGAGGGATTCCCCTGCCCTGCGCATCAGCCCTGGCTGAGGCTTGCTTTCTCCCGGCCAGGGCCCTCATGGGCCTGACCTCAGCTGGACTGCTCCTCTGCCCCACCCCTCCCACCTGCCCGCCTGGCCTGTGCAGGAGCACGCTGGGGCCTCCATCCAGGCGGCACAGGCTAGGAACAAGTGGGCCCTGGACTCACCTCACCGCCCTGACGCCAGTGGCATGGGGCCTTCGTGAGGTTCAGGCGCCAGCACTCTGTCACACACGCTCCTCCCACCCGTCACAGCCCAGACCCAAATGCCTTCGCCACAGCCCTGGGCCAGCCACGCTGATTTGCCCTCCCCTGCTTTATGATTCTGCTCCCGGGCCTTTGCCCAGAGAACCCCCTCTGCCTCCAAGGTGCACCCTCCCCTCCTGCCATGACGGTGCTGCCCACACAGCTGTCCAGGGGTTGGCCATGGGCCACGCCTGGACTGTGACCTGTTGCTATACAGCTGTGAGCTAAGGAAGGGTTTTACATTTTTAAATGGTTCCAAAAGATGGAAAGAAGATGATATTTTGTCACATGTGAAGATTATTTGAAATTCAAATTCCAGTATCCACAGACCAAACGGCACAGGAGCACCCCCGCGCCACACAAGATGTTCTGTCCGGGGCTCTTGTCTCAACACAACAGCAGAACTGAGTGTGGGCAGTCAGGCTGGCCCTGTACAGAAAGTGTGCCGGCCCTGGACAGCTCCAGGCCCAAGGTCTTCCCCTCAGGACGCCCTCCCTGGCCGCCTGAGCTCAGAACATGCCTGTGCAGGTGCGGTGGCCCGGGTTGCCCTCTGCTGGTTGTGTCCGCGTGGGAGGCAGAGCAGGGCGGGTGGGCAGGTGGACACTCACCGTGTAGTTGGGAGTCAGCCTCTTGATGTCATTCAGGGCCACATCGATGCCCATCACGCCCAGGATCAGCTGGTTCTGGGAGCAGAGGCATGGGGGTCTGCAGTGGGCTCAGTGCCGTGGGGGAGTCCACCAGCTGGCCCCCCAGGCCCAGGGCCTCAAGCAGCTGCCCACTGCAGTGAGCAGGCCTGCCTATCTCCCTCCATCCCAGACCAGCTACAGGCACCCAGGCCTTCCCTGGGGGGGACCTCACCTTCTTGTCCCCAGGGCCATCTTGCGTCAGGTTGAAAACAGGGAGGGTCCCTGTCACCACCAGCCCCAGCCCCTGAAGGGAGAGGAGGATGCCTTGGTGGCTGTGGCCAGCCATGCCCCCAGTCTGAGTGTTCAGAGGAGGGGCACAGGCCACCCGATTTCCTCCTTTGTGTGGTTTACTCCCTAAAGCCCTTAGGGACTGGGCCCTGCAGGCATGTCCAGGGGAGGTCGCCCAGGGGCCTCACCAGCGCATCCTCGTACACGTTAGTCCATTGCACCTGCTTGGCCTCTTTGCCCGCCAGCACCATGGGCCTGCCCAGGACGTCCAGGTATTCCTGGGGAGTGGCGGTGGGCAGGGGCATGAGTCTACCTGCCCAGGGCCCCTTCCTGGTTCAGTCTCCCTGAGCACCAGTGTGCCACCAGGGGGCACACTCACCCCACCACAGCCCCATCACGGGCCCTGTCCTGAAGCCAGGGGCTGGGAGGGGGCTGCCAGCTCACCTGCGTGTTGATGCGGATGGCGCCGATGGAAGGGATCTCAAAATAGTAACCTGAGAGGGAAGGGGAGGCAGAGGTGGACCGTGCGCAGGGCCCTGCACCCCGGGGGTGTCTGCAGCCCTGACGTGTCCCTCAGGCTCCCTTTGCGGTGTCACTCCCCCTGAACTCCTGTCCCTCTAGTGCCCCCTACCTGTCAATGGGACCCATGCTACGGGAGGGGCCATGACTGGAGGGGTGTAAGGAAGCAGTGCGGGTGCCGGGACGTCCCGTCTGGGAGGGCAGGAACACTGAGAGTCCCCTGGGGGCCAGGCCCATGCATGGACAGACAGACTGACCAGCAGACGGATGCAGGAGCACATAAGCTGGGAGATGATGGACAACGGGCAGTCAGGCGGATAGGCAGGAAGATACTCAGTCGCGCAGGCTGAGAGGGACAGCCGTGAGTGGGCATGGCGACAGCAGGATGAACGGGCAGCTGGGACACTGGACGCATGGATGGACAAGGGGACAGCCAGCCCGTGGATGGCAGGACACGTGGGCCCCGGGGGGGCGCTGGGCGGGTACCTTTGTTGGCGCAGGCCATCCACTGGAGGGGCGTGACATCGTAGTTGTGCTGCCCCACAGAGAAGGTGAACACGCGCACCTGTTCGGGGTGCGGGGTTACTGCTGCGGCCGCTGGGGGACAGCCCTCCCCTGTGTGGGCCCCGGGCCGGGCAGCCCTGGCCTGGGCTGAGCCTCACCGTCCGGTTGGGCCAGTTGTACTTCTCAAAGACGTCCTGCACGCGGTCCTCACCACCGTCCGTAAACATCATGATCATCTTGTTGCAGTTGGCACGGGTGATGTTGGACTGGGCAGGAGGAGGGGTGGGGTCAGGCGGCGCTGGGCCCCTCCCTGGGGCAGCGGTGGGCCTCCCTCCTGGTGGGCCTGGCGCTCTGGCTCTCCCCACCAGCCCACGGCACTATCTGCTCGAGTGCCTGCTGGGTGCTAACTTGGCCATCCACCCTGCTTTTCCCGGTGCCGCCCCTCCGCCGCTGGGGCTCACGTTCTGCAGCTGGTCGAAGGCGTACTCAAAGCCAGCCTTGTAGCCAGTGGTGCCCTTGGCCACCATGCCCTGCACAGCTTCCTTGAACACCTTCTTGTTACGCACATTGGCCTGCACCAGGTGTGTGAAGCACGACACAGGCTGTGCCTTTTCGTTGAACTGCAGAGACAGTGAGGGTGGTGAGTGGCCTTGGGCTGGCCCGGGTGGGCAGCCGTTGCATGGGGCGTGTGGGGTAACCCACTTCTCAGCACCTGCCGTCTTGGCACCCACCGAGGCCACGTTCACATAGTCGTCATCAGAGAGCGTGTCCAGCATCTCACAGACAGACGTCTTCATCAGCTTCAGAGTCAGGCCACTCACACTGCCACTCCTGGGGAGGCCGTGGAGGTGCCTGCTGGCCTGAGCTGGATGCCCGTGGCTCCCCCACGGTATTCCTGGCCAGCCGAGTACAGCCCCGTGCGCCCCCACCCCCACCTGCCAGCATGGCTCACTCACACGTCCACGATGATGACCATGTCCTTGGGCGACGAGGCCCCCTGGATGTACCTGTCCGGGAGAAGCCTCAGTCAGGGCCACCCTCACTGGGACCTCGTGGGTCCCTCCTTCCTTCTCTCACATGGGAGTTCAGCATGTCTCTACTGAGCATCGCCTGTGTGGGCAGCAGGATTCTAGATACTGAGGGCACCACATGTAACCACAGCCGTTGCCCCTGACATGAATGACCAGGTCCCTCAACATGGGAATCACCCTCAAGGAGAGGTGAGCAAGTGACCCAGAGGGTGCAGGAGGCATGTTCCCTGGCCTCAGCGGCTTGTCCTGTCCTCTGGCCTGGACTGATGCCCCAAGGGCAGCATCCTAGCTCTGTATGGGACAGAACAGCTGGCAGGGGAGCAGATTGACGGGCACTGCAGGAGGGGCAGAGCAGGGGTGGGGGTGGGGCCAGGGAGGGGCCTCCAGTCCCACAGAGGTACACCCACCCTTGGGAACCCCACCGACCCAATCTCTCAGCCCCAAGCAGATGGGGGCAGAGTCAGCTGGGAGGCCTGGCTGGGTGAACGGGATCCATTTTGCAGCAGCAACGATGTGTGAAATGAAAACTGGATAGAGCTGGCTGCGCCCTGCCCCCCTGCTCGGAGGCCTGGATACTGGGAAGGGGGGAAGTGGGCTGGAGGGGTGGGGAGCCGAGGGGAGCCCCTGTGCGGCCCCTTGCTCACTCACCAGGGTCTCCTTCGGACATCGTACAGGTCGATTTTCTTGGGGGCTCGCCACGGGGTGGCTGTGGGAGGACAGGAGTGAGGGGTACGTGCAGGGAGGGCCACCCCAGGTCACGCAGCCCCAGGACGAGCAGACAGAGTGACGGGCTGGCACCCACCGGGATAGTAGCGGGTGACCCCTGTGGCACTGCCAAAGGCCTGCCACAGCAGCGCGGGGTCCTGCCTGCGGTTCTCCACGAACACGCTCTCCAGGGCCTCCGTCCAGTTGAGCTCGTTGAGGATCACGGTGGCTGTGGGGTTCAGGGGGCAGGGCTGGGCGGTGCCTGGCTGACCAGGGACACCCGTGCAGGTGCCCGCGACTCAGGGAGCCTCACTTGCTCTCAGCCTGTCCAGGCTCTCCCTGGTTCCCCAGGGCTCAGCTGGAGCCACACTGCTCCTCCAGGAGGACCTCCAGGTCCTCGCCCCCTCCCAAGCCAGTTCCACCCTTTAGCCAGGCCCTACATGACCAGGCAGGGCCGCTGTGGCCTGTGGCCCCTGGAGAGGGGCCCCCAGGTGGCAGGGACTGTGAGTTGGGATGCCCATCCAGCGTGCTGCCTGGAGCTTGCGGCTGGTCCCCGGGGAGCTCACCCACTCAGCATGCACTCCGGGCTGCAGCCACAAGAAAGCAATTAAGGGCCCAATGATGGGGCTGGAATTATTCAGCTATTAAGGTACCTGATAAGCTGGAAGCCACTCAGCTCCATGATTAATCATCTGGGGCCAGGAGCAGGCAGGGCGGGGGCAGGAGCTCTCAGAGGGGCAGGGGCTGCGCCACCATCCTGCTCTGACACAGGCAGTCACGCATACACACGGCCCACACTCCCCGCAGATATACCTGCATCTAACCTCTGTTTCCACCCAGGTGTGTGATCCCTCCACCTCCAAACTGGCCTGCCCCACAGCCCGTGGCACTCTGCGCCTCTAGGCTGCCAGCGGGCCCTGCTCTCACAGTAACCCCTCCCCCAGCCTCCGTGGCTGCCTGTGGCCCACTGCTGGACACACTCACAGAGCCAGGCTCCTCTTGGGGGAGGGACGCCATCCTGCAGGTCCCCCAGCCTGGGCAGAGCTGCAGGATGGCTTGAGCGGGGTCCCCTGACCTCCAACTCTGGATGGTCCTAAGTCTGCTCGATGTGTGCATGTGGCTTGTTCTCACCTGTTCCTGCAGGTGGGACCCTCAAAAAAGCCAGCAGGAGTTGGACACCGGCTCCCGCCGTGCCTCTGAACCGCATCCCCTCTCCTGGTGGCTGCAGTTTCCTTTGGCTTCTCCCTCCCCCTTTCTTCCCAGGGGGAGCCCTAACACCTCTCCTAACAATCCTTCTCAAGATCATCCCAAGTGAGAACCACAGAGAGCCTTCCAGAGCTCTGCTCCTGCCCTCAGAGCAGAGCCTCTGAACACGGGGAACCGCGGAGCAGACAAAGAGCTGGGCTGTAGAGCCTGGGGTGCTTGAAGCTCTGCACCCGCTCAGGGGGGCACTTGGCCCCCTGCTCAATGCCCCAGAGCAGGGCCTCTGCTGAGCCTCGTCAGCTGCCCCTCCCCATCCACTCTCAACCCCTTCTGTCTGTCCTTCGGCTTCCCTTACCTGACCGTAATGTGAAAACTAAGCACATCTCCAGCACTGGCTGTCCCTGCTGAACAGTATGTTATGGTCCTGGACCTAATTTAGAAATGTAGTGAGTTGAGCAATTTCTGTTTTTCTCTTTCAGGAAAACATAGCGCCAGGCTCACAGTGTTTCACACTGTACTGTCTGCCCTGGGAGGGTCTGCCTGACAAACCCCACCCCCTCACTGGGCCTCAGTTCCCCCATCTGCACAACTAGAGGCTTTGGGCCGTCTGTCCTGGAAGCCCCTCTAGCTGCTGGCAGAGGAATGTTCCTAATTCGGTTACATGCCCAGGCTGATGGCCCTGCAGGCGTCCAGGGCCACACGCACACACGTGCATTCACTGGAAGACACAGTCAAGCACACACCCCAGCCCCTGCCTGCAAAGGGCCCACTACTTGCCCCACGTGCTCACACCCGCACCCACATGCACGCAATCCCAGATCACACTGAGCTAGGAAACAGGGACCATGCCCCCTTAGGCAGGCGATTACAGATTTAATTAAAAGTGACACAGTAAATAAAAAACATATAAAATGTAATTTGTGTGGGTAGCGAGGGATGACTGGGGAGGGCGGTGTGGCTCCTGTTTTAATTAGTGTGCCTGCCTGTGATAGTGCCCCTCGACTGGCTCGGGCAGGTGGCCCGCGGGCGGCGGGGGCAGCACCTACCCTCGCCCCCACCCTGAGGCTGCCCAGAAGGCCTGCCTGACCCTAGAGTGGGGGGGGTGCTCCCTGAGGATCCGTAAGGATTCCCTTTATTCTGGAGACAACCCAGAAACCCTGGGACTTCTGCTAAGACCCTCCCTCCACCCAGTGGGCCCCTTGGATTGAGGCTGTCCTACAGGTGCCCACAGAAATATGTCAGAACCAGCAGACCCCAGGGCCTTAAGTCCTGCCTCTAGAGCTCCCCGTCCAGTGTCTGACTCTTGTACGCCTCCCAAGAGCTTCAGGAAGTCCCTCCTCATGTCTGACTCAAATCCCTCCAGCTGTAGGGACCCAGTTTTCCCATTGTGCAAAGCTGCCTTGTCCCTGGAGAAGGAGGGAGGTGTTCCAGGGTTGGTGTCTGTGAGTGAGCTGTGTCTCCCCCAACCCCTGTCCATCTAACGTGGTAGCTCCTCAGCCACTCCCATGTGGGACCAGGGGATGGGGGAGGGTGGGGACGTGGCCCAGCATGTAGGGAACAACTGAGTGTTTGCATTCCTGTGGGCATGTATGTGCGTGCACACAGGGCTGAGGGGTGTTTTGCATTTGCTGAGAAACAGCATGTGGCTGTGCTGAGTGGCTTGAAGCCTATGTGCAGGTGACACTGAGAGGTGAGCCCCTGTGACCTTGGGTGTAGGGGCTGAAGGTGGAAGGACCCAGGCCTGGCAGTGACCAGGCAGTGGGCCTGCCCGTGGTGGGTGAGGGTTGTTCTGGACACTCACAGCCTTTGTAGATGTCTGTGGGGATCTGCACAGCTGTGTACGAATAGTTGACCTTGTTCTTGAAGTTCGAGTCCTCCACGAAGTCCAGCCTTAGGGTACTGGCCTTGGACCCCCTCTCCACATCTTCACTCTCAGGGTCGTCCTGCAGAAAGGCACCCCCACCACGGCAGTGTCAGGGCTGGAGAATGGTGGAGTGGGCTTGGACTGGCCTGCAGGCAGGGGAGGGCCAGTCTGGGAGACAGGGGCATCTCAGACCATCGCAGAGTCAGACAGATGGACAGACGTGACGGGACGCACACAGGATATGGACCCCTTACCTGGAGGCTGTGATTCCCACCCGTCTCTGCCCACCCCACCCACCATCTCCACATTTGCTAAACCCAAATTCCACAACCAAAACCCACCCGCTTCCCACATCCTTGAAAACCAACTATCAGCGAAGGAGGCAAATCTCCGAGCCAGTGAGGGCATCCGCAGACCTCTGCTTACAAGGACCGGAGTGCCACCACGGCCGGCCGAGCTGTGCGACCCGTCCCCGCACAGCCCGCCCCCAGCACCAGGAGGAGGGTGCTAGCCCGGTGGGGGAGGGGCGCGACCCCCGCAGCAGGGTGGCCCCAGGGGCTGGGTGCGGAGGCGGGGGCAGTCCTGGCAGGGCCGGGCCGGGCCGGGCTGGGGTAGGGGCTGGCGCTAAGACCCGGTAACCTCCGGAGGGAGGGTCTGCAGCAGCGCCTGCCAGCAGCACGACTGTAAAGACCCCCGCTGACTTTCTAAAATGAGCCACAGCGGTCTGACAGGTGCCAATTACGGCATCTCACGGCCGGGCAGGCTGGGCATGCGCCGTGCACCCCGCCCCCACCGCAGGCTGGTAGGAGTGGGTCTGGGACTACAGTGCGGACGCTGCAGGCTAGGGGTGGGCCGCGGCAGGAAGGGTGCAGGTGTGCAAGGCGTCTGGGAGGGCGGTGGCAGAGAGGCAAGGGGAACACGGGGGTGGAGGCAGGGCAGGCTGGACGCTCGGCCTGGGAGGAAGGCGCGGGACCACCTGCCTGCCGCCCCCAGCCCCCCGCCCTGCGACTGCCCTCAGCACAGACCCAGCTCACTTCCTCTCCCCTGGGGATCCCACACGACAGCGGATCCCTACGCTCCCTGGGTCCTGGGCACACCCCTGGGGTCCTGCCTCCAGGGGCCTCCCAGGCCCCCACGTGGTCTGGGGAAGGGCGCTCGGGCCCCCCCACCCGGAGTGCTCTGGGCCCACCCTCAGGCCTGGGTGGGAGGTGCCTCGGCCGGCCTGTCAGGGGGTGGCTTGGTTCTGAAGGTCCTGCAGCAAACGAGCCTTCGAATCTCTCCTTCAAGGGTGGGTCTTGTACCGCCCCTGGCCCAGCGTGCCGCACCCTGCCCACGGCACACCCTGAGAGGGGCTCCTGGGTGCTGGCAAAGTGGGGGGCAGGCAGCTGCAGAGCCGGCGGCCTCTGAGGCGCGCGCCGCTCACGTTCTGCTGGGAGGAGGGGGGAGCGCGGGAGGAGAAGGCCCCCGAAATGTCAGCGGCAGATGAAGGGCACAGGAAAATTTAATCTCCCAACTTTCCTAACTAATGTGACATTTGGATTCTGTTCTGATAAGCTATCAGCTGGCGAACTTCTCCTTCCTTCTCTTTCCCCCACCCCAACCTTCTGGCTTGTAATTTAAAAGTAAATGGTCTAGAAAGATCTCTAACTGTACCTCTGGCAAAGATTAAAAAAACAAAACAATACAACAAGCAGGGGAGTCAGCAATGTGTTGTGCTGATATTTATACCAGGGGAAGGCCGGCTGGGCTTTTGGCCTAACTGACCCTAGCCCAGCCCCACCCCGGGGTGAATCTGCCCCCTTTGGGCTGTTCGAGCCCCACAGCAGATGCCCAAGGGGCTGGGGGCAGGGCATCCGTGACTTGGAGCAGGGGTTGGGGGTCCTGGATACAGCTGGGGGTGGCTGGGAGCAGAAGGCTCAAGGAGGGGGTCCCCAGAGCCCCTCAGTGCCACCCACATGCCCAGGGTTTGTACGGTGGGCAACTGCAGTCTTCTGGTTTATATTTAATGCACTGATCGCTAAAATTACAGCCCGATGCCGAGGGGTAAGGAATTAGATTCAGGGTCTAATTAAAGGTTCGCTCTTCATTTGAATTTCAGATTCCAGCTTTAATTTTAGCAACTTCTCTGGGAGCCATGGAGGCTCAGCCACGGAGGGAAGCACACCTGCTTTAGCCCACCCACCCCTCCTCTTCGGGCCCCCTGCCCGCCTGAAGGCCCTCCAGGGCAGCCTGGCACTGGGAAGCCTCTGCAGGGGTCCCTTCCTGCCTGCCCACCTCCTGCTGTCACTGGATACCCCCTGCTCGTCCCAGGCACAGGCCTGGGAGAGCGCCGCTGGATTTGGGGTCTCTGCCCCAGCTGGCAGAGGGGGGACCACAGAGCCTGAGCTTTGTGACACCTCTGTTTATAGGGGAGAAGGTGGGTCCAACCCTTTTGCCCCGGGGCAGGCAGATGGAGGGCACACCATCTCCTCCGTGTGCCCTACACCCTCGGACACGCTGGTCCCCTCTGCGGGCCCCTCCCACCCACATCGTCACACATCTCGTGAGCCTTCTAGTGACGCGGCCCCCTCTGTCTCACAGGGCCGCCCAGCAGATGTGAGCCGTCACTGACGCGGGGGCAGAAGAGCAGCCCCACAGCAGCATGTCCAGGGGGGTGACCCCACGGAGCCAGGGCCTCTCCTTCCTCTGGAGAGCAGGCACAGGAGGGGGCTGCCGTGGCTCACCAGGTGCAGGGCCGTGCGGCTGTGGGGCTGCACGCTGGAGGTACTGTCCCGCGGCCCGCCGCCTCTGCCTCCCCCCAACTCCCTCTCCCGGTTCTCGGCATCTGCCAGATGACAGCACCTGAACCCAACCAGGTGGAGGTCCAAGCGCCTCACCACCCTGCCCAGGGCCAGCCTCCCCAGCGACACAGCCCTGGGGAGTCAAGGAGGTGAGGGGGTGCTGGCCACCACAGCTTTGCAGGGAGGAGCTCAGCTTGCTTGACACTCATTTTACAGCCAAGGCTGCTAGGCACCGGGGTGGGGGTGTGGCTCTGGCAGCCCCCCAGACGAAGCGGGGGCACTTACCAGCTCGGCATCAGCCTTTGCATCGTAGTACATGACATCTTCCTCCTGGTCGGGGAGAGAGGACGTGGTACTCTAAGCTCAGGGTCTCTGGAGGTGAGGCCTGGAAGCCCACCCCCACCCAGAGCTGCGTCCGGGGAGGGCTGGCTGGGCCCTGCCCCCCTGCAGACTGTCCTCCGGGGCCTCCACAGGCTCCAGGGCAATGTGGTACCCCAGGTTAGCCCAGGGTCCTCCAGACTCCCCGACCCCGGGCCCAGGCTGCGCGCTGCGGCTTTGGGAGCAGGGTCAGAGCTGGTCTGTCTGCAGAGACTGGCTGAGGCAGTGCCAGGGAGCCGGGAAGACAGAGAAACAGCCGAATCTAGGCAAGAGCGAAATGAGGACTCGGCACGGCATCTCCCAATTCCTTCTATTAAAAAGCCTGCTCATTATGGGCATGTACTTATTAATTATCTGTGATTTGTTGTGAAATGCAAGGGGGTTTACACAACAGGAGCGGGAGAAAACAAAGCTGGCCGCGCCTGCCTCGCTCCCCGCCCGCCCGCAGCCCGGCCTCACCGCCCGCCGCCTGGGTTCTTGGCCATCTGCGTGTCATAATCACCGGCCACCCCAGGGACCCGTAACACAAACGGGCTAATTTCATGTTTAATGATCTTTAATCAGAACTGAGCATGGCTGACAGAGACTGCCAGGAGGTGAGAATCTGTTGCCACCGAGTGCCATGCACACAGGAGGGTCTACTCCACCCCAGCCCCATGGGCCCTAGGGCCAGGTCCCCAGGTAGGACCACTGCCTAAGACCCCCTCCTCTGGTGTCCTGACCCTAGTCTGTACAGCAAACACTGCAGCCTGGCCCTGGCAGCCCCTTGCCTGCTAGGAGCCTGCAAACGAGGAGGCTGACCAAGTGGGCTTCCAGGGGTCAGGCTGCAAAACACAAGCAAGAGGCAGCACGTCCCCATGGCGGTTAGGCCTCTGGCCCCCTGCCCTGGCCTGGTGGGGCCCCGACTATTGTGAGATCTCAGGGCTGCACCCCCCTTTTTGAGCTCAGGCCTCTTGTGCTGCCCAGGCAGGGTGTCCGAGGCCACAGCTGGAGGTGGTTAGTCCTGGCGCTTGTTGGGGGGCAGTTGTGGGGGTCTCCCCCAAGGTCTGGGGGATGCAGGCCCCTGGCTAGACCTGTAGGCATAGTCCTGGCATTCTGGAACATCGTTTACAGGCCTGGCACCATGCTTGGGCAAGACCACAGCCTCCTGATGAAGTGACTTGACAGTCTCGGGAGGCACGTTCCATGTCTAGCTACCGGGCTCTCCTGATAGCCATGGCCCCATCACACAGGACACGGCCCAGGGCTAGGAACGGCTCTGCACGGTGGCTCCAAGCTGCCTTCCCAACTCAGCTCCAGTCCCTCCCACCCACCCACCCGTCCAGGAAGCCTGGACATGGGCCGGGGTGGTGGGGTGGCCAGGGGGCCCAGGCCCCAGGGCGCTCAGCCTTCCCTGCCGCTCCAACCGCAGCGCATAATGAAAGCTGACATTACATCAAACACAATAAGGAGTTTCGGTTGACGAAGATCATTCCTGAACACACAAACCCATTAAACCGAGGGGAAAAATATCAATTCAACACACTCGCTGGTGAAAAGAAAATGTGATTTGTTATCTAAAAGGGGGTTATAAACATGGCTCTGATGCTCTTTCCCTCCATAATGAAAACAGGCGGGCACGGTGGGAGGACTGCAGATTAGAACGTGGGGCCTCACTCTCCGACTTTTTAGGTGAACCTTCCACAAGGACAAAGAAGGGCACGGGTGGGGGGCCAGCTGCTCTTGGGCCCGCAGGGGCCGTGGGCCCCCCTTGCAGGCTGTGGCCGGCTCCGCCTGTCCGACGCTGTCCGGGGCGGCCCCTGCAGCTGCTCTGGTGGCCCCCTTTGCCTGTCCTGCTGTCTCACGGCCTCGGGAGGATCGGATGTTGACGGCTTCAGTGGCTTAGGGGACCATGTCTAACAGGAAGATCCCGGTCCCATGCAGATGATGGTGAGGCTTAGGGATCTGCATGCGGCCCTTGGCCCCAGGGGCTTGGGTGTGTGTGGGCAGGATGCCTTCCTCCCTCTGCCACCTTCAGAGGGCCACGCACGCCCCTTCCTTGGGAGAGGGAAGCATTGGCACCAGATGGTGCTGGGCAAGGCCACGTGTGTGAAAACGCATTGCAAACAGAGCTTGGGTTGGGGTGGGAGGGTCCCTGGGCAGCCTGTACAAGGTCCCAGGGCAACTGTTAGTGGCCCGCCTCTGGGTTAGCTCACAGGGAGGCAGGCCATAATGCCACCTAGTGAGTGTGCCCAGGGCCCTGGCCTCAAATCCTGACCCAAGTTTTGGGGTCCTGAGCAGTGAGTGAAGACTGAGGCAGAAGCCTCAAAAGTCCCCAGGGGCCCAGGAGGACTCCTGGGGGTCACCCCCAGATCACCGAGGAAGGAAGGGTGCCTGTGGAATGCTGCAGCGAGACTCTGCCTCAGGGTCTTGATTTTCCACTTACAAGCCAGGGTGACTGGGCCTCCTGGGGGACAGCACTAGGGGGATGGAGAGCTGGACCTCCCAGGGGTCATGATCCCTGCCTTGGGGCCCTGTGTTTGTGACTCCACAGCCCCGGAAGGGCCTGACTGGGCTGGAACAGGCTCCTTCAGTGTCTGGGGTCCACAACCCCAACAGCCCCACTGTCACCTGGCGCTTGAGGCCATTTGCTCAAATGGGTTCAAAGCTCCTCTGAACTCATGGACACACCTGTCCCCCTCACCCCCGACCACGGATCTGTACACAGAGGGCACATGAGGTGTGGGGCTGGGGCCCCCCATGACCCTTATAGAGAGAACATCTATGCCCTCCTTAGCTGGAGCTGAGCCCAGGAGAGGGCATGAGGGGTGCCGGCAAGTGGGGGACAGGGTGGGGAGTGGGCATGGGTGAGCATGGGCAATGGCAGTTGCATCCACGTTTGGTGCTATGGAAGGCAGCTGCCGTGGCCTGGCCAGATGCTGCCCGCCTACCAGGCCCCCCTACAGGGCCCAGGCGAGCTACTGGCTACACCACTGAGGATGCCTGGCCTTCCTGCCCTGGCCTGCTACCAGCTCAGCTTAGCCAGGAGGACTGTTTTCTGAGAGACCGTCTGTCACTGGCTTGGTGGAGAGGCAGGCCTCAGGCTGGGGAGGCCACCTGTCCTGTCCAGCCGGCTCCTCTGGCCTGGCCCAGTTCCCCCTCCCCCTTTAGGTTCCCAGGCACAGCTACCACCCCCATCAGACTCCCAGGGCAGGGCTATGTCCCCTGCAGGCCCTGGAGTGTTTGGCACTGAGGCCCTGGGGCCAGTGACCTCTCCTGCTCTCCTCCTCCCCCATATCCTAGTCCAGCTCCTTCCTGGTGGCAGCGTAGATGGCAGATAATGCTGGCACAGGGAGGTGCTGGCGCTAGGCACTGTCTGGCAGGCAGGCCTGTGCACCTGTCCCATGTATTAGAGGTACCAGGGCACCTTCTGCCCATCCACAGGGGCCACGGTTCCTCTGGTGTCCAGCGGCCATGGCCAGGGCTGTGGCTACAGGCCCCCTGCCCTGCCACAGCCAGGTGTGTGAGTCATGGCCTGGGACTAGAGAGGGGGCAGGGAGCCTCACATCCAGACACCCGCCTTTGCTCTCTCGTCTCTGTTCTCACCCTGCAGGCCCCAGGGTCCCCCAAGTGTCTGGGCTGGTGTCCATGGTGGGGTGTGTGTGGATGTGGGCACACCACTGGCCACTTCTCAGAGGTCAGTATACAGACCTACTGTGTGCTGTGGACACTGGAGGCCACACCCACTGACCACGCTCAGTGGGCTCAGTCTGACCTCACAGCCCAGGTGTCTCCTCTAGAGGTCATCCTCCCCATCTCAGAAGTAAGAAGCCCCAGCCCACTCCGTCCACAGGGCACCCACTGGGCATGTGGGCAGGTGGTGGGCAGCACTGGGGCAGGCTGCTTCTGGCTTGGGGGCCACAAGGGGGCAGAGAGGCCAGCCCCCTAGGACACTGGCTGGGCCACCTGCACTGGACCACCTGTAGTGGAGGTTGGGGGCCACTGGGGGCCACTCCCAGGGCCAGGGCCAGAAGGAGGGGCCCCAGGGAGTGAACACTCAGGCCTCTCCTAAGCATTGGAGAGGAATATGGCTGTCACCTCCTGAAGGTCACTGCGAAGGACATGGCTTGAAGGGTGGGTGGCGTGCTTGCAAGGGACAAACACCCTATCCCGTCCCAGCCTCAGCTCCCCAGGACCCCCAGCACGGTCCTGCCTGCAGCTGCTGCCAGCTCCCCGCCCAGGCAGGTGGGCTGTGCGGCCCCCCATTAGCACTGGTGACTCAGCCTGGCAGCTGAGGCAGCCCCAGGGGTGCTGGGGGGCGCAGGGCCCTGTCCCTGCAGCAGGAGGGAGAGGGTGATACAGAGCCAGCTGCCGCAGATACCGCAGCGGGACAGCCGGCCAGACTGCGGGCTGTGGGGTGGGGGTGGGGAGCACTGGGCTATGGCAGGGCCTGGCTGCTCTGCGGTCACACCCAGAGCTGGGAGCACCTCAGGGCAAGTTGGGGGGCTGGGGTGGCCACCTGCCAGACCCTCCGGGACTCCTTGGCCACCATAGTACCTCAGCTAGGTCTGACCTCTCTGCACCTGCGTCCCCCATTGAGTGTGCCCCAGCCTGCCGCTGAGATGCGCTGGGCCCAGAGCTGCAGGGCCAAGGGCCTCCGGCCCCCCACCCCACCCGGACTGGCCCCTGGGCCCTGGGGGCAGCTGTTGGTGCCACTCCCTGTGTTCAGCACACAGACCACCAGGAGGCGCAGCCGGTGCCTGTGCAGCTGCGGTGGACACAGCGAGCCCCACCCACTGGTCTGGTCCCTCAGGGTCTAGTCGTTGGTGGCTTTGGGGTTCCCCAAGGCTGGGAAGGACGCAGTCTCTCTTCTGGCTGACTGTGACCCTCTGAGAGGCTAGGTGGCAGAGGGGGGCAGGTGTGCTCAGCTCTCCTGCTGCCTGCCTCGAGAGGGCTGGCCAGGGCTGAGGCTGGGCTCCAGAGGTTCCCTTCCTCCCGCACGTCTGGGGATCCCCCATCCCTATCCTCCAGTGGGAGCAGGCTGCTGCCCGGGGAAGCCCCGGGCGGGCAGAGCGCCCTTCCCCGGTGCCTCTCTGGGGCCAGGGCACCACGTCTGAGAAGTCCCGGAGTCAAGGGGCTTCTCTGCCCCAGGGGCACCTCCTTAACCACCGTGGAGCCAATTTTAGGAGCATCACTCTAAAACTGCCTGTGTGCCTGTGGTGGGGGGTCTCCACAGCCCCTCTGGGGTGCGTGACAGGCACATGTCAGCACCCTGAGTCCCAGCACCAAGAGGAGCCTCAAGTGTTTGTGGAATGCTGGACACAGGTTCCGGCTCCACCCCACAGACCCCTCAGCACCCCCGCCCCCACCCCCACTGACACCCACCCTGCTGGGGCTTGGCAGGTGCTAGGGCAGGGGTGGGTGCTCCAGTTCTTACCTTGATGTTATCCTGCCAGCGATGGGCCCTCTGGAAGTTCTCTGCAGCATCGGCCAACCTCTGAGGGACAGAGCACAGGTCGGTGAGGATGGAGGCTGAGCCCAAAGCCTTCTCCATCCCCCTCTGGGCTGATGGGCTCAGGGTCCCCCGCCTGGCTGGCTGTGTGGCCCTGCCCACAGCTCTGTGGGGCACCCTGTGCGCAGCCCCCGGTGTGGAGGGGTCCCGGACGGAGCAGGACCCAAGCCCTAGAGCCGAGCCCACTGCCACTCTCTACCCCTTACAAACTGGTGTCGCCCAGTGCCAAGAGGAAGCCCTCCGCAGCCACACGCCACAGGGCCTCGCAGACGCCGTGGCCTCCCGCAGGAGGAGCCACGGCCCACCTCTGCCCACCATCCCCTCCCCACTGTCCCTGTCCCGGCTTCCTGAGTGCCTCCCAGCAGGGCTCTGCAGGCCTGTCCACACCAGCCTGGCCCTTCCTTGGGGGCTGGTCCTGCGGCCCCTCCTTCGAGGCCCCTGGGCCTGTGAGTGTAGGTGTGTGTCCTGTCCCACACCTTGTCACCCAGCACAGACGGTGCGATGCGTGGAGATGTGGCAGAGCCAGCCCTGCCCCTCACAGTCCAGAGGCGAGGAGACACACAGCCCAGCAGAACAGCAGGGGAGGAGCAGCTGAGGTACTTCTAGAAGGCTCAGCACTTGGGAGCTTGGGATGTCAGGGAGGGCTTCCTGGAGGAGGCACTGGTCTTGGCCATCCTCAGGGCCTGAACCCCAGTCACCCTTCTGGGGGCCTTATTTTGTGTCTCCATGGATCTTGGGGCTACAAGAGCCTGGGGATCCCACAGGTGACCCCCATATAGCTGAGCGCAGTGGAGTCCTTTAAACATAATGACGACTGTCACCGCAAATTGGTCACCAACTGCAGGAAGCCCTGTCCGGCCAGGAACACATCACATTCTCCACATGCCTGACCTGTGCCCCTCGGGTGGGGATGCCCAGGCATGGGGACGGCACGCAGCCTGGCCAAGGCCATGTAGTGAGTTGGTCAGGCTGGCCCTGAGCCTGGCCTTCGCCCCATTTTGCCTCGCCCAGCCCACGACCGGGGTCTGGGGCCCACCACAGGGCCCACCATGCTCGGCGAGGGACAGTCCCCCACTCCCGTCCCACTGTGTCCCACAGTGCAGTAAGCTCCTGCCTCCTGCCGCTACTCAGAAGGCCCTTGTCTCTTGGTGCTCGTGACACACGCCCTTTCCATCAGTACAGGCCTGGTGGCACGTGGGCCCCAGAGGGGAGATTCTAATAGAGCCTGGCGGCTGCCTGTTCAAGGGAGATGTGAGTCAGGACACAAAGATCCGCTTTTTCTCCCTCCTGGTGTGGAACAGTGGGCAGTGGGGGCCTCTCTGCAGAGCCACGGCCTCCACTCTGGGGCAGGACGCCACCCTGGCGGCCAGAAGGGATGCCCAGAGCCACCCCCCCCACTGGGCCTGCCGCCTCCGCGGGCCATGAGCAGTGAATGCTGGCATGACTGCAGGAAGGCACCTGGGCTCACACCCCTCGAGTCACAGTGCTGGGCTTCCCCTGGAGTGAGCCCCTCTCCTGCCACCCCTCCTATTACTGCAGAGCCTGCGTGGGGGTCACACACCTATCAGCCTCAGGTACCATAGGCCTCTCCGCTTCCAGATGCCTCCTGTGTTTGCCTCCAATCCTGAACCTTCCCGAGCTCCTGGACACCTTCCTGGTGGGGGGACCCTTAGGCCCACGGGCATTCACACAAGCCTGTCCTGAATGAGCCCGTCCACCTTGGAGCTGTGCCCCATTGGTCCTCGATAGCACTTGAGCCCCCTCCTGCTGGCTCCTGCATCCGTCTTGGTCATTGTCACCTATTCTCTGCACAGCACCTGGAGCCTTCAAAATGCAGATCTGATATTGTGACCGCATCCCCCTCCTGCCCCTAAACTCTCAGCAGCTCCCCATATAAAAGGCAAAGCTTTCTTGAGACCCCCAAGGGGCCCACCTGCACCCACCTCCTGACCCTCCCTTTCCATGCTGGGCCCTCCTACTGGCCTAGACCACAAACACCCCACCCTGACTGCCACCCCGCACGAGCAAGGCCAATTCACAGCCCGCAGTGCCCTTCTCAGAGGACAGTACTGTGTGAAATGGATGGTCAGCCACGCTCTCACCACTGTTAACTGGGCCCCACCATGCAGCCCGGGTGGGAAGCGTAAGGTCTTAGGCAAATGCCGCACATCCCCTTTCTTTACCCGGTGGCCCACCACCTTCCCGGGACCCAGACCTTCTCACAGTGGGCCTGGAGCCACTGTGGGGGTCCACTGAGGCCACTGCTCTTCAGGAAGGATGAGGCTGGGGCAGGGTGTGGAGTAACTAGATGAGGTCCCTTGCCACGGAAAAGCCACAGGGTTGATGGCGTGGCAAACACCACACAGACATTAGTCTTGGCCTCCAAGCTGGGCCACGGCACCTCCCTGATGGCTGGGGGGGTGCCAGCTCCTTCACCCCTCAGGGCTCAGCTCGGAGCACGGGATTCCCAGGCCCCAGGACACTGGGCTGCAGGCCCTCCGACCTCCCAGCCTAGCAGCCTCTGTGAGGGGGGCCTGGGGAAAGGGACCCAGCCCCAGTCTCCTTGAATTCATGGAGTCCCATGGGCGCAAAGGCCCAGGTCAGCCCACTGACTCGTGAATAACAGAGTCGCAACAGCCACTGCGAAAGGATTACTTTTAATCCTCGGTAACGATCAAGCCATTATTATTTTTTCGGTGTTACAGATCAACCAGTCCATCCCCGGGCGCTGGACGTGTAGAAACTGCCGAATGAATGAATACACAGGGCTGCGGTGCAGAAGGAAGGGCCGAAGCGGCTGAGGCAGGCATCGCAGGCTGTGGCTGAGGATGGGGGACCGGGACCACCCACCCCCGTGCCCGAGGGGCCCCAGGGGTGAATCAGAGCCTGGACAGTCTCGTCCCTGACCCCAGCCCAGCTTCCCTGGGCCTGCCTCCCTGCTGGGGCTCTGGCTGCTCTCGGGCCCCGTGCAGCCTCTGTCTCCCTGCACGCTGCCCTCCTGTGCCCAGACTCTCACCCAGGCTCTTGGAGCTCCCTGACCCCTGCCAGGCCCCAACTGCCCCGTCAGGAGGGAGCCCTCTGCTCTGCTTTCTCCCTTGGGCGCTGAGCATGCTGGGGGCCATTTCTGGCAGCTCACGGGTTTACAGTAACTGGCTGCTGGCACACAGTCGGTGCACAACGAACACCGGCTAAATCAAGGGCAAGGTGTCTCTGGACCTGGGCAGAGGCCTGGGCTGGCTGGCCAGCTGTGTGACCCCAAAACCAGCTCCCAAAACCACTCTCAGAGGAAAAGGCAAGAAAGCAGGGCTGGTGGTACGCAGGCTGGGGACAAAGCTCCCCCTGGGAGCAGCCCCTCGGCAGAGGCTGTGGGCCCCCACTGAGGGAAGTCCTTCATGAGATAAGGGACCTGCGGCCGTGGACCCCTCAGAGGCCAGCGCCTGGAGAGAAGGTCCCTCGGGCTGGCGCTCTGGCCCCTCCATCCTCTTTGAGGGTGTCTGTCTCCCCAGGCCGGTGCCCCCACTTTTCCTCTCCCCCAGCACCCAGCCCGGAAGGGTCTGGGCAGCAGCTGCCTATCCAGCAGGACTTGTTTTGCACAGCCTGAAGGGAAGACTGTGAGTGCTTTGGCCTGAAGTACTCACAGCTCCTTTCTCTTCCAAGGAGATCCGAGGGGCTTAGGGTGAAAGGCCCTGGACTCTTGTAGCGCAGGAGAGGTCTGGGCCATGGAGGCTGAGCCTGCAGGAGCTGTGGGGGGGCACTGAGGCGGAGGGAGGTGACGGTGACAGACGACATCAGCCCTCGGTGCTGGCACCCGCCCTGGCCTGGGGCTTCATTGACCGGCAGACAGTCCAGCGACAGGTGAGGATGGCCTGCACCTGCCCCCCAGCTCCCTGACCCAGCAAGACACCTGAGAGGTGGGCCCATAGGTGAGGGGCTAAGGCCCAGAGGGTGAGGGCCACTGCCCGGGCCCCTGGGGATGGAGAGATAGAGGGCATCAAGCCCAGGTCTCCCAGCACTGCCAGACGTTTCAGGGAAGGACCAGGGCTGGCCAGGTGGGTCAGGCTGGTTGGGCTCAGGTCCCGCATCTTTCCTCCAGAGCGGCTCCTCTGCTCCTCCCTCGGGACAGGGACTCAGTCCCTGGCCTCCCAGACGTGGCTCTGAGCCTACCCCAACCTTGGTGTCCCGGGGTGCAGACCCCAGGGAGTGAGCAGCAGGGTGTCCAGCAGCCGCCCGGCTCTGCTGCCTTGGCACGGGCGGGCCTTGTGCTGGCTCTGTACTCTGCACTGATAGATCCTAAATACAGATTTCCAATTTCCAGAGCTGTTATGGTCTAATGAGTAAATAATATACATATTTAAAACTGTCTAAAAACATATCTGCATAATTAAAATATCTGCACAATAATGAAGCGACATGCAGTTTAGCAAGGAGGAGCTAGAGCCCAAGGGCTGACAACGGGGGCTGCCCTACAGGTGGGGTGGGGGTCCTGGCCCTGGGGGCCCTCCTTCCTGCGGCCTTGGCCTCAGTGGGCAGTCACCGTCTGTCCTCTCCAAGCAGTACATCCAGTCATGGATCAGGCTGGTCCTGACCCTGGCCAAGCTGCAACCTGGGGGAGACACTTGTGTGGGTGGAGGTGCCTGGCACACGTGCGGGGGCCGCCCTGACGTCTCATACTGCCACCATCCATAACACAGGTGCACCCAGAGCTCACAGGCACTTCACTCACCAAGACCTTCTGAGGGCACATCCTGTCCTGATGCCCCATCTGGCTGGGTTCCAGGGGTGAGGAGATGGGCACCTGCACGGTCAGAGTGGCCAACCAGGATCACGACCTGGGCACAGCAGGTGACAGACGCCTTCCTGCCGAGTGGCTGCCAACACCTGGCCTTGCCCTCTGGCCCTCCCCACCCCTTCCCTCCAAGGTTTCTCCTTTCGCCCCTTCCTGCAGTCACCCAAGCCAGACACACCTGGTCCCAGCACATCTGAGC